GCGGTTGTTTACGTGCCAGCGGACCATGTTCTTCGAACACATGCCCTAAGTTTGTGAGCGGCCGAAATAGAGCGGCCGAATGATTTGGGTGATTGTGCTTGGGACATATTTGTAGCCTGAGCAGAATGTACTGTGTGGCGATTTGGTTGGATCCGTAAACTTTGACTTTTGGGGAAGCAGCGTATTTTTCATGGGACCCGCAGCAAGTTATTTTCTTTGCAGGGGGTCAACAGCAACCAAGCGTATGAACAAGCTGACTATGTCCCGAGAGCCCAAGATTCACCGATGCGATCCTGAAGCTACAGGAAATCTTCCAGGAAACTCCTGGTTTGGGTAGTTGGCCGATTGATTGATGTTCCTGTAGTTCCGTTTTTACCAGAAACCGACTGGACCGTTTTCAAAACGATTCCTTAGGCGGGTCTATGCCCTCGCAGCCCCGGCGTGTGGCCGTGAAGTGCTTCAAACTCGCGGAGGCGAAGGATGTTTTTTTCTGGCCGCGGGATGGGGAAGCTCTGTGTTTTGTTTTTTTCAAAGTTTCACAAAGGGAAGCCACGGTTTGTTGGTAGTCCCAGGGGAATCATTAGAAACCGGGGTTTCTTACATGGTCTTTGGTGCATTTTGCCAAGGGATGTTGGGACTTTAACGTTTTGTCAACGAATGGGTTTTCCGTATTAAACCACTAAAAGTTTTACTTTTAGCAGGGGAGCAGAAAGCAACCGAGGAATGGTTGGTTCTGTTTTGTTTGAAATTATTTCTTTGTTTTGTTTTGGTTTTTGGTATGGGTCAAAATTGAACCAGGATATGGACCGCAGGTTGATTCGTTTTTCCATTTCCCGCGACCCAAAATCTGGGGACGCATTTTGAACAGCCTATCCCAAGCCTGGGAATGGAGCGTTTGCTTTGTTTTGTCACCCTAAAATTTCATGGTTGTTGGGAAATATTATGAAATATTGGAAACATTTTTGCTTATGGTGGTTTAGTGGTTGAATTCCAACCACTTAACTGCTAAAATTTAGGTTTCTGCTCCCCTTCCAACGTCAACCAAGAAAAGGTGGTCCTTTGGGCAGCTGAGAATTACACTGGCTGCATTTAGCTGGTGTGTTAGTTCTTCTGGATTCCTCGGGTTGATGAACAGGTTCCCATCATATTGTTTGGACACACCTACAATATGCTTGTTGGTCGGTTTTCCAGGTTGGTGTTGTTCCTTGTTGTGTATGTGTGTGCTTGCTTGGGCAAAACTTTGGTCAGAGTTGTCACACCTGCTTTAGTCAAGCGCACAGTACACATCAGGTTTTGCCCGAAAAGAAGGGAAGCCTGGATTGTTGACATGTTCTCAACTAGGAGCTAGAAAAGGTGCAGAGTGCAGCCCAAAAGCTCATGTTTGGTCGCTGGAGAATTGCATGCCTCAGGGCCTCAGTCGCTTGGGCAAGGGGCTTTGCCGGGCTCCCGTTGTTTTTTTTGTTGGAACACAATAGCATCCTCCTTTTGCAAGGCTGTCATCTGATTCTTCCACCAGCCCTAAATGTGCGACGTCTATGGAATGGATCGCAGACGACTTGGAGCCTATTTGGTCGAGGAGCCGCTGCCGAACATAAGAAACGCTGGCGTGTGCGCGTTTCATGGATTTAAACATCGCTTGAACTGCACAACCACTAACCCACGCCAAGGCTATAGCGACAAACTAGAGTTTCAAACCAACACGTGTCTTGAGCCTTGTTGTCAGATGTTCTTAGAAAACTCGGTAAATTACCATTGCAACAAAGACGCAAAGTAGATTGGTTATATGAGAGCTCCTTGAGACGGGTCAAGAGTCCAAGCCAAGGAACCCCCGAGCGTCAAGTTCCATGTGAAATAGTGGGAGGGGAATCCATTCAGCGAATGCACTGCCGGCCAACTAGATGGATTCATAAGGGAGGTCTGAGGACCTTGCTCAAAAAACCAAAGGAAGTGGTGAAGCAAAACTAAATGTTTGGGATTCAACTCTGAAACCGCTTTCCGTTGAAATTGGTGGGAGGGCACCTCTTTTGTTTTAAGCCAAGATCCGCTCGTCGCTTTGCGGCAGGCAAACACAAGAGATCCCTCAGGCGAGGGCAGCGAAGAGAGCAGTCGATTGTTTGGGCCAATTGCAGCGACCCCTTGAAGGATGCCTTGTTGCCTAAACGCGCGATCGATTCGGTACGTAAGTGGTTAGTAAGTCTGTTTATAACCCACTGAGCGGAGACTTGTAACCATGGCTTTTGTGGCTCATTCTAAACACCTAAGTACCCGGCTCATTCAAGTGGTGATTGCTCGAGTGGCAGATATGCTTCGCATCCTTTTGGGCGCATCAACCCCCAAAGTAAAGAACCTTGATCCTAGGTGGGGCCGAGTGGCGCTTGCACAAATTCGACATACCACGTGTTTTCTTCACGCACCGCTGTAAGGACCTGAACTGTATACTTGAGTTGCTGTGTGCTCAATCATTGGGTCTGTCCTTTTTAGGGCCCCCCCCCAAAGCATGGGTGGTTTCCTTTTGATGCCCCTTTATTACCAAAAAGAGGGCACCAACTCCAAAAAAGGAGCCACACACCATTGTCATGCGTTCATGTCATTGAAGTGGGAACATGGCCGCACTTGAGCTTGGCCAACGCATCGAGAGCCACGTGGAGGAATTGAGTGATAGACAGTTGGAGATTCGAATCTGCCATGGAATGAAAATGATGTCAGGTCCTTTCTGTCGTCAAGTGCGTCTAGCGCCATCCCCAAGTTCCTGAACATTAGTCACTTCTTGGGAAGGCCACCTTTTCCGGCACATCCACTCGATCGGAAGTGAGTTTCTGAGGTCTCTAATCGACGCAAGTTTGCCATTGGACAAATGTCTTTCCTTTTTCTTTCCAGGGGCTTTATTCATTTTTGTCCAGGGACCTTAAGAAAAGCAAATGGAGGAAGACTTCGCTCCTGACCCATGTGCCAGGGGTAATTACCTCCCCCATTCTTTCCATGGATCCTTCTTTCTAGAAAAGCTCCACAACCCCGGTGAGAACCGCTGGCTTTCGAAAAGAACGATAGTTGAAAAGAATGGAAAAGGAACCAACCCCTAGACTTTTGCTTGGTTTTTAAGACTTGGTTTCAAAGGTTGCCACCATTTGTTTTTCGGGAAAACTTATGAAACTGGTTGGCTTGATTTCGGGAAAGGAACCAAGCTCTATGTGTTCCACCATTTTTTGCGGGAAAACTCATGTTTGGGTTGGCTTTTTCAAGGGGAAGGAACCACGCCCTATGTGTTCTTCGTGTTGCTCCCTGTGAGGTTCGGGGGAGAAGGCGATGCGTGACAGCTTCGAGAAGGAGAGGGCCATTCTGGCGCGGCTCGGGGACCAAGAGACATCAGGCCAATACGAAGCGCGGCTCGAAGTTTTTTTCGGTTCGACGCCAACAAAATGAGTGGACAACTCGGTGGAACTCGCTTTCCAAGGGGATTTGGAGAAATTTGGCTGGGCAAAAAATCGAAATTCCAAAATGGAACCCTGGTAAGAGGAAACATGGACCAAAATCTGCGGTTTGCCCCTCCTGTTTAATTTTGAGCCACAGCCATTTGTCTTCGGTGCATTTTGTTCAGGGATGTTAGAACTTTAGATTTTTGCCAGCAAATGGGTTTTCCCTTGAACCACTAAAAATGAAAAACTTTTGGCAGGGGAGCAGAAAGCCACCGAGTTGTTCTGGGTTTAGTGAAGTTGGATCTTTCCGAAAATTTCACCCAGAAGTTATTCTTGCCTTGTGGCAGGAAATGGACGGCCCAGGTTTCTTGGTGTTGCGTAGCTCCAAATTATGAGCTTTGAACACCAAGTTGCCCTCTGGTGCCGGATTTTCCCTTTTAAAGTCAACCGAAAAAGAGCTCCTTTTGTTTCCCAGGGCCACCGCATCATTGAACAAGTGGAAATGGTTGTGGCTTCAAGCCTTTTGGTATGGAACACGAATTGTTGGGAATCCCTTGTTGCCAACCATTGAGGGTATTTGGGTGAGGTCGCTTGGGTTTGAGCAGCCGCAGTTTGTGCCATTCCAGCGGAAGAAAAAGACCTGGTCGCGACTATGATCCTCCCCTCACGGCCCCCGGACTGCTCCGATTCGCTCAATGCATCGCTGTAAAGATGGGAATCCAAATGAACAGACGGATTCGCACATAGCTTTTTCAAGAGGTGATTTATTTTCGTGAGGCCTTTTAGTAGCAAGAAGTGCTGAGAGCTGGCACATGCTAGCACATCCTGGATTGAAGGCTGAAGATTGAAAATTCTGAGAGAGCATCTCCTATGCAGGGGTCTACTTTTTGACAACCCCAAAGTGGACTTAAATCCAGGGGTGGTTGATTTCCCCAAAAGGCAAGCCCCTGTGTTTAAGCCTACCTCGGGGAAGTCAAACAATGGAACCCGGCTCCTATGGCCCTGGAAATCTTCAATCTTCAAAAACAGTTCGAACTTCAACGAAATGATTTGCGCGAGGCTGTTCCGCTTGGAACAAGCTCGTGACTGCTCCTTGCAAGGTTGCATGTGTCGAACCAGCTGGGTAGTTGCATGTGTGGCAGATGGCGGACTTCCCAAAGGTTGACAGGTGTGTTCGAAAAAGCGAGCCTAAGCAAGCCACGAGGTACATGTCCCTGAAGCATTCAAGAAGAGGGACGAAAGATTATGATACCTCTTGCATTAAAGCACTGTGGGCGTGTAACTGGTTGTTGCTAACAAAGGAGACCAGCCACCTTCAATTGCAGTGAGCCTATTTTTGCAGAGAGCGAGGCAAACTCAGAAAGCAGAGCAACTTGCTTGGATCATGAAGCTTCTTTTCGGGCTTTCTGGAAGAGTTGCAAGACGCACAGGTGAACCAGCCCAAAGTGTGCCTTTGGTGCTGCTCGCGTGGGTTGATGCCGATTCAGAGATTGCTTGCAAGTGTGAAAGGCCGTGACTTGACATGTCTGCAGCTTGCGGCTCGAGCTCACCAGGGTGAACTTTGCGCGGTAACTGCCCTAGCGCAGCATGGAGTTCCAGTTCATCTACGTGATCTACGCGTTTGGCTCACTCTTTCTCATTGCCATCATCGGCTCTGCGGTACTGCGCTACAATCGTCGCCGGGCGCAAGAACAGGAGCTGCAGAACCAGGCTTACGTGCCGGCGCCGGCGCCGCCTGTGGTGGTCGGGCCGGGATTGCCTGACGCACAAGTGGTGTCAGCAGCGGTGGTCGCTGTGCCGGCTGTGGCAGCCACAGCCGGTGCGAATTTCTGCAGCGGCTGCGGGAACCCCCTCAGCGGGCCCTTCTGTAGCAACTGCGGGCGGAAGCATGGCGTGGCCTCGGCAGAGGCATGAGGAGCAGGGCAGCTGTGAGTGAGTCAATGGTGAGTGGATGCCACCATGCAAAAGCATTTGGCTCCGCAGAAAGCCCCGCAGGGCGAAATGAGCTTTTCAGCAGCTTGCAGGGGGATGATTTCTCCTTTTCTCCTTTTCTCCTTTTTGCTCGGTAAGTGGGCATTCCGAGATACGCATGACCCACGACTCATGTGAAGCGCATGACCGGCGCACACGAAGCAAAAGGCTTGGAGGACTGCTTCAGGCCTTGTTTGGGCCTAGGAAGATACTAGAAACCGGACCATCGTGGTTTCTTTTGGGGTGTACCAACTACAAAAGTAGACAGACCCACAGAACTGGAAGGTTGGGGGTATAAAGTTCCTGGCATTCACGGGTTGGCGCAAGCACGAACGTAGGTTTCCAAACCTGTCCAATTCCAGGTCAGGCGAGATGCAGAGACACAGGCGAGAGTTGTCCATTGACAGCCAAAATGAGACATTCCAAGCTGCCTGCATCTCACTCGCTCTCCAACACTTTGGTTGCTGCTCTGTGCTACGGTGCGAATGCCCTAAATGCCGCAGCTACCACAACTGCAACTTGTTGTCGTTTGCCAGGGGTCCCTCAATCTCCCTTTTTGGACCTCCCAAAATGGCAGTTTCAACGGAACCCACCAGTAAATTGATCAACTTTCGGAGGGGAAACCCAGTGACCCCTGTTTGCAGGCACGTGTTTCCACGTTGTGTGAGTTGTTGGTCGGCGAAGAGATGTTGTGATCAATTGGGGCCCGGGACCTGATAGAAGCCCGTGAGACGTCGCGAGTGAAAGCCCGGTACAGTCTGACACACATCCTCAGTGTCTTGCTGGTGCTCAGAGAATGACTCAGAGTGTTGAGAAGGCCTGCAGGTCGCTTTTGCACCCGAGTTGTCGGATGCCTTCGCACCCTGCTTGGAGATCGTGTCGAAGCGCTCTCGACCCCATCCCCCCCCCCCTCCCCCCTCCCCGCTCTAGAGGGTGTGGCGCGCAGCTTTTCGGGCGACCTGCGTTGGTTGGTTGAGGACTGGTTTTCTGGGCGTGGAAGTGACGGACGTCCCTGGTGGAAAAATGAACCTAAAAGAGGGATTCCCTTCGAGAAACTGTAGGGGATGCATTTTAAAAGATGCCGCTGTGGACATGTGAGCAGCGCCCAAAACCCCCACGATGATCTTTATCTAAACGGTTTCCTAAAAATAGCTTCCGCAAAAGGAAAACCCTGCATCGTGAAAGCTCGCGAAAGCGTTTCCGAAAACTCGGTTCCGCCAAAGCTCCGCGAAAGGGCTACTTGTGTGTTGAGACATAAGCGAGGACCGCACGAAGGACAAAACCCGGAGGACTGCTTTAGGCCTTGTTTGTTGCCTCAAGGAAGCTAACTGTTGGTTTTCCTTATAGTTTACAGCCATCCAAGCAAGAGCTACCCTCACCAATAGACCGACCCAGATAACTGGAAAAGGTTTTGGGGTGCATAATTCGTGGCACAGGCACGAAGCTCAGATTTTGGGGAAAATCCACAAGCATATCGATGTGTTGATCATCTCCTTGGGAGGCAAGGGTTCCTGTTGGCTGCTATCTGCTGGAAGTGGTGTTATTGAAACGAGATGCCTCCCCTCTCTTTTCAAAATTGTCCGATTCCAGGTCAGTCGAGATGCAGAGACACAAGCGAGAGTTGTCCATTGCGAATATGTTTTTCTTTGTCTTTAGCCCTTTCTCTTTCTCTTCCTCCTCATCCTCCTCTTCCTCTGTCTCCGTCACTGTTGTTCTTTGTGTCTTTCTCTTGCACCTTGTCTTTCTCTTGCTCTCTCTCCAGCTCTCCTTCTTTCTCTTTATCTTGCCTCATTTCTCTTTATCTGCCTAAGTTTGTTTACCTGTCTCTGTGACTTGTTGTTCTGTGTCTTTGTCCTTGTACTGGATATAGCTGTTTCAATTATTCTTATTATCTTTGTCTCTCTCTCTCTCTCTCTCTCTCTCTCTCTCTCGCTCTCTGTTTCTTTATTTTTCTCTTTTTGTGTCTCCTTGCTGTATTTTCTTCTCTTTCCGTTTCACTTTCATGTCCTCTTGTTTTTTTCTTTTGCAACATCATTATGTTTACCTTTCTCGCTCTTTCTGTCATTCTCTCCTTTCTAAAGAGCACATTGGCCACCAAGTTTTGAGGGTTGACCCTTCGAAAGTGCGCAGAGTGTTCGCCATTTGAACCATTGACTGGGACCCGATGCTGCACATGTTTTTTAGTGAATGCGTATTCTCAGACAGTCTATCCTGCACCGCTCCTTGTTGCCACTGATATCCTCTCATTGTGGCGAACAACGGCTTCACATTGGGAAACATGGCTCAGCCGTTTCAGCTATTTTTTGTCTTGCGACACATTCTGCGGACGTGCAGCCTCCAGCCCTCAGGCTGTAGGTATGAAGCTTGCGATCAGTGCGATAGGGAATGAGAAATGGAATGACCCGCATACAGCCCATCTAACTGGTGGTTTCCTTTAAGGGGACTTCTGGGTTTATTCCCTCATTCCCTATACTGACCACCAGCAAGTAAGTCATGTATTGGGTTGGAAGAAATCATTCATAGCTTACGTGGAGGGCAGATCCTTTAGATGTTCCACAGCTTACGAGGGATGCGCACAGAGGTCCGGAGTACCTGACAACGTTGGCTCCAAGTTTAAGATAACCTGATCTTGTCGCCTTTGTGGCTGCTTGCAGGTGGACGCGTTTTTCTCGCGATTTGTTTCGAGAGGTCAGAGCATCCGCATATCGTCAAGATGTACGAATGCTTCCAGGAGCGCCAGTCCCTTTGGGTGGTGCCTGGCTCCTGGATTCGAAAAATGTGAGGTATGGGTCAAAATGAAACCAGGAATCGGACCGCGGGTTGATTCGTCCTTGGTTCCATTTATCAGGGCTCCATTTAGTCCATTTAGGGAACAAATTGTTTTTGACCCACAGCCATGTGAGATATCCCCGAAATGCTCCGCCGAAATCGTTTTTGGGTGGTGAAACCCTGCAAGAGGAAGGCGATTCTTCAAAACGAAGCCTCCCGGTATAGCCCATTCGTACACATTTGATTTTGGAGATTGCTCGTGTCCCTATGCTTCCAAAGCCCATTTAGAAAAACGGCGTTGTGACAAGCCTTTCTTGACAAAGACTATTTGCTGACGACTAGCGGCAGCCTTCGGTTTGGACTGGAACAAGGGCTGGGAAAGACTTCACGCTAAGGCCGCTGTATGGGATCCCAAAGCCGGATATGTATGTACATATGCAGCAATATGTTTCGCAATTTGCAAGGCTAATGTTGGCATCTATGTTGCTTGGTTTGTTAACATGGCCTTGTAGTGCATGAAAGGTGAACCCTCTTCTGACCATTTCTGTCCTTCTTCAAACAAAAACGTGGCCAAAACCTCTACCCATCATAGCAATCGTTCCAGGATGAGGATGTTGATCTTCTGGGCCCCTCCAACAAACTATTTGTTCTATGCCAGAATAGTGGTTCAGCGCCAAGGAATGGTGTTTCTACGGTTTGTCTACAGTTTGTCCACGCTAACGTCGTTTTTGGACCTGTGTGAAAATTAGAACGGAGCAAACAAGCACACAATTGCTGGTTGTTCGTTCCGCCTGCGCACATTGCAGAGGAATAATTTGTTAGCATGAAGGCTCTGCCTACGCAAGACTTTCAGCAGGTGTATTGCGCAGACACAAAAGGGGCCCGAGGACCCGGTCAAGAAATAGTACAGTCAGAAAATATGCTAGCAGAGAAACATGTGGCTCCCAAGGCTACTGAAGAGGCTGCAATAGCAGGCATAATTGTCAAAAAACACAGTAGCAACCCAAAATACCCCAAAGGCCAATGTCAAAAAATAGGGATTGACAATACAACAAATAGGGGATGAACAACCCCTATTCCCCTATTTATAAAAGTAGTCGAGGAAGCCTGGGGATGTGCTGGCTTCTTGGTATGCTTGAATTCTGCCGCAAGCAAGCAGGGAGCGAGCACACGCTATATCCCGTTTCTTTTGTGGCATCCTTAGCCCGTTTTTGGGGGATCCCATCTACTGACCAACCCCAAAACCAGCAAAATTGCTGGTGCGATAAGTACGGAACGTGAGATGGAATAAACCGTTTCGCTTTGGTCCCCGAATAGGAAACCACCAGTTGGATGATTTATATTCGGGTCATTCCAATTTTTATTCTCTGGGTTCTCAGCAAGCTTGTTCTACCAGCGTCACTGGATGGTTTTCTTGAGTCCTGGGAGCAAAAGCGATACGATTGTTTTGTTTGCAGAGCAGGGAACCATTGTTGTTTGTTTGTTTTGTTTGTTTGTTTGTTTGTTTGTTTGTTTGTTTGTTTGTTTGCTTTGTTTTGCTTGTTTTGTTTGCAGCGCATGCATTTTTTTGCAAGCGTTGGGGTTGCATATGTTGCCGTCAAGCTGGTCCATTGCCAAACTCCAACCCAGGAAACATCTTGACCAGCCCGAGCAAAACCATTCGAGAAATTCTTCCAGGACCTCGATAAAGTGACTCGAGAAAAGAAAGAAGCACATCGAGAAAACTAAACTAAAGACACAAAATCGCCATGACTTGGAAGCTCTTTGGAACCCAGCTCATGTTGAAAGAGTTCTGGAAACATGGGCTCTTTTGTTGTTTGTTGTTCTTGGGTTGTCTCGAGATATCGTTGGATTTGTTTGGTTTCTCGGTTTTATTTGGTTTTATCGATTTGTTGCTTTGGTTTCCTCGTGTTTTTGTTGTGTGTTTTCTCCTGGTTTTGTTGGTTTGGGGTTATGTCGATCTGTTTTGTCCTCTAGGTTTTCTGCATTTAAAGGCAGACAATTTGGAAGAAACAACCAGCTTGTCCTTCCTTACTAGTTCCTAGCAAATCACAATTGAATTCTAAGTATGTGTTCGGAAAGGAGCTCCTATCTAGAATTGGAAGAACTGTCTGCTTAGAATATAATTCCAAATAAGGATTCAACCTAACCTAGTTGAACTCATATGTGGAAAACTGAAATTACATTTCGCATCTGAACCCAAGTTAGAGTGCTAACTAAGTTCCAATTTAATTTCTACTTCGAAAAAAAAAAAGGTACGATTTAAAGTCTATGTCAAAATAAGACATTAAACTGAATTCTATTCGAATTGCGATTGAACCTGAAGCCTTGCAAGCCCGTTGGAATTGTATTTGCATTGTCTATGGGAGGTCTACTGGTTCTTCACCCCTAAGGGGCTTGAGGATTGGAACAAGACACGCCGGTATTTCCAGTTCGCCGGCTACTTGGAAAGGATTCCCTATGCGAATCCAGATTGAACAGATTGTTTATTGACTTAGAATTGCCCATGATAAAACCAGAGATCTGAAATTGCATGTTCCTTGAGTTCCCACTGGTTTTTCACTCTTTTTTTCAGGGGCGGGCAAATAGCAGAAACGACGGGCATGTCTTTTCATACAGGGATAACATTAAATTCTATATAATTCAATTATATGCCAACAGGAGTGAACATCAATATGCCAAGATAATTGCAGCTACTCTTGCTTGAATGCGCATCAGCATGTTACAACAATCCATTCTGAGGACCCCGTTGTGTGATTCAGAACTCGCAGTTAGCACTCAGCAAGCCTACCTGCTCAAGATTCTATCAAATCTCAAAATCATTAAAACAAAAAGGTGCAGTACCACAGTCCGCCAGCCGAAAGCTGCAGAATCAGGTATCCCTTAATTCTTGACTGCTATTGGGTTGGATCTTTAGACTTTGACTGTTTGGGAATTCAAGGGGTTTTCCAGTAAACCCCCAAACTGTTATACTTTTTGCAGAGGGGTCAACATCAACCAAGAATGGTGGTTTGGGTTGGCGGTTTGGGTTGATCGGAACGGAACTTTCTGCACCAAACCAAAAAAACAAACCGCGGGGCCCGAACCACCAAATGGAGTAAAGCTGAGAAAAGTCGCCGGAATTCCACTTGTGGTGAGCCATTTTGCTTTTTATATGAAAAGACGATAAAAACAGAAATTGGGGACCCGTCCAGAATTTGGCTGGTGCTCAGGGAATGAGAGAATGAACTTGAAAATTCCGTTAAAGGAAAGCATAAGGAATGGTTTATCTCGGGGTCATTCCATGTCTCATGCCCTTCTGAGCACCAGCAAGAGAAGGTGTGGGGATCAAACAAATCACGAGCATTGGGCTTTTGTGAAAACCGTTACATGCATTGGCCTTAAAAAATGGTTTGTTTGTTTTTTTTGGAAACTCATTTTTAAATCAAAGTAAAACCCAATGCGTGTTCTACCAGTTCACCGGCTTCGGTTTGTCCACGTACCGACCGAGGCTGGAGCTTTGTCGTGGGGGCGAGCTCTACGAGCACGTCGCTGCCATGGCGGGGCAAGCCGTGTCTTTCTGGGAAGAAAACATGTGGGATCAGGTAACGGATTGGTGATTTGGAGATTTGAACCCCTGCTTCTTGTAGAGGGTAGATGAGAAACCACCCCTTGAAAAAAACCAAACCACCAATCCAAACCACCAACTAGAGGGAACCTGAGGGGAGGCCTTTTTCGGACAGGGCTCAATTTGTTTGACTACCCGGATGTGGATTTCAACCCAGGAGTGGTTTGGTTTCCTCATTTTGGGTGAAGCCCTGCGTTTAAGTCTATCTAAATGTAGTCATAAGTGGAGCCCTGCTTACAGATAGTTGTTCTTTTGGTTTCCCATTATTGGGGGAACCCGTACAAAGACACAAAAGCATGTCTGAAGCTCGCCTGTTGAATGTGCTGGTCACCGCAAATGGGTGAAAGATCAAGTTGTGACATGCTGTGATATCACACTTCGGCCTCAGGGAAAATTCGTAGGTGGCAGCGAACAGCGGTTCCAGTGGCTGTACCGTGCTAGCTCTGATGTGTGCCTCAGTGTTACAACTCAATTGGAGGTTTAAGGCGTCTCTGTTGGGCGACCCAAAGTGCTTGAGTCCTGCTGTTCATGTGTTCCCTGAGTTGACTAAGTTTGGTCCCAGCTAAAACAACTATTGGTGTGTGCAATTTTCCTTATTGAATTGAAGCAAACATGCTGAAACTGTCAACATCCGTTTGGGATGACCTTTTGCATGCCTATTGCCACAGGAATTGTAATCAAGCTCAACGCTGAGGGGTGGACCGATCCAGTCCTGATGATTCGTTTGGAAGCCCTGGTATTCTTGATTTGTTCCAAGTGTCAGAAGAGGTCTTCGGCAGGGCACCGGGTTTTGAAATTGGGGCGCATTCGCAGAGTGCCTGGAACCTCCATCGTAGCATAAATTTCTGCCTCCCCCCTTGTTCGATACCAAAATTGACTCGACGTAGCACTTTTTGCCTCCCATTCGCTTCCGAGCGCTTTTTGACGATTCGGGCAGAAATCCCATTCGGCCGTGTTTTCTTGATCCCCAGGGTCAAGTTGCCGCCAAAACGGGCACACAAATGTGCAAAAAAAGTGCAAAACGAGCGCAAATCGGCGCAAAAAAGCGCAAACGAGCGCAAATTCAAAAAATGCTACGAATCGCAGGTAGCAAATTGCATTTGCGCGGATGTCTCGAGCACTTTCTGTTAAAACGAGCGTTTTTTTGAGAAGAACGTGTCACGAGCAACAATATTTCGTAGCAAAAATTAAGGTAGCAAATGGAGGCTCCAGGTGTTGTTCGCATACGCATCCGCAGCCCAGAGAGTGGCAGGCGTTGGGACAACATGTGAGGTGCTAGCATTTCCGATGAGTTTGAAACACCCTGCATTTCTTGATTGCTATTGGGTTGGATCTTTTGACTTTGCCTTTTTGGTTAAAATCAAGCAAGTGTGTTTTTAAATCCACACAAAGTGAAAACCTGTTTGCAGCGGGGTCCTTACAGCAACCGAGAAATTAGGGGCCATCAACTAGAAGTCTTTGATTCAAGGGTCATGTTTTGCTCAATTCCAAAATACTGTGGATGGACGAACTCCTGCACCACTTTGAAACAATGGGAAACCATTGTTTGTTGGTACTTACCGCCAAATCATCATACCGGGCTTTCTGAACGGTGGTGCGAATTGGATTTCGTCCATATGGCGTACATCATAGATTGGTTGAGCGTCATCTATTATACAGGTTTGGGGAGGCCTGCAAAAGGCAATGCCAATGAAGAGAGCAGATCTTCTTTTTTTTCAGGGGACGAATTCTGATGTTCCAAGCTCCTCTCCTATGGCACAGGTTTTCACATGGTGACCTGAAAAGCGGTTGGTGAGGAGGTTTGAACCCTTCTCGGCTTTGGGCCCCTGGTTGAGCGTACTCCGATTCGGTCGGAATTGTTTAAGCCTGAATAGGGGGAAGTCCAGTGCCAAAGAACCTTCAAGCACGCCAAACAAAACAAGAAGTGCGCACGGAAAGCGAGGGCTTCTGCTGTGAAGGAAAAAACAGAAGGGACCATCCAATTCTGTTTGGCTAGGTCCCCCAGTGCCCTTCTCTCCCCTTTCTTGGTTGGGAGGGTTTCCCTACGAAAATAGACAGAAACAAGTTGGTGCCCTTGTTCTAACCTCTTAGGTCTGGTAGACCTAGCTGCTGTCAAGGAAAAATCAGAAGGAAGCATCCCATTCGTTTTTTTGGGGAGGGCTTCAACGTGAGCACTCAGGCGACCCAGCCGCATTTATTCCGCTGGATTCCGCTTTGAAACGTCGACAAACCGCGTCACAGGCCCAGCAGCGCCACTCGGAGGGGGGTGCTTTCCCGGAGCAGGGCGCTCGGGCGATGCGTTCGGTTCCGAAGCGAACCAGTGGGCGGGGCGATTGCATGGCTGGTGATGTAAGATATGTGTTTTTGACCTCATATCAATCAACCACAGTTTGGTAGTAGGTGGGATTAGCGGAGAATGATCACTTTTGCAGGGGAACACCCCCTATGATTGATTAATAGGGGGTCAACACGACTCTTAAGTTCTATTTGGGTGCTCCTGGTCGTAAGTGAGAGCTACCAAATGATTGTTTAATTGTTGAATTGCCAGCACTGGTACTTTCTAGGTGCTCGCATAATACTAATGCTGAGCTGGATGTTCCTTCGGAGTTATGAACGGATTGCTTGACTTGCGCCTTCTGAGGTAGCCGATTAGCATGCATGTTTGTGGATACCTCTTTGTGTTCAATCTCGGACAGACAAATTGTTTAGTTCTTTCCGCTTGCACTGGATCAACCAATGAGAGTTGTTGCGGTTCTGCTCTTATTCATGCCAAATTCCGCGTTTTGCCGCCTTGCGTGAGCAACAGGCATGTGTCAAGAAGAGCTTTTCTGAGGGATATTCACATGTCAACCGGATAAACATGGTTTTGCCATGACAGGAATGTTGATGGTGCGCCAAGGCATGCTTGCTTTGGGGTGCTCGCTTGCCGACCATGCAAGTTGAGGTTCTTGTATCTGGACCAAACAGCTGTGCGGTTTTCGAACCGGACGATCTGGTTGTGGAATTCTAGTACGAAGATGCATGTGCGAAAATGACACATGCTTTAGATTTCTATTCTGTGGCATGAGATGTGGTGACTTTTCAAAGGCCATCAGAGGAGTGAGGAGAAGGGCGTAAAGCAATGATCGCTAGTCCCACGCCAACATGGCGCACTGCGTGGTTGCTATGGCCAAGAGTTGAAGGAAATAGCTCGAAGGAAGTTCTCAAGGTACTTGTACGACTTGAACAGTTAGAATGATTTCTTGCGTTGGCCACGACATCCTCCAAGAATTTGGACTCAGCCTTGGTCTCTGTTTGTTGGCAGATGTGAGTGTGATATGAATGGTCAGTACCTTTGCCTTTGTTCAAGGCCTGACTGTTACAAGTGCAACCCGTCCACCCCGCCACCCGCAGACCTAGAGACACTACTTCGACAGCCAATGACAGACTCAGACTCTTTCAACAGACTGCTACGACAGAGTCTGTGACAGACGGCTGACACACTCCGCAGCCAGACCATCCAGTGGCTATGGGCGGGTGTGGCAGGTAAACCAGGACAGCGAAGCTTGGGCTCCCACCAGTGGCCGGACCAAGCTTGAGGTCGTCCGAAGAAGCCTGACAGCTGTGACAAGGTGAAGGGTCAGACTCCCGTCAGTTGGTTCTTTTTCAACAAGAAGCCTGACTACAGTAAACAGCCAAGGCTAGGTGTAAACGCTGCCTTGCTTCCAGTTGGGTTCGACCGAGTCTCTTTGCTCTTGCATCAGCCAGCAGCGTTGAGGCGTCCATGCAGTCAGATCGACCATTTGGCACCTGTGTGGCTGCGGTCTAGTTGAGTCATGCACATTTTCCTGTGATGAGTTTGATCGAGGTAAACTAGTTTCCTATGAAGCATATGTCAATCAAAGGAGGTAGGTTTGAATATTTGCAATCAAAGCCACGGCTTGGCTCTATCACTTGGACGGTATGATAACCAAGCTTCTTAGAAAAAGATACGGGGACATGCTGTGGTTGATCCCCGCTTCAGTTGTGTCAGGGTTGCCTTCAAACTGACCCTTCCCAATTGTCGAACGAGCCTTTGTTGCCTCCTAAAAGAAGGTGCAGGGTTCTTCTGACGTCCTGTCACATGACAATACTGAAATGTTCATGGATTGTCTTTATGAGTCAATGTTCGCACCCTTGCAGACGAGGTCCGAAGCCAAAGTCTACTTCCGGCAGATGCTTTATGCAGCAGGGGCCTAGGATGCTTTGCTGAGGATGTTGCAGAAGGGTGGGGAAAAAGTGTGCTTGAACATTTGTTCAATGGATTCCTCACATATGTAACGGTCCGAACTTTCAAATAAGGGTGGCTTTGAACCTGTGCCCAGCCCCGTTTACCGCTTGATGGGGTCGAAACAGGTCTACTATCAGGAAGGGGTTTCTATCGCCAAGGTCATTACCTTTGGGCAGCTTCATATACGTCTGAATCAAAATGTTTGAAACTTTCGGCTCGCAACGAATCGTTTTGACCTCATCAACAATTCCAGTTGCGCGATCAGCTTTGCATCTGCAAACCGACTTGGAAACCGGGATATTGATAATATGCGAGTCGACATCGAGGAGAACTACCGCAATGCTAGAACTTGATTAATAAACGGTCCCCCCCTCAACAATGAAGGCACTAGAATTCTGCCGGCTCACTTCTAGGACATCCAAGCAATGGAGGAATTCGGGGCCCAATTCTACTTTAGTATTGCAGCCACTTCTTTTTGAATTCTACTTTAGTATTGCAATCACCTCTTCCTGAGCAGACTTTTTGGAATACTACTTTAGTATTGCAATAACTTCTTCCTGAGCAGGCTTTTCGGGATGGCTTTTGAATTACAACTGATTTGTGGGTATTGTTTGGGATTTTTCCCCCAGGGCAAAAAACCTTCAATTATTCTGGTCCCCATCAACAATGGGGGTGAACCACAATAAGGCAAAGCTTTGCATTATTCACTATCCCATTACTTATCGGGTGTTAACACTATTCAGCCAAAGGTTTCTTGGTTGCATTTGTGTGGGGTCATGTTGTCCACATATTTGCCACATTTCTGTTTGTGAAATCGAGAGTAGGTTGCTGCTGTGAAGATTAGATTTGTTGAGGTTGGAGCACGCTTGTCTTGACCTCAACCAATGTTATGCCTGGAGATCCCAACATATAGATCAACCTCCCCCTCCTTAACTGGGGGTCCCCTGCTTTAGGCTTCCCAAGCCCCATTGGCCATTTTAGAAGGGGGTTGTGCATGGTTTCGAGGATCTTGGCGGCATGTGCGCGAAATCGAGCCTCGATGCGAGCGAGTTGGAACTTAGAGGACCATCCAAGAGCAAAGGCGTACGGGCAGCAAGATCTACGGTGGATGCACTGAGCAAGGGAATCCAAAGTAAATTCAAACATGAATTTAGTGTTTTTTTTGTTTTTTGTTTTTTTAATCCAATCGGGGTGCCTTCCTGCTTTGATTTTGTTCTTGCGCCGGTCTTGGCGGATGCTGGACCTTTCAGAAATGTTTCGCTATCCGAGCATTCGATTAGTTCATCTGGGTTTGTGTTTTTTTGAGGGACCATTTGTTGGTGGTTTTGTTGAAGGGGGCCCAAAACGAGCCCACCTTTTTTTGTTGTTGCATGCGGACAAACATCGCGGGCTCCAAAAATGGAAAACCAGCCAACCACGTCTCTTCCGCGCGAACTTGCGCGGAAGAGTTGCGCAAGGGCATGTTGAAGCTGGGGGGGTTCCATGTAGCCCACTAAAAGTTAAACTTTTAGCAGGGGATCTGGGGACAGCCCAGAGAAGAATTGTTGCGGAAAAACCTTTGCAACCATTTCGGTGGCAGCAACAGTGTTTTGGCGTTGGGCGCTGCTTATATGATTTCTTCGGGAATATGTGTGTATGTGATAGTTTGAGTTTACATTGAACGTTTTCATGTCCACACATACAAACACACACACACACACACACACCACAGACACAACCACGCACACACACACACACACGAATTGATATTGTGATTAGTTTGTAAGAGGGATCATGCATAGCCCACACAATAGGATAAATCATGCCGCATGCAAGATCACACGCACAAAATACACATGTCTGACTGCCGCGTAAGCTAAAACATGGGTCGCGTAAGGAAAGTGCATGCTTGCGCGTAAGCAATTTGATACGACATAGGGATTCATGGGAGGTTTATAGAGTCGCTCAGGTGAAACAATCAAGTCTGAAGGTCTTTGGGGGTTGGCCCTATTTTTGTTTGCGGTTGAAGGTAGCCAGTTGGGCCAAAACATGCCAGTTTTCCAGGCCAATGCCCGAGCCCCCTTTGCAATGGCCGATTGCAAGCCACCATTAGAAAGCGTCGCGTGAGTCACAATCAAAACCCGGGTAGAAGGTTAGTAAGGGCCGATCCCAACCAAAAAATAGGTGCGGCCGCCTTCTTAATCCATTACATGGTTCTGGGTTCACCATGTTTGTACCGGGTTTTGACTATGACTTAGCACTGTCCTCCGAGTGCTCAGGTCAGCTTCCTGCACAAGATCAGGATTGTTCATCGAGACATCAAGCCGTGACCACAGGTTGCCACTCATTGACCCATTGATGAGCACCGGACAGTTTGCGCGTTAAACTTTGCTCAAAGTCTCAAACCCTGGTTGCTGTGGGGTCAGATTCTGAACCTGGAGTTGTTCAGATCGTTTGTGCAAATGTATGTTTTTTGTTGTTCTTTCTTTCTTTCTTTGTTTATTTATTTCTTTTGTTCTTTCTTTCCTTCTTTCTTTGTCTGTCTGTCTGTCTGTCTGTCTGTTTTGCGCATGTGTGTGGGTGTGCTCCTGTGCTTCTGGGTAACCATCACACAGGGCATGTTTTGCCAAGGGCCATGCAGGCAGGGAATTACCTGCTGGACGTCCGGAAGTTGGTTGCACGTCCTCCAAAACTTGCCCAAGGACGTCCCTAAACTGCAGTTGTTGCTGCACGCTTCCCAGCAGAGTGCCATGAGTTACTTGGAAATTTATGGACATTTGGAAAATCCTCTCAGTAGAACAGTTCCTTTCGAATTAATTGGGACTCTTCCAGGAGGTTAATCCCGGGAGGCGAGGCAGTCTGCAAACAAGGTATGCAGCAAGCAGTTGGACTTCGCAGCCTGTATCCTTCAACCAAAGGACTGAGAATAGTAAAACTAAATGATGTACACACAGAAACGGCATTTTGTAGTTGCAAGCTAAATTAGGCACCGATAGCATCAAATAAAAGAAGGGATTAGCTGCGCAGATTCCAGTGAGGAAAAGGAGGAACCACACCAAAGTTACCGTGAAATTGCATGGCCAAATCTGGACATCCCCCATCGACACCACGGGGTTCATTCTTCAAAACTGGTTAGAACCAAGGTTAGTACATGGTGGAAACTGAACAAATTGAATGGCTGGATGGTCCGCTGCCTCTGTTTCTTCTTGTGTTCAAAGCGGGCAGCACGCTTGTTGAATTAGGTCATGTTTGTTTTTGGTCTAAAGAACAGCATGTGAGGCTGTGTGCTGGGTTGAGATATGCCCTTTGGGTTTGTCTTAAAGCGAAACTGAAGGGATTGTCTGACCACACACTTGATCGGGGGGGGCGGGTTGCCCTGTACTGAGGACGGAGAACTTTCTGCTGCTGGGTGACCAAGGCTCTCCCGAAGGCGCGGGCCGCGAAAAATGGTTTCCATGCCAAGAAAAGAACAAAGCACTTTGGCTGGTTGCGAAGCATGAACCTGTTGAGAATTTCCAGGCCGTCGCGTTGTGTCTTTTGTTTCCTCTGTTTTGTGTGTGTGTGTGTGTGTGTGTTTTTGTAAAACAACAAAACATAGGGCGATGGACATGAAATCATTCTTGAACATGGGCGCCGCGCCACACGTGCAGAAGCTTGCGGAAGAGATCCTTTGCGGAAGCTTTGTGGCTATGAGCGGTTTCCGATGGTGCAAGCAGGGCAAACGGTTAGAGGCAGACAAGTGCTGCACACAAGCGCCATGCTTACTAGAGCAGTTGCCAACAACACGCTAGGAGCAAAGCAGCCGGCAGGTTTCGCGGAAAAAAGTGTGCGGAAGCTCCGTGGAAGGGTGCCCCGTGTTTGAGGCAAGTGCCGTAGCACCAGTAGCCCAACAGAGCCCAAGCCTACACATGTTGTGGCAAGACAGGGTGAATTACACCAATTTCTGGCAGTTGCCAGACGCTGAAAGCCAATAGCTGAGCATTAGCTGAGCAGTTGCAGACACAACGAGGTATATAAATGCACTCGCGGAAGCAAAGCTTGTAAATATGCCGCGGAAGGACGATTGCTATTGGGTCGCTGAGAGGGATGAAGGGAATCAGCTTGATTGCTATTGGGTTGGATCTGTAGACTTGGACTTTTTGGGAAATCAAGGGTTTCCTATTGAACCCAAAGAAAGTTATTTATTGTGCAGAGGGCTCACCCGCAACCAAGACAAACAACGACGAGCAACATGCGCGCGCATAGTTGGGGCTGATTGAGCTGCGTACATCCAAGCCGACGCCCAAAGCGGGATAATCGCTAGGACGCCTCACTTACTCAGACTGGGAGGCTAAAGGGTGAAGCCTGAAAAGTTCAATCCAGCGGTCTATGACTATGGTGAAGCACAAAGTCAATAGTTTCTTGGTGGTTTGCACCTTAGGTTTTTAGGTTTTCAGGGTTTAGTGGTAGTTCCAGTAAACCACCAAAAGAGACACTTTTAGCAGGGATTTGAGCCCAGGTTTGGCACGGCCCTAGGCCCTAGACCCTTTCTTCTCTTGCTCTCCGCACACTCGAGTAGTTTGGGATGAATCAGCTGTGACTGCAACACGTCGCGCGATGTGAAGCTCCCAATGTGGATCCTTCGGTCTGGTAGACCCAGGTGAGTTCCATTCAAACCCCAAAAGTAAAGGTTCCCAGGAGATCCCAACCCAAACCTCACGTGGGGCAGCAAATCTTATCCATCCTGTACGCTTTCCGGGTATCTTCCCTGAAGGGGCTTTAAATGGGCCTCAGGCGAGCAATCAAAACCCGAGCTTCCTTAAGACCTTTGTAATACCTGGTGCGGATTGGGACTCTGGCTAGGTCCCCCAGTCATGCCCTTTCTAAACCGTTTTTTGGGGGAGCATTCCCCTACTAAAATAAACTACAGAAAAAAGAAACGGTACCCCTATTCTGACCTCTCTACTGGAGGACCTAGCTGGTGTTTCACCATATTTGTCTACCATCGCCTGCAGTGAGCTGGGGCGTGCACACGCCGGCAAATGTCACACCTACCCCTGCAGCATTTTACGGCACGACAACTGCAGCTTCCCAATCTGAGGGGCTCACCCAGAAGCAAAGCCAGCGGAGTATGTATGGCGCCCCAAGCAAAGGCACTGCGACATTGGCCCAGGCTCTTCGGATTTCTCGGGCCCAGGCAAGATCATCAAGCTCTGCGACTTTGGTACCGCAGTGCAGCTGAGTGCACAGATGCCTCAAGCTCAGCTGAGTCGTCCAAAGCCGCTTTTGACCTGTTGGTTTTCCCTTTTTCGGTCCAATTTTAGCAAAGGCCCAGTAAGGTCAACCTTTTATTTCCAGGTCCCTAAGGGGCAACTGACACTGACATGAGTCTTCTTGTTGCACTTAAATGGCTGGGGCTCAAAGGAACAATGGCTTGCCCCGGTAGATTCTGGAAGCAAAGACGAACACCTGTGTACGGGTCCCGAATGTTGAATTTTGAGCCACCCAAATGGCTTCATAGGTACCAAGCTCCATGTGAAAGACGCAGCCACAGCCCTCTAGTGCCACAAGCGCACAGGCGGAGGTGCGTTTTGATGGATTGTGAATGTTTGATGGATTTTTGATGGATTTTGGATTTTTGATAGATTTTTGATAACTGGGCAAAGGCTCATGCATTGTTGCTCGATCCCGAAGACCCCAAAGATCCCAAATATCCTGACGATTTTGTTGTCAGATCCAAAGGAGGAGCTGGCAAAGGGCAAAACTCTGGATTAAGTTTGGGATCGGCTGGCTGAGGCTATGTTGTTTCCGGGTTGCTTTAGAATGTAGAGCCGGCTTAGGGTTGCTTTTGCTTCGGAGTATGTAGTTTGTGTGTAGTTTGTGGTTTTTTTTGGGATGGCTTGGGATCGTTGCACGCCAGGGATAGAGATCGCTGCGCAAATTTGAGGATGAAGTGTCGATCTGTATAGGGCTGTTTTTTTTTCTCCAGAATTGGGGACCCGTCTAGGTGGTTGGTTTCCTCTTGGTTTGCCTTTAACGCTATCCAAAAACGGAAACGGCTCCACTCCCCGCCTAAAAATGGACTTGGAGGGGGATTTCGACCCCGGAATTCCATTGGCTCATATTGGCTTCATGTACACTTTATGGGGAAGACTAGACAATGGAATTGGGGGATCCCCGACCCCGGAGCTCCCCTCATGGTAGGGAGGATGGGCTCCATGTTTGAGAAGCCATCATGTGAAAATATGCTGGCACAAACCCCGAAGGCACCAGCCGAACACAGACGTTCATATCGACGAGCGGACATCTTATCTAACAAAATCCATGAGCATTATACAAAGTCCACCAAAACCGTTCTCTGAGAACCCCAGGATTCGGGCGAACCAGCCTTTGGGGAAACTGTCTTACCAGGGTGCATGTGATACATGTAGTGGAAGTTCACTCTCCAGCTCTTTGGCCACTTTCCCGAGTCTAGCAACAAGCTGTGCACGGCCATAGCCCGCGTCGGCTTTTTTTCGCCGTGCCGAAGGTGGATCAGCAGCTCGCCGAAACAGGCCCTAGGAACAAGACCTCCTTCTCATGGTGTTGATAGCCGCGGAAGGCCTAAGACATACCAAAACTACTGTTTGTTCTTCTTTTTTTTTTTTTTTTCGCGTCAAACTGACGCAAAAAGCCAGATGTGAAGTGATTTGAAGAAAAAAGGCCAGATGAAGTGATATCCGGGGAGTGACCACTTCGATTTTTCTCGGAGTTTTCTTGGAGTTCTCCGTCTCCCTTGGCCGCTCCAACCAGGGACCACGGGGAAAAAGTTTCAGCGGGGCTCCTTGTGCCCAGGCCTCGAGCCATGGGCCGAATTGGCCCGGGGTCTGAGGAAAAACAATTGGTTTTTGTGTTTTTTCTTCTTCTTTTTTCTCGTGGCTTGGAGTCAGGGGCAGGAAAACTCGTTTTTCCCCCCCTCTTTTTTTCTCCGGGGCTTGGAGCCAGGGGTTGATTTGGGTTTCGGGCGTGGTGTAGAGTTGGGGTGAATAAGTTTGCTTCAGGTAGTTGGTTGGAATAAGGTTGCTTCAGGTGGTTTTAGTGTTAGGGTTTAGGGTGTAGGGGGAAGGCTGCTATCACCCTGGGGTTGAAAGGTTGGCATCTTAGAATCTTAGAGTTTACTTCAGCTGTGAGGCAAGGCTGAATACGGAGAGCTCTTCTGCAGGGATTGCCCGGTGCTTTGAACTGTGAATGGGCGCAACTCTAAGATTGAGCTGTCATGTCAGGGAGGTTCTTTTTGGGACATACTGTGGATGGTCGAAATCCTGCACCACCTAAAACATCCTGGGATGCTTCCCCTGTAAATCCAACAAACAATGGTTTGTTATGGATTGAAAGTGGTGCAGGATTTCGTCCATCCACAGTAGTCCCGCCAAATGGTTATCATTTGCTGGTTTCTTGTGCCGATGGTTGCATTCCTCCAATTGAGTTTCCCTCAGGACCCCCCCCCTCGAGGCAGAACCCATCCGGTGTAAAGGTTTCTATCAAGGACACAACCTGACCATAGCCGTCACACAGAGAGTTTTCACAGCACACATGTTGTAGGTTTTATGATGGATCCAAATGGCTGTGAGTAAAAAATAGGTGCTCAAAATGGCACCCTGGCAAATGGTCAATGGACACCTAGACTAAAAGCTGCGCTCCCCTGGTGGTTTAATTTTGACACATACCCAAATGGTACTTTGATGCTTTCTCCAGGCTGTTTTCTCCTTCAAATTTGTTTGCTTCGCTTTGGGTTTCATGTTGCCCGGCAGTGACCACAGGTGTCCTTTTTGTTTGTTAGTTGGGTTAGAAATAGTTGGGCAAGCCACTAGTGTTAGATTGGTTTTATGACATCCATTTGCCAGGGTTTTGCCAGCTACGTTTTACCAACAGGGCACCTTGCGAAATTGATGGCACCTTGGATTGGGTTTATGCCATCCATTTACCAGGGTTTTGCCTGCTACGTTTTACTCAAAGGACTTTATGGCAGTTTGGATTGGGTTTATGCCATCCATTTACTGGGGTTTTGCCTGCTACGTTTTACTCAAAGGACACCTTGCGAAATTGATGGCACTTTGCATTGGCTTTTATGCCATCCATTTACCAGGGTTTTGCCAGCTACGTGTTATTCAATGGACACCTTGTGAAATTGATGGCACTTTGCATTGGGTTCTCGCCATCCATTTACAAGGGTTTTGCCAGCTACGTTTTACAAAAGGACACCTTGTGAAGTTGATGGCACTTTGGATTGGGTTTATGCCATCCATTTACCAGGATTTTGCCAGCTACGTTTTACCAAAAGGACACCTTGTGAAATTGTTGGCACTTAGGGTTGGGTGAAATGCCATCCATTTACCAGGGTTTTGCCAGCTACGTGTTACTCAATGGACACCTTGTGAAATTGATGGCACTTTGCATTGGGTTCTTGCCATCCATTTACCAGGGTTTTGCCAGCTACGATTACAAAAGGACACCTTGCGAAATTGATGGCACTTTGAATTGGGAAAATGCCATCCATTTACTAGGGAAGTATTTCATTTTTCCTGGAAGGACAAACATATGGCCGTGGTTGTCAACACCAAAGCTGTACCCCTGGTGAACATCAAAATAGGTGGCAAATTGATGTTCATCCACCCCAAAATGGGATCGCCATAGGGCCACTGCAACCCATGGCAATCTTGTGACGTAGGCACCTTGTCCTACACGGCTCCGGAGATCTATGCGCGGCGCGGCGCGGATCTTTGTGCGAGCCCAAGTGGCTTGGGGATGGTCCCAAGAGCCTCGTTGCCCAAGCGGCAAGATCTCTCCTTGTTCCTTGTTGTTTGTGCTTTTTGTGCCGGAAAAAACACAGTTTTTTTTTGTTTTCCTGTTCCTTTTTTCCGTTTTTCCTGGAAAAGGCAGGGTTTGGTCGTGGCATCTGTTTTTTCTTAATTTGCCCGTCGTCGGGTTGAGACATGGCATGTGTTTCAATTTGTGTGGTCGCCGCGTTTCACGGCAATTCAGATTTACACCGGAGTGACAAGGCTGACCCGGCTTGGGGTCTCCACGATGGGCCATGGCCAGCTCTAAAGACTCGTGAAATCTGGAGCTACAACAAAGGACCTGTATGAAGATGCTGCACCAAGGGACCAACCGTTGCCCAGTTGATAGTTGGACCATATGAACAACCTATCTAAAGCGACGGCCGACAGCGCTCCGGCACCCGTTTCTTTGTCACAGAGCGTCGTTTGGCTTGTTTCTCTTCTTTTGGCGGTACCCGAAACGTATTTGTTTAAGTTGCACGCTCCCCGTTCTTTTGAGCAGTCTCATCTGCGTGCGTTTGTTTCTTTCTTTTTTCGGGGACCCCCCGAAGAACGGATGGTTTTCCTGTTGGTCTCGCTTTAAAATCGGCCCAACAATGTACCCTGAAAAAAGAGACACTCCCATTTTGAGAGACTGGGATTTGTGGTCCCGATTTGTGGCACTGAGTTAGGTTGGCTGGACTCCATTGAAAGCTTGGCCAGGCGCCGACATCTGGTCCTTGGGCGTGGTTCTCTATGTGCTCCTTGCCAGGGCCCTAGGACCCTAGGGTCTGGGAGGAGGAAGACGAGTGGGTGTGATTTGGGGGACCCGATTTTTTCTTTCTCCTACCACAAAGCAGTTTTTCGACCTCCATGTTACCTTGAGTTCATGGGTTCAACAAACAGGTTGGGGTCCAAAAAATCAGGGCCCGATTTGTTCAGATGTTCAGATGTCATTTCTGAGGTTGCTTGAAAGGGAAAAGGGGAAGCCACGTTCCAACTCTTTGAGACGAAGCCAAGGAGCATGTGCGCAATGTCTGGGTCTCACGGCTCCGTCTAAGCTTGCATGGCATTCCCAAGGCCCAGTTCAGACAGATGCTCAGAAGCGGGACGACGTTCGTAGCTCGAAGATTTCGTGCACGTCACTCCGAATTTTTCTGGCCCTGGGTTCAGGAAGCGAGTTTTATTCAAATCCGAGCATGTGACAGGGTAGCCAATGCGGAGCAACAGTGACCAGGCACATGCACTCCTGACACGCATACGGAAGGAGTCCCAGACTTGAGAGGGCATTGATCCCAAGCATTTCACTTTGGATTAAAGTTCCTTTGCACATGTTTGGAGTGTGTACCTTTTCGAAGGGGAAACTCAGAAACTGCTTGGTATGTCCTGTCTGTTGGTTTGCTTCCTGGTTTGTTTGTTTTTACATGGTTGATCATTAGAGAAACCAAAACAACAAGTACGACTTTCACTAAATGCTAGAAGTTACCCATATGGTCAAAACTGGGGCCTTGCATGGAATGTTGATCAACCCCATATGAGCGGCGTCCGAAACCTCGATGTACATGTTTGGCAAGGTCATGTCATATACAAGCAAAAACTCCGCGCGTAAGGCGTAATCTGGTGGCTTAAGCAAAGCCTCCAAATGTGTCGCGTAAGCAAAAACTCCACGCGCGTAAGATAGCGTAAGCTGGTGGCGTAAGCAAAGCCGAAGTGTGTCGCGTAAGCAACAACTCCACGCGCACAAGGTGGCGTAAGCTGGTGGCGTAAGCAGATTGATACGACGGAGCAAATCATGACGCGTTTAGGACATGGCTTGTATGGATCTCGCCTTGGGCAAGCTGCCACGTTTTTGGTTCGGAGCGGACCCCACTTCCGTCCAGGTTGGCGCGAGCCCGTTCCGCATCACAGGTGCGAGCCCTTCCGCGTAGCCAGTTGTCAAGGTGACGAATGGTGGAGTTGGAGTTCCTTGGTTTGGATGGATGTCCTGAAATTGAAGGGCCCGTACTTGGATAGTGACAAACACGCATCTAGAGAAAGCATGAGAAAACCAGAGTAACAGTGATAAACAGAAACCAATGTAAACCTGGTGTCACTGAGTTTGAGGCAGTTTGAGGCGTACCCTATTCGAGTCTTTAGAGCAGCCCTTGAGCCCTTCAAAGGATGCAGCTTCTGCCCTCCCAAAGCTGCTACACTTGAGAACTGACTGAGCACTGCACGAAAAATATTTACCAGATTTCCATGCATGTGGGAAAATCCATCAATTGCTGTTTGGACCGGCTTTTGTTGACAGTATGTGCTGCAGAGGTTTGAGATTGTTTGAGTTTGAATCGCGGGAATGCCCTTGAGCGTGTAGCATTGTTTGCTCGGGTGATTATGGGGCCTGTATGGGGCCTGTGTAACTCACAGCCAGCGGGAATCTTTAGACCTCATTGGCGTGGCCTCGACCCCCTCCCTCCCTTGATATCAAGTCCCCTCCCTTGATATCAGGTCCATTCATTGAACCCCGTAGACCTTTACAAATATTTGGTTGTTACGGAGCGAATAACATCTTACATGCGCACCTCTGCGCCGTTTTTTGGTGCTAGTGGATTCCAGCATTAGCCTTGGTGCGTGGAAGTCACCAAACCCGTCTATTCGAGTTTTCTTGGATTTTTTACGGATGTGTTTGTTCTGGCCTACGTAGAACCGTTCAAGTGTTGATTGAGAAATGTGACATTTAACTTCGCAGAACCTTGCATCTGGTCTCACAGCAGACAAGGGGTGCAGCAAGCAAGTTCCCTATTTGGGTGACTTTAAATGGGTTCTAACAGGTGGCTCTAGGCGTGGTGCAAGCCGGAACCCGTTTGCTAGAACCCGTTTATGGTCGCTTCAATTTGTTCGTTTTCGGTTCCGGACACACCGGCCTTTTGCGATTCCTCAGGCGTCGAGAGCCGCACGGAGACTTCCAAACGGATCCTCGCAGGAGGGAACGACATGTGTGTGTGTGAGTGTGTGATTGTGTGATTGTGTGGTTGTGTGGTTGTGTGGTTGTGTGACTGCGTGACTGCGTGACTGTGTGACTGTGTGACTGTGTGACTGTGTGACTGTGTGACTGTGTGACTGTGTGGTTGTGTGGTTGTGTGGTTGCGTGGTCGTGTGGTTGTGTGCTTGTGTGCTTGTGTGCTTGTGTGCTTGTGTGCTTGTGTGCTTGTGTGCTTGTGTGCTTGTGTAGTTGTGTGTTTGTGTAGTTGTGTGGTTGTGTGATTGTGTGATTGTGTGACTGTGTGACTGTGACTGTGTGACTGTGTGACTGTGTGATTGTGTGATTGTGTGATCGTGTGATTGCGTGATTGCGTGTTTGCGTGATTGCGTGATTGGGTGATTCGGTGATTGGGTGATTGTGTGATTGTGTGATTGCGTGACTGTCTGACTGTGTGATTGCGTGATTGTGTGATTGTGTGATTGCGTGATTGCGTGATTGAGTGATTGGGTTGTTTGTCTCTGTGTGTCTCTGCGTCTCTCTCTGCCCCTGTGTCTCCTTGTGTCAATCCGGGTTTCCTCAACAAGATAGGTTTCTTGGAAGGTTTGAACGGGCACCTGAAGCAATGTTGGCAACTGGCCAAATTCAATGTAGGAGTTGATGAAGAGGCCCTTTACATGAGATAACCACGAAAGCATGACTCTCCCACATGGGAAACGTTACCCATGGAGAAAGCTGGGGCCGAATGGTATATATGTATGTCGATCAACCCCCATGTGGGTGAATTATTTTGAGCAGTCAGCCCTTGTACGTGGTCTATATGTTATGATACGGCCAATTTTCTGACCCAATAACAGTGTACAGTCTGGATTGGCCAATGTATCCTACTTTCTGCTTTTCGGAGTTCTCCAGTCCTGACGTGGTGAGTTGTCTTGGTTTTCTTGATTTCCCCTCTTTAAGTTTCAAAGGGAATCGATTTCGCTACTGGATGTGTTTTCTCCTTCTTTCCAGGGGTCGAACAAAACATTGGAATAATAGCAAGGCCCAAGCCAGCCACATCGGGAAACAAATCCCAAAGTGCAGCAACATCCCAAAGTCCCGACAAAAGTGAGAAGGAGTCCATGAAGTACTAGTGTAGGATTAAGCAAAACCAGTGAAGATTGAAGGGTGTATGAGACCTACTCACTTGTTGGGGTAGCAATCCATCGAAAATCGTAATCGCAAAAAGGTCCTGAGTGTGCATTGATCTTTATGATCAAAACAAGCAAACAAGAGGCAAGCAAAACCTGTCAGTGTCAAATAATGCCAATCTTACCCCTGATTGAGACGGAGAAAACACAATTCAATTGCGAGAGACGTGTCTGTTCGGGGAAACCACAATGGTGAGAGGAACCGTCGGAGACTTAGTTGTCCAAAGCCAACCTTTTGACGTTTTGGTCTTCCTTTGTTGGTTTCCCATTTTTCGTCATGGCCCCAACAGGTGATCACCTTTTCTCCAAAAGTGATGAATCCCCACTAAAACCAGGGACACCCCCATATTAACCCCCTGGTTGAACCCCCTTATTAAACCCCAGGCTGTCCTGGGTCGCACCCCACGAAAACCAGGCTATGAACGGTCGACCTTGTCTTAAGGTCCGCTTAATCATGGTCATATATTGCGTACGTACATGCATACCAACACATACTTATAATGTTCCCTTCTGATTTTGGTAGATGGAGACCTAAGGTGTTGGGTTCCTATTTGCGTTTTGGCCCCAAAAGGTCGACCTTTTCTTTCTGGTCCCCTTTGCTACTGTGGATGAACGAAATCCATTTCGCACCTAAGAAGCCCTGGAAGTATGACTAGGTAACCCAGTAGTGCCCTTCTCTCCCCTGTTTTTGGGGAGGGTTCCCCTACTAAAATAGACTACAGCCAAAAAAGTCGGGTACCAACTTATTCTAACCTCCCTACTGGAGGACCTGGATGATTTCCCCGCAAATACCAACAAGTGTTTTGGTTTCCCCATGGATTCAAAGATGGTGCATCGTCCCATATCCTAGTTCACCTGGACCGTTTTTGCAGGCAGCTACGACACCTCCCGTGCGGGCTGGCTGAACTGCTCCGAGCGGGCGAAGGCGCGCGCGGGCTTTAACTAGGAACGGCGCTTGTTTGTTTTTTTTTCCTTCTCGTTTTCCCCCCTTTTTGTTTTTGTTTTGCTTTTGTTCTGGATTCTTCCGGGTTTCTTTTCTAACGGCTTTTCTTTTGCCTCTGTTCAAAAAAGGGTACCCTTCCTCCAACTAACATGGCATCTGTGGAGAGGTACCTGGCACTATCAATCTCCTTTTGAAGAGAGTCCCTGTCAGTTGCCATGTTAGTGGGAGGGAGGGTAAGATTTGGATTGAGCTCAGGTGATGCGTTTTGCGTCGGAACAGTAGTTCCGATAGTCCGAATGTATTGTGCATGCAGCTTTACACCCTAGTGATGTGCCTTCTTGTTCTATAGGCACAGGCGCAGCTCAAAAGTTTCATGCCACGGTGTTGTCTTCCCTCGGCTAGCCTGTCCATGGCTCACAGCCACGCCACGTTTCCATTTTGAGAAGAAGGGCAATGTGTCGCCCGAGTCATCCGGCAAGTTGCATAGGTTTCCAGCCATTGCACACGAGCTTTGCATGTACGAAGCAGGGGGGTGGCAATAAATGGTTCCAGCTTGCACAGGACAACGTGTGTGTGGGGCATCCTGGAACCCCTGTGATAGAACTCATTTAGGGTCACCCGAATAGAGATGCCTAACAGAACTTCAGCGAGCACCTGCATCGCCAGGACTTCATGAGCAAGCTAATGCTGGTGGAGGACCTGTCGACTCTTGCGGTCGCGGATTCCCAATCGTGTGGGCACGGCAAAAAAAAAGTCAAGTGGGCTCTTTGAATAGCACACATGCGAGAGTCTCCAATGCAGAGGACCAGCGCGAGCTTTCCTTTGGAAGGCTAAGATGGCGAAGTGGTGCCTGTCAACTCAACATAAACAGTCTAGAATGGAGTGGTCTAAGGGAACCCAGACAGTGCCTGATTTTTTCTTTTTTTCGGGGATACGTTGTCCGGTTAGGTCCCTGCGTTGGGTTTGCTTTTGAGCGGATGCGGTCAGAAGCACCGCTTTTGATTTTGAACTGTGACATTCTGCTTGGCGTGGCTCTCAACAACACCTGCCTAATTGGTTGTTAACAAAGTCCTTAAGCAACCAACCCAATCTTGTCCCATCAGGTTTTGCTTTGGTTGCCTGCTGCACTTCGCTGGAAAGCTTTCGCCACTCGGTTTGCATTGGCCAGCTTTGTTGACAGCTGCCACAGGTTCCTTTGTCCCCTTTTTTTTGTTTTCTTTCTTTCTTTTCTTCCTTTGTTCTTTCTTTCTTTCTGTCCACAGGCGTTTCTTTGGGTGGATGTTTCAGCTGACTTATTTGGTCAACCCTTGTCTCAACCCAACCAGGTTGTTTCACCAACCTGATCAAAGATACTCATGCAGCAACAGGCAGTGGTCGGTAACTCTAAGGAACCCCAAAGTGCAGTTTCCTCCACAGAAGTTGGGAATGATCACAGGGGTGTGTCTTATAGTGGACCCCTTCAATGCTTGCTTTCCATTTCTTTCCCAAAAACCACCCAAAGAGAGGGGTACCAACTCCAACCAAAAGCAGGCCCATCTTTATCTCCGGTGACCACGAGATATTTGGGCCTTCGTTGCCTACAGCATTTGTTCCACTTCCCAAAAAGTTGCTTCTTTCGTTTCCAGTGGGTTTCCCGAAAACCCCAAAACACGAGAGAAGAAAAACGAGCTCCAAAAGAGACAGGGTCACAGACGCACAGACTGTCTCTGACCCCCAAAGCTGCTGCCCTCGGTCGCTCAGAAACCGCCTTTCGCGCTCCCGCGCGCGCATTAACGCGCGCTCCCGCGTGCCAGGAGCCGAAACGGCTGCAGGTCCTGGAGGCGTTACGGCACCCCTGGCTGGCGCCAGGGCTCCCCGCTAGGGTTCCGGGCCGGCCGGTCGATTGGCTTCGACCGGCGGAGCCGCCTGTTCTGGGCAAGTCGCCCTGGAAGGAGGTTCCCAGGGAAAATCCGCCGGTGATTGGGGGCTGTTTGGAGGGTGTTCTTAGTGGTTGTTTTCTTGGTTTGGTTGGGTTTCCGTATTTAACCCACTAAAAGTTACACCCAGCCGGGCGGCTCTTAGGTTTTTGATGGTGTTTGTAGTTGGTTTGGTTGGGTGTGATTTTTTCACCAGGAGTTAAACACTTTTTGCAGGGGATCTGAGGACAGCCCAGGGTAATATCGCTCGGGAGTTCAATGTGCTATCCACCTGTTTGGGGTGGTATGGGGAATCCACAAGGAAACCACCCACTTTTGTTTAATTTTCTTTTTTGAGAAAACCCCACATGCGTGGCAAGGTTGCTCTCCGTCTAGTGCCTGGTTATGTGATCACCGCAACAAGGGCATAAACAAATAAAGCAACTTTTCACACGCTCAAACTCGTGTTTGCTTTCAGGGGAGTCTAAAAGAGAGCCCCCTTCCCAGACAGCCCCTTTCCCATGTTGGACGCAAAAAAGGGAGGATGAGCACGGAGTCCATGCATGTGGGAACCCAAAGGGCTGGCGGGTGAAGGCAGTTTTCACCTGGCCTTCAGGCAGGGCTTTCAACAACACAAAGGGCAGGTTTCTCTCGTTGCATATGCAAATGCAAATGGAATTGGTGCTGGTTCTCAACGGGGAATGAGGGAACGCTGCCCATAAGCCATCCCTTGTGGTTTCCTTTAAGGGAATCCCCTTCCGGTTCATTCCCAACACCCGGAACGCTCATTCCCCAGCAGCAAGGTAAGGAGATCTTAGCATATGCCTCAGCTGATCCACTCAACGCGCTGAGCTTAAGGGGATGGAGGGTTCGTCTGAGGTCTGGTGTGGCGACTCCCGCGGCGGTGCCATGCAGGCAAGAGCCCGAGCAAGCGGCAAAGCGTTTGGCTGGGTACTCTTATGAGCATTTTGCCAAGGGATGTTAGGACTTTCATTGTTTGCCAACAAATGAGTTTTCCGTATTAAACCGCTAAAAGTTAAACTTTTAGCAGGGGAGCAGAAAGCAACCGAGTACTTGCTTGATCCGGCTGGGTACAGTATCAACCCTCTGAAAGTGCTAAGCACCATCATGAGAGTTTATCATAGGGAACTGTGGCCATGCCACACAATAGAGGTTTGCACAAACACCCGCAGTGTCTTGAGGGAAATGGCAAATCACACTGCAAGACGCAGTCCCACTCCGTTCAATCTATTTCACAGGCTTGGTAGCAAAATGTGTGTGAGTGATGCACACTGCATGACTGGTGCTTTATTGGAATGGCCAGGTGAAGCTTTGCATGTTTCTATCTCTTTCTTTGCAAGGTCAGGAAGCAGGGACGGATCATCCTTGTGTATACTTTCACATGTGGTATAGGCCTCCTGCTTGTGTTTGCCAGGGACAGCTTGCGGTGATTAGAACACCTCCAACTCAGCGGAAATTTGATGGCTCTCTGTCAGACCCCGGCCGCAACCAGGCGCCCGTTTTTCCTGTTTCTAAAGAAAAGGGTTCCCCTTTAAAAACTCAACCAACGAAAAGGATGCCCTTTTGTTCCCATGGTCACCGGGCATCTGAGTGAACTGTTGAAATGTTGTTCAAAACAAATGCAGTAGCCTAAAGGATGTGTCTGAATTGAGGAGGGAATGTCATCGCAGCAAACTGTCAATGAAACGATCCTGAACGTATGCGGATACGGGGATTGTTGTGATCGGGGATTATTTACAGACCATTCTGCGGGGAACAGTACAATCAGCAGTTCCTTGCAAGACAGCCGTCCTGCCAACCAAGGCCAGAAAGCGAATTGACAGGCATTCGCTGGGGCTCAGATGCTTGAGGGGGTCGCTGCGCAACTTGCGCAGGCAAGTCTCCCCCATCTCAGATAAGGAGCTGTCCGAAGGGAGCGCGGGGAAGAGTGCTGGGCTGTTCAGGGCACTGGAAGCGAGTGTTTCGGGGGGGAGTGCTTTCCAGCGTGGTAGAATGTGGAGAGCAAGCGCAGCATCATGGTGCTCCAGGCAGTTTTTCTTGCTGGTGCTCAATATGGAATGACCCAGGTGAACCCTTGGATTCTTTTAAAAGAAACCATCGGAGATGGTTTATAGGGCTCATTCCCTCATTCCCTGCTGAGCACCAGCAAGTCTTGCGTTCTCTTGCATGGTCCCGGACTTTCGCAAGGAGCACATTTTGCTGCATCTGCTTCTTTTTTTTTGCAAGGGCTGTTGACGCGTTGAGTCTCTAGCGCGGCTCATGTGGCTTTGCTGAAAACTGATACCTTCCGTCGCCCTACGCTCGTGCCGGTTACTTGCATCCGCTCGCCTTTTGCGCCTTCCCCTGCGTCTTCTTTTGACAGAAACAAGCAGAGCAGACGTGGAATCGGCGCTAAAGCCGTGCAGCTTGGCAGAGTGCTCTTACAAGCAACTCTCACCTGCCTTGGCGAAATGCGAAGCATGCGTAGGATTGCCATGGCAAACGCATAGCGTTTACTGCTGTAACAAGTCTTGAGTGATTGAGAAGTTGGCCGGGCATCTGAGGTGCCAGGTGGCACACTACCCCTTGCGGTCTTTGCAATCAAACAGCCCAGCAACTTGGACCCAGAAAGTCGGATGATGACATGGACCTATTCGCTGAACACATAGCTTTCCCAAGTCAACCCCACTGGGAAAAAATATCAGGAGCGCCAAGACTGGGCCAGAGCCAAGACTGGTAAACTCTGTTTGCCAGGAGGTGTCGCTCACGCAACTGGCAACTCACGCCCAAGCTTTGCCGGGACCTCAGCGACGAATATACGGCATCCGCGCAAATCCGAGCCTGGGCTGTGTTGTACATGTTTGATCAGCCGATGTGAGTGTTTGACGCTGGCCTTTTGCGTCGTTGCGTTGTATTTTGCGAACGAAAAGCCACGGTTGACCGGACAGCAAGTGAAAGCCACGTCGATCTGACCTTCCATTGCAACCATGATCTGCTAATATCTGCTATATGTAATAAGCATTGCAAGGGATGCAATGTAGATCACAGAGCCCCCCTTGACCGAGCATATGAAACAGTCCTTACGAAGTTGCGCTGTGGATTTCTTGTAGCAGTGGGTCAACGGGGGAGTTGCGATGCCAACTGCCGGTGTGCAAGTGACCCGAAGCACCCAAACTTTGCCGGCGTGTTGCGGCAACGCAGAGCAGGTCTGAACGAGGTGTGTTTGCCACGGCGAAAGGCCCAAGCTGCAAATCTCGGCTTTTGCGAGTCTTGAGCGCTGCCGAATCACTGCTAATTGCTTGGTGATCCTTCTTGTTTGCAACATCCTGTTTTATGCCCGTGCTCGCCATGTCGATTCCCTTGGAATTCTTGGAAACAAGAGTCACAGCTGAACATTTTCTGGCAGCCTATTCAGGCAACTGGCGGAAAAAAAGCAAGCGTGCCGCGCATTTGCCACATGCGGCAATCGGCACAGGTCACTAGATGCCGTGTCAATGCGACACGAGTCACCGGCTGAGAGTTGCACGTCAGCATTTTTGGCTCTCACCTAGGGCAGCCTTTGACTGCACAACTTGTGGAAGCCATGTCGTCCCGAGCCCTGCTGTTGGCGGCCTGGATCGCCTCTGCCTGGGCCTGCACTAACAGCGGCGACTTCGACCAGACGACCTTCACTGCGTCCTTGTATGGCGGCTCCTTCGGTGGCATGGCGCTGGCCTTGGTCATGGTGATCTTGGCTTCCTTGCCACTCTGCTGCGGGGTGCTGAAGCAGTACGGCAAGATCATTGCCACCGTGGCCATCGTGCTTGGCATTTTCTCCCTCATAATCCCGGCCTTCGGTTCCATGGGTGCGTGCGTGCCCTTTGTGGATGCCATTTGCCAGGAGCGCTGCAGTGGCTACGAGTGCACGTCAGAGGAGAAGGATGCCATGGGAAGTGTTTGCAACGCGCTGGGCATCTTTGTCGTGTACATCGGAGCCTTCGGCTGGCTCACCGTTATCCTTGGCATCGTGGCCGCCTCGCTGGGTTGCTGCGTGTGCTGCGGCTGCTGCAAAGCCAAGATGGACGAGCCTGCCGCTGGAGTGCCAGCTGTAGTGGTGGGGGCGCCTGTGCAGGCTTGAGCGACAGTGGTTGAGGTTGCGATGTGACATCATCAGCTCCATTTCGGCCGCCGAGGCTGTTGGAGCTGTGAGGGTCAAAGGTTGGGAGCGCCGCACGAACGGAGCTGGTTTCAAATTCGTAGGTTTGGGGTCCAGGGCTCTGATCTGCCCGCTTTTCACCTCCTGCTGATGTCTTGCCAAAGGCTGCAAGGGTAGAACCCCAGCCTTCACCAGCCTGCCCAAAGGGTATGGCTGTGCCTTGACTGGATGCTCCTGCATCCACTGCTGAGCACTGTTTGCAACTCACGCACCGCACCTTGCCATTTGAACGACGTGTGTTTGCCACCACTAAAAGCATGCAGCGGCAAAGAGGGAAGATTGGTTCGATTCGATGTCTCAATGCCCAGGTAGGAACATGAGGGACCCACAACCACAATGCGAGAACGGCAAATCGCAGGATTCCGAATTTGAACCATGGCAATCAGATTGAACAAACCTGCTTTTGAAGCGCGGGAAACAAGTGCGGGAGGCGTTGCCTGCTGCCTGCTTTTCCTCTGAGTGTTGCGCTGCTCTAACGACTTAGAGCACACTTAACTACTCGCAGCAAGCACATTGTTAACCGTAGAGGAAACAGAAACGATACTGACCGATAGCCAGGGTGCAAGGCTAAGGTTGTCGGAATTTATTTGAGCAGTGAAGGGATGGCGAAGCGTGAAGGGCTTACATGACCAAAGAGTCTGCCGGAAAAGGCCTTTCTTACTAGGTTTCGGATGGGCCCTAAAAGTCGTAAGCACAAATATTATTCTCAGATTGTGCGATGGGTAACACCCCAAAACACCCCTCCTCATTAACAGACTAACCCACGGGCCCAACAACCTCGGGACATCCCCTTAGCAACCAAATTCAGGCAGGCCTCCGCCGGTCGCATCCATCACTCAGGTTACACCTCCTTAGTGCCTTCAGCCGGAGCATGGATGTCTTGCAGCGCATCTTCCTGGCAGTGTATGCTCAGGCGGGGAAAACATGCAGACGAGGACTCCACTCTCCACACTCCCCACACTCCGCACTCCGCACTCCACACGCCGAGCTCAAAGGGCTAGGCTAGCTTCAAGCCAAACATAATACGTATCAGCCATCAGAGTCATCAAACATATATCAATCCTGAGCATGTCAATCATCACAATCAATCATACTTCAATCAACCTAACCCAAAGTGTCGTGGACATCGCTCAGTGTTTAGCATGTGGCCGACTTGGAAGATCCCCGTTTGCGGTTTCTGGACGTGCAGGTCGATCAAGACACCAACTCCCAGAAATGTTGTCCATGGGAGAGGGTGCTTCAGTGAGAAGGCAAGCGCTCAACAATTGTTTGGGGGGTTCTGCCAAACGGAGGTTCTGCCCCTTGCGCGTGTCCCAATGTTTGCATGGTCTGGTCACGTGGAAGCGTCTCTCGCTATCGAAGTAGCAGGATGGTTAAGGCCAATTCCGGTGCTCGAGATTTGCACCAGGCTTTTTGGAGCAGACAGGATTCGGATATTGTCTGAACGCTTGTGATTTGCGGCCAAGCTTCCATGTCACTCGTTGATTCATGGCTTATTTCTCAAGAAAGAGGCATTACCTGATCCAAATCACGACCCCTTTCGATTCGTTTCCTTTTGACGTGTGGGAGCTCTTGCTTGGATGGTTTTGAGCCAACAGTTGCACCAACTCATTTTGAGGGGCCCGATTCCGTGTTTCAGACACCATCTGGCGTGTGACCTGCCGGACTCTTCGCCAACCATGTGGGTGTATCTCTTTTGAGGGTCCCCCTTTTTTGCTGGTTGGAAAGGCATACCCAAGAAAACCGACCATTTTTGGGGGTTCCCCTAAAAAACGGGGGCACACCCATGCCATTTTGGGGTGAGGTCTCATTTTCCTTGAATCGGTGGCGAGCCGGGCAGGTGACTCCGGACGCTGAGATCTTTGCCAGCCTTCGGCTGCCATGGTGCGCAAAAACAGAAACCAAAGGCAACCCCAGCCAGGGGAAGTTGCCACTGCGAAAGACGTGTACATATGTATACATATTTATATATATATATATATTTCATATGGTCACCCCCCCCCCCCAAGATCCACATTCTACCTCTTGCAAGCAGCACACACTGAAAACGCACAGCTTTTTGACCTGTTCCAGGATCAACTTCTGATCCTGGAAATTGGGGTCGAAAACAAGCATCATTCTTGATGAGCGGATCAGGAAAAGATCATTCTTGATGCATTTCAGAAAGTAACTATTCTTGATTGGCAGATGTTGAGCAACTTGAAGCAGATGTGTGTTCAGCCTTCTGAACAAAGAGTTAGCAGGGTTCAGATGGAACCTGTGGAAGCAGCATGCAGAAAGTGCTGTACTGTCCCTAAAAACTTTGGAAGCTACATCCCAAAAACAGTCTTGGGCACCCAAGACAAGCTTTGCTTTGGGGTGCTGTCGTTTTCCGCTCAGGTTTGTTGCATAAACGCCGGATTTGCAGGGGCGATTGCACTCAAGGAAATACGTGCTTATGGGCACCGCAAGGAGCATGATGACGCAACAGACGGCAAGCAGTGTATCAGTATAGCTGATGGCCAGGTGGCGCGCAGGCTTGCGCCGGGACAGCATGCCACGGAGCGTCATACGCAGAATAAATGCGGCAAAATCACTCGCGACTTGAAAGCGTGGTCAGGCCAGGGCGGCGTAGCAGGGTGCCAATCTCTGCGCGCACTTGGTCCTGAGGTCCTTGGCAGAGCAGAACACCCCGATTTTTGGTGTGTTCTATTCCGGCTTGTGAAAGGGCTCGTCATTGGAGAGCAGCCCTAGAGTCATATGCAGAGGCTACAATGCACAGAGCTGCCATCACAGCTGATTGGTGTGCGCAAGGAATCACAGGCCTGCTCCGCGCGCAGTAAATAGAAAAGGGGCAGAGTCTCACCGAAACTCTTGGCGGCGAGTACACATTGACTTGGCAACTCACAGCGCCCTGCGCCAGGGGTATGGCCACTTCTCAAGTGAATCCCTGTTTGACCCTGAACAACTGCAGGACTCTTGCGGTTGCTGTCTTGTGGTTTGCTTTATGACAATGAACTGTCACATTTCTCCCAGATAGATGTGAGATGGCCCTTTTGCAGAAGGGCCTTTTTGTTGCCATTTAGAGAACACTCCAGTAGACTTGAAATCATAATATGACCCGCAATTCCACCTCAACTCGTCAGCATCCCGGATATGTGAACCTTCAGGCATCCCTGATGGTTATGAAGCATGACTTCATTGGATTGCCGTCTTGCATTGGCATGTTACTGAAGCTCATTGCCGTTGTCGGTTGGTGTGAGTCCTGTTTTAAAGGAGTCGGCTTGCTCTACGCACTGAAAGTCGTTTGCCTCAATTGCTTTGCATCGTGTGTAATTTTGAAATCTAATAAATGCCTGAGCTGCTGTGTTGCTGTGTGCAGCACTGCCATATAACTGCCTTGTCGGGTAGCCACACACACAGTATGCAACTGTATGTGTGTGTGTGTGCGTGTGTGTGAAAGCAGCAAGGCTGCACGCGCCTGACTTTAAAGCGCGAGTTACGCTTCGCACCGACAACTCATCCTGCACAAGTAGATGGCAAAATACTTGCCTGCATGGTCAGCCAAAACACACGAGATCCCTCAAAAAGATACGCGCCATCCATGTTGAGACACCCCTTCTTTCCTTGCAGCAAGTTTAGCCCTGACCCAAGCTTTGTTCCCAAAGCCCGTCCAGGTACGATCTGTTTTTGGCCCTGGACCAAGATTGCGATGGCCAGCTCGGCTCGGTGCCCGGCAAGGATTTGGTTCGGAGGGTATGTGTCATGTCCCCCAAATCTTGGTGGCTCCCAGCCATCCCCTTAGCTTTTTAGACTTTTAGTGTTTCGTGGTAGTTTCCTTTCGACCCACTAAAAGTTCAGCTTTTTGTGGGGGATCTGAGGGCAGCCCAGAAATGATTGGCCCTCCTTTTGGTTTCCTTGTTTTTCTCCGAAAAGAGCACCCTCACAAACCACACCCTTTTGCCTTTGGGGCCCTCGGTAAAATGCAGGGACCCAAGAAATGTTGTATACATAGGATGACTAGTGGACATCGTGGTGCGCATGGTACACACAGTATGCATGATGCACATACGTAGTCTACCAAGTATACGTAATATAAATAGTATACAGCATCGTATACAGAGTAGACATAGTATACATAGCACACTAGGTTTGCATGGTATACATAGCATACATAGTATACGTCGTACACATAGCACACATAGTATGCCTAGTATACTTAATGCACAGAGTATATGTAGCAAGTGTACATAGCACACGTAGTGTACTTGGTACACATAGTAAATATAGCACGCAAAGTATATGTAGTATACGTGGCATGCGTGACATACACATATTATGCATTGTAGACATGGTGCACAGAGAATACATAGTATGCCTTATATGTTCACTGTCTAACGGTTCGTGGCAACCACCCCGGTTTGGAGTCTCTGACATGTGGCTGAAAGTGTACATATTTGTTTGTGTTTGCATACATTGCATACATGGTCTACGTAGTACTCATGGTGTGCTCTGGAAGGTCCCATGCATGCGCGGATTCGCCCCGTGTGTACGCAAATATCAGGTCGGCAATTCTCATCCGGGCCTCCAAGATCGCTCCCCCGTCTAAACCGCCACAATGAACTTCCATCCTGACAGGAGGAGGTGATGCATCCTGTGGCACGTGGGTAATGGGAACCCCCTTCTTGCCGCGGCCAATCAGAAAGCCCGAAAGGGACTGGGGATCATCCATACGCTTCCACCGAAGAGGCTTATCGAAGCCCCCCATCCGGCCTCGCGGGAAGCCGAAAATGGAACCGCAGTCCAGGCGACACAGGGTACAGTAGACATAGTATACACAGAAAACCTCGTATGCATTGTATACGTAGTTCGCTTACCTTACATGTAACTTAGAGACGTAGTATACATAGCATGCACAGTATACATGGTATAGATGGTACACATTGTTTGCATTGTTAACACAGTCTACACAGTATATACACAGTATCCTTGTATACATAGTATACATCGTATACAAAGCACACACACACACACGCAGTATACGTAATACATAGTCTAGATCTCGCATATGAATATATATATATATATATACATATAGACAGATACATTGTAGAAACACACGTACATGTTATCTATATATATATGATATGTATAAAAACAAGTATACATGTATTTATGAAATACATAGTGTAATATGTGGCGTTCCTCGGCTGAGGCCTTGGCGAGCTCGGCCGGGGCTTGGAGCAACTCATGGAGATGGGCTCTGCGGAGCTCCAAGAGGCCCCCCTCCCTTTTGCCACTGCCCAGCTGCCCCTCCAAACCGCCAAGCCGGGTTCGTCCATTTGCTGAAATGAATATTTGTTGAATTTCCCCTGTTGGTTTTAACAGGGAATCTATCACTACCGGAAATATGTTCTCATTTTTTCCCAAATGGAAGGGTTTCTCCCAACAGGGAACCCGTCTTGCTGCTCACCAAGTCCGGGTGTTGGTTGAATGAACCATTGTGGGATTCCCGAACAACCACCTGTTGTGTTTTTTTTTTTTTGTTTTTTTTTTTCTTGGGCCCCTGCTGAGAACCTGCGAGGCATTCCCGTTGAGTGGGACCCAAAACTGGATGTATGTTGAGGACATCGCCATTCTCCAGTGCAAATGACAGATAGCTGTTGGTTGGAAAGAGGGAAAATGCACCAAGACTCCGAGAAAACTAAGGGTTACCGGTAAATACTGCGATATACTGGGTTTTACAAACACACATAAAAGTAGAATTCAGGTGCATGATGGAGATTCTCAACTATTCAGTTGTTTGGGGTGCACCGAAAGACCGGCAAGTTGCCATGCAAAGGATTCCTGAGCCTTATCAACGCGCGATTGGGCTCTGTTTCTTTTGGCGTGCTCAGGATTATAGGCATTGACGGCCCTTGAGGGATCAATGCAAAGAGAAGTGGCAATGGGACCGAGCCATCTACCTGCGGCTCACAGTGCAAAGGCCTTTGTATTGCTGTGATATTTGTTTGGGGTTTTGACGGTCGCCTTTCGGGTCAGTGTTCTTTGATTTCTGTGGGGCAGGATGACAATTAAGGATGCAAATATGTTGAGTTTTATATGGGCGTCAAAAGAGGGTCAAAGGGCATCAGCTACAAATTCAGCGGAATATCTGCGTGGCTCCCAGCCATCCGGTTCCTGGGCCTTTTAGCCTTTTTAGCCTTTAGTGTTTAGTGGGGATGTCCATTCAACCACTAAAAGTTAAACTTTTAGCGGGGGATCTGAGGGCAGCCCAGATATATGTGAACATAATTTCCTCAGAATTAGCTCCCCTTTTAGTTTTGTTTTGCTTTTTGGGGGTCCCTTTGTTTTCCACTAACCAGGCAAAACATATTGTTTTTTGCTGGGGTCCTAATTCCAGCCTAGAGAATATGGAAGCATATCTTCCTGTGAGACGAAGGGTTTTGCTTGGCCGTCGCAGGTCTGCTTGGACGATCTGATCGCCTCTTTGGATCTCGCCGCGGCCTCAGAAAGGCAAACGGAAAGGCCATCCCAAAATGCGAGGCAAACCCAGCTGCTGCTGGCCGGGTTTGATGCGGAATGGTTTACTGCTGGAAATGAGTTGTGTCTGAAGGTTTTCCAAAAAACATGCTGCTGGAAATGAGATGTGTTTGACTTCAGGTTTTCTAAGAAAAGCTTGTTTCTGGATGGCACGTGCTCAACATGGTTGTTGTTGGGACACATTTTACGTGTTTACTTCTTGTGGTTTAGTGGGAAATCCCCACTGAACTGCTAAAAGTTAAATCGTTGCTCCCCTTCCAACGTCAACTAAGGCAATGTTTCGTGCTTTGCAAGGCGAAGGATTGAACTGCATGTCATTTGCATTTCTTTGGCTCCCATAGTGAGGTGCCAACAGCCTCGGCAGCTTGCGTTTGCTGAACGGATCTCGAAAAAACCTGCATGTTGAAGAAGCAATCGCACTAAGAGGAGCCACCATCCTAACTTGTCCTAACTTGGAAGAGGAATGGCCCTCTTTCTAGCTCCAGAAAATACTTCTGCCTTTCTTGGATGGTCACCGCTGCCGCTGTCATCGTGTATTGTTCCACTTAGACAAGCCAGCAGTCTGCTGCAGCTTGTCAGTTCAAGTTAGTTGATTGATCGGGTGGATGTTGAGCTTGGCGTGATGGCATGCCGCCATGCAAGCTGGCTGGGGGGAGTGGGGGGGGCTTGCGGGAGGCCCTTAGGTTGCCAAGCAGCACCAATAATTTAGAGATCACTAACATGAGTAGAACGCATTTGCATGTCTGTGTGTGTCTGTGGATGGGCGTGCGGTGACTCTTTGTGTGTGGGTAGCGGGCTTGCTGGCTGGGTGCGTGCCTGCGTGCGAACGTCGCCAACTAACTTGCGAGGTTTTTGTGCCTGGGTTGGAAGACTGTCTCCCGCATGTAACGCGTTTCAATGACCCCAATCTGCGTTGCGCTCTGTTATCGCAGGGTCACTTTTGTGTTTCTTTGGGCCCAGCCCATGGCAGGCATGGGGAAATTGGGGGACTTCGAATTGGGCCGTGTGGAGCCCGAAACTGCCTACAGTATTGCTGGTTTCTAGGTCCCCCAGTAGTGCCCTTTTACCCTTTTTTGGGTGAGGGTCTAAAATAGACAACAGAAAAAAGAGCACCCTTATTCTATCCTCGCCTGGACAAACATGCCTGCCAAGCCCGAAAAAAGATGACTACCTTAATTTGGGGTAAAACAGGCCTGCCTGAAATGTTTGTTGATGTTTGTGGTTTTGCTTTAGATCGATATGATCGATCCAAAAGGGGTCATGCAAAGAAATGACCATGCCATTTTGGAACCTGACATATTCTTTGCAGTGCCCGCCGTGTTTCGTCCATGGTACCTGCTGAATAACATGACAGTTTGTTTTTCTCACAGGTGGTTGGGAGTTCTGCAGATTCTTTGTTGTATCATTTGGATCTGTCCTGTTTTGAGGGTACCCGGGTTTTTTGGTTTTCTTTGAAAGGGCCACCAAAAGGAAACGACTTATTTCAGGGGTTTCTCCATTTTGAGACACGCGAATTTGAACCCTTCTCTTCACCTTTGCACGTTCAGAATTGCCCAGTACCTTACTTCCACAACTAAGGCTGCTGTGTGTGTAGCAGAGTTTCCACGGCAATCCAGCACCAATCTGTTTCCGACAGCCTGAGCTTGCGATGGTCAGGCTTTGTGTTTAACCCAAAAGGCAAATGGCTGTGGGTCAAAATTGGACCACCAGCAAACCGCAGATTTTAGTCCTTGATTCCGTTACCCAGGGCTCCATTTTGGACCTTTTGGGTACCCATTTTTGACAATTTGGTAAACAAAAAATGGCTTGCCCTGGTTAGTGGAAACATGGACCAAAATCTGCGGTCCGATTCCTGTTGGTCAAACAAAAATTGACCCACACTCAAATGGTGCAATCCAAGAAGTGCAGAAGCTTTCAACGAGTCCTCAGTTGCCAGCCTCAGTTCGCCTTAGGACCAAAAGGGCTACGTGAGTTGGGTGGAGTGGACCATGCTGGCGCTGTGCTCCTTCAACTTGGCTCAAGAGCATCTGGGACAACATACGGCGTTTTTCCTCAAGGGTGCTGGAGAGAGTTCAGATAAAGTCTTGCTTTTCCTTTTCGTTTCTTCCTCTTTAGGGCGCGGGGGTTGGTTGCCCCGTAACACTTGTAGATTTCTCCAAACGCAATGGGGAAATGGCTGATGTTTTAACAGAACGATGGCTGAAAAGAATGGAAAATCAACCCCTAGAATGTACGAGGCTTCCTTGTATTATATGCCCCCTTCATAGCCCCACCAAATTGGCCCAAAAAGGGTAATCTTTAAACCACCTTTTTCCCAGGGACGCAGGGTTTTTGGGTGGTTTTCTAGAAAGAAGGATCCCTGGAAAGAATGGGGAAGGTAGCCCTAGAAGATGCCTCGTAAATGTTCGTTTTTGTTCGTGTTGCTGTTGCCTTCACTCTGAACAAAAACCCAAGCGGGGTCCCCGCTTCGGGCAACACCCATCAGGAAATTGAGGTTGTGGTGTTCCCGTCCTGGCTGCAGTTGATCCGTAATCAAGACCTGGGTAAGCGAAGGTTAGCAGGGGACAGTCCACAGCCAGAATTCGGTGCGGCCGCCTTGTAGTTCTTTCCATTTGGCTTGGGTTGACCATTTTGTACCATATTTGATTGTGACTCAGTGGACCTGTGTCCTGGCGTGCTGATTGTAGGGAATGCATATCGATTTTGCGTTTTGCCAGTTGTAGATGTTGCAACGGTCCACGGTAGGGATGAGGTGTTTCTCTCCTAGGGCTGGCATTTTTTACTTGGCTGGTCCCCTGGTCGGTCGGTCCTGGCCGCATCCCCGGCATCACCAGCCTCACTTTGCGCGGGGGTTGCCTATTGGCTCTGATTGGGAGGCAGTTGAAAGTTGCTGGGGGCTGGTTTAAGCTAGGGGGGGTTTAGGCTAGGCGAGGATGGGTAGGGCTCATGATCCATCGCGAATTTTAGAGTGTGGCCTCTGCACTGCCTGTTTTTCGTAGGCGTCACAGTGAAACAGTCCCGTGCTTTCTTGATGCACAGTTCCTGTTGCGGACTACGGGTCCTCAGGGCAGATCCATTTTTCAACCAGTGCAGCCACTGGGTTACACGGGCACCAAATATGACGGGTCACAAATCTGACAGGATTTCAAGCAGTTCTTTTCATCCATCGAATTCCAACACCAGCCGTGTTTTTGGATGTTGTAGGTTTCTGAAAAGAGGCTTTGCCAAGTTTCTGAAAGAAGGATCTCCAGACAGTTCTGGCGGTTATTGGCTTGACAGGAAGGTAGCCCTTGCAAAGACAGTCACGGACAGATCCAAGTCCTTTTGGACAGAAGCTTACGGGTATGTCTTGAGATGTGGGCAGCCAGATGAAGAAAGCAGGCAGCTTGGGTACTCACTTCTTGAGTTTACACACTTGATACTTTTTTGGGAGAACCATTTTAGTGGCAAACAAAAAGGTTGGGCTTTTGGCTAATTTGCTCAGGAAGTCAGGGCAAGTGATTAATTCCTTCCCCTTAAATTGTTCTGCGGTGTTTAAGTATTGGGCTGGCACTGGTGGGAAAGACCACCTAATGAGCCACTACTTGGAGTTGGCGGCATGGTGATTTGGTATTAGTTTTCAGTTGGTCTAGTTCTAGGCAATGCCGGCAATGTTCGGGATGTGGGCGAAACAATGTTGTTTTCTGTATTAAGTAGATGACATTCGTATTCATGCATTCTGAGCCTGCTCAGAGAACGTTGCTATGGCAAGGGGTTGCGGGCAATAGCATTGCTTCGATAGAGGTGGAAAACTCTTGAAATCCCATGGGAATATAGTTGGATTCCAATCTTGCTACTGCTACTCCCCAGATGAACCATTTTACAACAGGACTCCCCAAAACTGTGCGTTCCCCAGCTGAAAGCTATGGTCTTGCGATATTGGGGGCAGGTTGGAGGCATTTCCGCCGCCCGAGTCGGATTTCTATTCGGACACCGATCCCGATCCTAGGCCGGAGCCGCTGCAGACCGTCTTCAGGAGCTTCCAGTGGCATTCGTAGCGAAACCACTGGGCAGCTTTTTTTTGGGGGGGTGTTTTTTTTGTTCTTTTCTTTTTTTTTTCTCCGGCGTGAAACAGATGCAGGTGGTTGGCTCCTTAGTTGTCCCTTAAAGGAATCCCAAAAGTCGAACAGTTTGACGAACACCCAAATATTGCCCAGAGAGCACGTCAATGGAGACAATGAACCTGGCATGTGCATTTCCTTTCTCTAGCACATGTTGTTTGGCCTGCTCGAGGCGAGCTCCAATATCTCGGGATGGTGCCACACACATTTGAGTTGACTTGAGGGTTGCTGTCTCCCTGTTTCATGGTTGTTGGGAGACATTTTACATTTTGCTTATGGTGGTTTAGTGGGAAATCTCCACTTAGCTGCTAAGATTTAAATTTCTGCTCCCCTTCCAAGGCCAACCAAGGTTTGCTGGAGTCCACACTCAGTCTTGCAACAATAGTTCCTTCTTCCACCCAGAGAGCAAGGACGGCACCCATCCGCCCACCCACACATTGGTGCTCATATGGGAAGCATGGTACAACAGTCATGGCTCAAAATCATCGCACAGCACAATTCAAACTCATAATTGACACGATAAAAAGGCGATTGAATTCTTCAATGGCAACCGTTTGGTCGTCCCTCCTGCTAAGGGTCGCACCGCTCATTTGCCAATGTCAGTGTCGCGCTCGCCCTAGTGGTTTGGCCACCAACCCACATGAAGCCTCAGGGCAGTGTGATGTGTTCACTTCACTGACGGCTTGAAGACAAGCCATGCAAAGCATGCGGCTGAGCCTTCTGCAACAACTCTGCTGTCACGCTTGTGCCGCTTCCGGCTAGAGCATGTTGAAAACAAATATGTTGGGTCGCCTTGGCCCTCCCGATTGAAGCTTTAACGGTAGCCCCAAATTGATCATTGCGGCCTATGAATGGAAAGCGGTATCCAAAAAGATACGCACGCTTCCTAGTGGATGGGGTAACATTTGGGTACCACCTGAGGATCGTTCCATCGCAGCGGCACCTCCCAAAGGCCTTGTTTAGTATCTCGAAACCTTCCACTTGGGACACCATGGGTCTTGATGGTACACTCAAACCCCAAATAGGCACCCTTGAGGTTTACTCAGTTGTTCAGTGGCTCCCTTTTTCCCTTTTTTTTGGTGGCTGCCCCACTAAAATGGTCTTCCCAAAAAAGGGTTCCCTTTTTTTCCAGGGTCACCAAACAACAGAGTTTAGTTTTTTGGCCGTGTCGGAGCGGGCCTGAGTGTGCACAAATGCCTCCAGGATCATCGACCGACCCTCCGGTGATGGCATCGTCACTGCAGGGGGCCCTGAGCGAGTTGCCTGTCTTGTGCTGCGTTGTGTGTGTTTGTGTTTGTGTTTGTGTCTGTGCCCGTGTCTGTGTTTGTGTTTGTGAGTGTGTGTGTGTGTGCGTCCTGTGGCTCCAACACGTTTGTAGCATTCTTACGTAGCTAGAACAGCAACAAACAAGCAAACAAGCAAACAAGCAAGCAAGCAAGCAAGCCAGCAGCCAGTCAGCTAGCCCGCCAGCTAGCCAGCCAGCCAGCCAGCAAGCAAGCAAGCAAAGCAAACAAGCAATATGCAGGCACAGCACAAACACACACACACACACACACACACACACACACACACACACACACACACACACACACACACACACACACACACACACACACACACACACACACACACACACACACACACACACACACACGCGTCTTACACTTGCACACACACACACACACACTGAACGCATCACAGTTGAAGAGAATTCTGAAGGGGGCACATTGGCTAAAGCGGCTTTCCTTGGACAGAGGGGATCTCTTGGGCGAGCGGTGTGTGGTGAGCAAGTGGCTCAGGTGGTGGATCTGATGGCCTTGCTCGATGGCACAGGCGAGGGAGAAATGGATGAAGTGGGAGAGGCGTGTCACACCCCGGACGGCTCTACCCAGTTTGTCGTTTGGGCTGGAGAGATGCCGATCCGCGCAGATTCTGAGGGCGGCCTGAAATCAAGGCATCCCGAACCCCACAGGCCCCACAGGAGCTGCAAATGAAGCCGTGCGTGTGTTGGATCCCTCCATCGGAAGCCATTGCCTAACCTGACGATTGCATCGGCTTGTGCATAGTTAAAACCCCTTCGACTTTCAAACACTTAGAGTTTAAAGGCATTGATGACATCTCAATCCCTCTAACGCTTGAGCTTTTAGCAAGGAACCAAAGAGCCGCCAAGAACCACGGCTGTTCAAACATACGGGTATAGGTCAAAATTCAAGCACCAGGATATGGACCGCTGGTTTTGGTCCATGTTTCCATTTACTGATGGGGCAATGCCATTTTGGGGTTACCCTTATTTTTGCCAACCACACCGAGATGTTTGTTGCATGTCCAACGCCTCCGAAACCTCAACTGATTCCTGTCGACTGTACCAATATTTATACGGTGGACCATACGTGCACGCTGTTTGTGGCCTCAAGACGAGGCAGGCAGTGCGGAGGGAAGACGCCTTTAAACGGCGTATCGAAAGCACAGAGCCAGGAAGTCCACGTTTGGCTGGGAGTTGTTTGCTTGCAGCTCATACTGTATTCGCTCGCTCAGCATGCTGCATGAGAGCAACGAGTCATGTTCGTTGCGTAGCAGGGGTGGGTGGCCTCTTGTTAGAGTGTTGCAGTCCTGTCCCCCTTTCCTTTAAAGAGGACTCCTTCCCTTCCACTCCCCGCCCCCAACTCCCCCAACAGAAAGAATGGGAACATAAATGTCGTTCGGTCCTCTTCGGTCCTCTTCTGTCCCCAGATAGGCTCTTCTGGCGGCTTCCCAAGAAGCCACTGCTTGGGGTCAGCAGGACAGATCGCTAGTTTAGTATTGGTATGTATTGCTTTAGAAATTGGCTTATTCTAAACTTAGTACGTATTGGCGATTTGGGATTTTGGGACACATGTTTTCTACCATCCTCGACTCAGCTGGCCAAACTGGCTAACCGCGTTTCTCTTCAAACGCCCCTTGGGGGCATAGCATTACCTTGGTGAGCCCCAATGTCGGCATTTGGGCTCCTTGCCCAACAGCCGCAAGCGAAGAAATCTGCTCAAGGGGGTCATTTGGGGTGGTTTGGGGCAGCTTTCAGGGAGGGTTCAAAAGGAGATTCGGTTCCAGGGCGTTTCCTTTGCGCTGTTGGGGGATACCACCTGGGCTTATTTTTTGTTGCCATGTGTACTATGTTTCAGGTAAACCATAGTTGGTGGTTTGGATTGGTGTTTGAACCCGTGGCTCTTGTAGAGCGTAACTGGGAAACCCCTGCTTAAGCACCAACCACCAATCCAACCCACCAATGAGAGGAAGCCCCCTTGACCACCTTTTGGAACACCACCAAACCACCGGGCTTCGAACCACCAATTAGAGTCTTAGAGGGAAGCTGGATGCTTGACTTCGAGACAAGTTGTCTTGGCCCATGGCCAGGACGCAATTCATCCAATGCAGTGGACGAGGCGAGGGTCGGTGCAGGGCCGTGCGGTTGCGGATTCGAATCCATGAGAGACAATTGTTGGACCTTGGCAATTTTAGCTGAAAGTATGGTGACCCTGGCCCTAGCAATGAAATTTGAGCACTTGGAGACGCCTCAGGAATGTGGCAGGAGTGTGTTAGGATTGTGCCTGTGCCCGCATGAAGGAGCCCCAACATGGCAACCGGCATGTCGCCGTCGCTGAGCGACGCCATGAGTTTCGTCATCGTCGTCGCTTTCATGTCCCCTGAAAAGCTACTGGCAGCACTTAGACCCCCCGAGCAAGCTGCCTTTCTGTCCCACAAAAGAAATGCTAAACGAATGGTAGCATTTTGGGATAGGTTCACCACCCATTTTAGTCTAAGTATTTTTGTGGGGATTGGGATGTTCACTGGGGGTACGGGGTGTTGACCCATGGCCATATACACCACCATCGGTCACCATGAGAAGGCATTCATGTATTACATTTGGCTATTGGCTTGCTTGCCGATCCTACGCGTTTGCTGCGTTTGCTGCAGAGCCCGCTTGCAGATCCGGCCCTTGCTCGAGAAGTGGTCCAGCCAGACACCCGCCTGGGCCACAGTGACGGTCGCGGAGCTTTTATGGAGTTCGCATTGACATCGCATCGTTTTGTACTGTTTGGCGGAACCAGAACGAGCACCATGTTCAATGCACTGCGTTTGTTTGTTGTCGGGCCTGTGTTATTGATTGTTGAGAAAGATTCAGCCCCGTGGCGGCTGGCAATGTAGAAATGTGTGCGTGTGTTGACATCTGCGGCCAGGGAATTAGCAAGCCGAGCCCATATTCTGACCGCATTGTCTGCAGCAAGTAGTGTTGAGAACTTGCAAATACTTGTAGCTGAACAAATGTGATGCTGCGATGGTTTGTCAGTGGCGTCACGCCCATATTCTTCAGCGCCGCGTGGGGGTTGCCAATGTACTCTCGGTGTTCCATTGCTTAAGTGAGCCTTGACTGAGGCAACACGCATCGGGATCAATAAGGCTATGTTCACACCTAAGCCATTGTTATAGTGCGGACCTCTGGGTAGGTCTTTGAACCGGTCTCAAGCTTGTTCCAGAGGCATCTGATCTTTTCGTTGCTACCAATCGACACTCCTTTGGAGCTAAAGGTTTGCTCTCCGACTGCAAGAGGCGACGCGGAGTCACAGAATTGATCGCAGGCTGATGAAACAACAGGGGTCCATCAATTTCCCTTTTTGGACCTCCAAAAGTGGCAGTGTTAGAGCAAACCACCTGTAAATTGCTGTGACCCCTGAGCAACCCCAACATTTGTTGAGCAAGCAGAGTATGCTTGCAGTTCAGTAGCAAAGGTTGAAGACCCTTGCATGACCTGCTTCTGAAGGTGTCCCAACAGAGCTGGAGTCTTTCTTGTCCCATTCGTCTATTTCTAGATGATTGGAAACAACCTACAAGTTGAAAACAACCTGTTTGGCCATTTTTGTTTCCAGATGATTGATGAAAACAACCTGTCTGGCCATGTTGACATCATTTTCTGCTTTAGGCAATGTGATATGCTTTGTGGAACTCCAGGCAACAAGCTGCACGTGGACGCTCCCCTCAAAAAGGCACCCCAAAAAAGTATCAACAGGTGGGGTCAATTGGTTTCTTGTGGCAGGGGTCCCTCAATTTCGGCCCTCCCAAAGTGGCAGTTTGAGTGGAAACCAGCAAATTGATCAACGGTTGATTCGGGGAAATCCAGTGCCCCCTGTCAAACAACAAGGAGATGTCACACTTGGCGTGAAGGACCGGGGTGCATAGATGCTGATCACCTTGTGGGTGATCCAGTGACCCCTGTGGTGCCTTTTTCAAGCAATTCAAAACTTGCTGGTGCTCAGTAGGGAATGAGGGGAATGAACCCAGGCTTTTGTCCCTCGAAGAAAACCACAAGGGGTGGTTTATAAGGGTCATTCCAATTCTCATTCCCTGCCTATCGCACGAGCAAGAACCGCCCCTGGGCGGCTTTTGAAGGGAAACCAAACGGTGGGTCGCGAAACCAAAAGGGATATGGCTATGAATTTTAATGGCCCCTCCCAAATGGTTGGTGGAAATAAATCTCCATCCAAATGATGTCCACCAGAGGGCCCCTCATTAAAATTCACACCCATGTTATTGGATGTGATATGATTTGAGACTGAATCTGCCAGCCTTCCAGTTGGATAACCGACGCCCAAGGCGGGCTTGCGGCTGACCGATGTGCGGCGCCTGCTGCAGGCACTCCAGGGGAGGACCCCTGGAATTTCATTTCTAAATCTTCCTGGCCCAAGGCGAATCGACCAGAATCCGCCTTTTGGTTTTCCTATTTTTTTTCTAGGGGTAACTTCCCCATTCTTTCCAGGGATCCTTCTTTCTAGAAAACTACCAAAAACCCTGGGGAAATGGCTAATTTTTGAAAAGAACGACGGCTGCATAGAATAGGAAATCAACCCCTAGAGTTTTGGTCCATAGTCACCAAAAGTTGATCACCTTGTATTTCCAGGTCCTTTGGGCAACTGAGTCCATGTTCCCTTCTGTGCTGGGGTAGACTTAGGATACATGATTTGACAAATACAACCAGCAACTCAAAGTGAAGCAAACCATAAAATCTACATTCTACTGCTCCCCACTCTAGTCACGGAAAGTCAAAATGACTTGGCGGACGTCCCACGTTTAAACCACCACCCTGCATTCAAGCGGCGACCTGGGACTTACTTCGCGCGAGGTTTCGGAGGGTTGGCTTCCTGTTGCTTCCAGTTGTCAAAGCGGCACAAAAAAAACAAAACTGCACGTCTTCCAGTTTCTTAATAAGATGTGTTTGTTGTTGTGTTATTTCCCCCCGCCGTTTTTGAAGAGAACTTATCATCACTGGAAATATAGCAACACATATTTTCCAGAGCAAAAGGAAGTTGGCGCGAGGAAGTCGACCCCACAAAAGGATTGGAGGGCTGGGCATTCGATCGCTTTGGTTGGAGCGAGGAAGTGAGATGAGTCACAGTCAAAACTTTGGCATTTTGCCAAGGGATGTTAGGACTTCAACTTTTTTTGCCAACGAATGGGTTCCATTAAACCACTAACAGTTAAACTTTTAGCAGGGGAACAGAAAGCAACCGAGAAAACCCGGGTAATTGGAGGGCAGGAAGAAACCTTTCGAGAAATACGTCGAGGTCCATTCCTGTGCCAAGCAGCTTCTGTGCGCGGGTCAAGCAAGCTGGCGCCAAAGCCAGTGCTGGGTTCAGCTGGAGAATCTGAGGGTTCAGCTGGGTATTTGGTTAGCGACAGCTTCACTGGCGGTCTGGACATTGGTCTGCCAGCCGCTGTCATGGAGGTCCAGGCAAACGGACGGAGTCTGACTCGCCAGCGTCCAGTCATCTCCGTTACATGGTGTTCTTGCACACGGTCAGAAGCTGATCAGGTTGGAGTGAGTTGCCCGGATTTGTGGACTCAAGCGAAAGATTGCGCACAAGAAAAGCAAGCTGGACTGTCCAAAGCTGGTCAAGAGCGGAGAGACGCTTCTCTGCATGTCTAGTGAAAGGGCCGGCAGGGGCCCTCTGACAATGACTCGACATGCAGCGTCAAAACTGAGTCCAAATAAATAAATGAGCACTAGAGCAACTCCAAAGCCTCCCAAGCTCTTTGAGCGGACATTGCACGGAATCCAGCCTCAACAAATTATGACATAGAAGAAAAAAGACCTCGGTGGGCATTGAGGATCTCATGACCCAGCTACAAGCCGGTGAAAGACGCGCGAACATGCACGAACCAATGACAAACACGACTGTGATGACAAGTGTTTGTGCTCACAGATACGTCGTTACCACGCCTGTGCTGACACGTACGTCGTAACCCCCACACCCCAATGACCAGTGGCACATGAGAACAGGAAGAAAACCACTGCATTGCAGTAGTTCAGCTTAAGCTAGCTGCTTCTGCTGGCTCGGCTCACCCGCAGCCATGTTTGTCCTGTGCGGCATCTTAGCCGTGATGGGCACCTGTTGCTTCCTTTAGATCTTTTAACACATGCTATGTGGAATGTCAGATTTGACATGCTTGAAGTTCCATGAGCGGGTGCAGAAGGCAGAGATGCATCCTAAAAAGTCGTGTTTGCGCGCGCATCCCGGCATGAAACTTGCAGATGGCTCATCGCCCCGAGTGCGGTTTGTTCCATGAGGGACGTCTTACTGTAGCCTAGCTGCTGCCATCAAGCAAGCTTGCCAGGAACCGCCCAGCGTTGGCTACACACCTCAAAGCTGCTAGTGCCCTCTGCCTGAGGTCAATGGCTTTGTTGGCGGCGGATGAAGAAACCTTTGACAGATTGCCGATTCAGAAAAATATGCTCCCACTCTGCCACACCCACGGACGCATCAATCTCCAAGTATACAAACGTACGTGAGCGGAGCGAGTGTGTCAGCCAGACTATGTTTCTGTAAGACAATGTGTGTTTCCTTTTTAGTGTGTGAATGCCAGTGGTGATGTATGTTGTTAATTCAAGGGAAATAAGTATTTTATCAAGTATATTACATAACTGGCTAAGCCAAAAGTTCAAGGAGAGAAAGTATGAAGTGTGTTTCTATATGTAAACACACTTGAAATTACGTAGAACCTTTTACCTGGTTGCTCGTTGTATCAGAATTAGACTTGGAAACCGTCTCCTTTACCGCTGCGTCTGGCAGGCTGCAGCGCAAGAGTGCTGGCTCCCAGGCGATGGATTTGATTTGCAAGTCGCAGTGATTTGCACCGTCTCCGTTGAAGGACCACCGGTACGGTTTGGATTGTTTGGTGCACACCGCATGCAGCAGGCTTTGTAAGTGTATTTGTTCCCTTGTTGCATTTTGCCAAGGGATGTTAGGACTTTAACTTTTTGACAACTTATTGGGTTTTCTATGAAACCACTAAAAGTTGAACTTTTAGCTGGGGAGCAGAAAGCAACCAAGGACTGTTCTTGTGCACACTGCATGCAGCAGGCTTTGCAGGTGTGTTTGTTCCTTTGGTGCATGTTGCTTGGATGTTAGGACTTCAACTTTTTGCCAACGAATGGGTTTTCCTTTAAACCACTAAAGTTAAACTTTTAGCAGGGGAACAGAAAGCAACCAAGGACTGTTCTTGTGCACACTGCATGCAGCAGGCTTTGCAGGTGTGTTTGTTCCTTTGGTGCATTTTGCTTGGATGTTAGGACTTCGACTGTTTGCCAACGAATGGGTTTTCCATTAAACCACTAAAAGTTAAACTTTTAGCAGGGGAGCAGAAAGCAACCGAGGACTGTTCTTGTGCACACTGCATGCAGCAGGCTTTGCAGGTGTGTTTGTTCCTTTGGTGCATTTTGCTTGGATGTTAGGACTTCGACTTTTTGCCAACAAATGGGCTTTCCATTAAACAACTAAAAGTTTAACTTTTAGCAGGGGAGCAGAAATCAACCGAGGATTGTTCTGGTGCACACCGCATGCAGCAGGCTTTGCAGGTGTGGTTGTTCGGTGGTTGTTCATGAAGATGGTCATGCCGGCCATGGCGCAAATGTCCCCTTGACAGAGGGGAATAGCTCTGCAAACATTCGCTGTGCCCGCACGGCGCTGAAGCCGAAGCCACGCCCACGGTCACATGCCCCCTGTAATGTACTTACAGGAGTATTGTACTTCCTTAGGGTTGGGAAGCCTGGTTATTTATAACCTTCTTAGGCGACTTATAACCATGGTATGTGAGTAACCAGGCCTACTACCCACTTGCCTGACGTACCAAATCGCCCCTGTAATGTAGGAGGCCAGCTTCACGCGCAAAACGCGTTCGCGATGTCAGGCAGCGAGACGGCCTCCATCCAGTCCAGCAAGCATCCGGGCTGGCAGGGACTCTTGGAGAGGCGAGCTGGTGTTCTAGGGCTACCTTCCTGTTTGAGAGCATGTGCGTTGCGACCATGAACCACACTGCGGGGGTCAACAGGTAAATCCGTCAAGTTTGATCCCCAGGAATGGCTTTGGCTGACGAGGCTACGGGGCTGGAAATAGATAGTTCTAGGGGTAGCTTCCCCATTCTTTCCAGGGATCCGAATCTGTTCAGGAAACCATGAACAACCCAGGGAAACAGATCCGGTTATTGAAAATAACGATGGTTGAAAAGAATGGGGAATCAACCCTTAGAGGTGTATTCCCTCACCTGGTCAACTCAGTTGTCCAAAACGAATCGATCTGAGTTTTCCCATGTTGGGTTCCCATTTTTAGTCATGGCTCCAATAGGTGATCACCTTCTATTCCTGCAAGGGGTAACTGAGTTAAGTGTAACAGTCAGAGCGTGAATCACCACCGGGTTGGCGAGCATGAGAAGGTGCTTGCGAATTGGACGTGGCAGCGTTTACTGATACCTGTTTACTGATACATACTCTCGAGGTTATTTTTTCTTCTGAGATGAAGCCAACTGGCTGTGGGTCAAAATTGAACCACCAGGGGACCGCAGGTTTTAGTCCATGTTTCCTTTAACCAGGGTTCCATTTTGGGTACCTATTTTTGACCCACAGCCAACTGATGTTGCAACATTGAGTTCTTCAGCCTTCTAGGTGCATTCTCAGAGGCGGGCTTGCCCTTTCTTCAAAGTCCTTGCTGCTGGTGTACCGGATTCAGCAAATGGAATAAAAAGCCTGGAAGGATCCTGTGCATGTGCTTGTTGCTTTCATACTGCAAACTTCAATCACACCAGCTACAGACCATGGCAAACTGCGAGGGAGTCCTGACCCCATGAGTTTCACACGCCGCTCATTTCAGAGGTTTCCTTTGAGACTCCACTTTGAGAGTTTACTGGGCTTCGCTGTTGTTGGCATGTTTTTGGGTTTTTGGGTTTTGCTCAATTTTTAGCAGTGGCCACAAACACAACAAAGTGTTTTGCTACCATACCAAGGGTTGGAAAGTGGGTTTTGTGGGCTTTTCACGACCCGCCGCTGCAATTGCCTAACAAAAAAAGTGAAGCCGGGCCTCCGGAGGCCCATGCAAAGCCGGGCTTTCGGTTGCATGAACTACACATGACAGGGACAGCGAGAGTGCTCTAAGGGAAGCGGGCTGCAACGTGCTTTGGCGTTTGTTTTAAAATTGTGCGGCAAACTTCTTCAAGACGCCAGATGACAGTTGGCGATCCTTGCGAAAAGATCAATTCCACACTGACCTTTTGCAGCCTTTGAATTGTCCGGGGATAGAATCAGTACTGGCTGCACTTCGCGCCAAGCCCATGTGCTAGGATCTGAACTCCAGAGGGCATTCCTTTTTCTCCCTTTTCGCATGGTTTGCAATGTCGCCGCCCCTTCTTTCTTGTTTTGTAGTTGCATGCCTGCCAAGTGCTTGAGGCTGGGCTGCTGTGAACAAGCCCATCAGGATGCGAGGCGTGGGAAGCAACTGTACAAAGTCGCTCCGGCACCAAGTCGCGGTGTTTCAGGCCCTTTCCCATGGCCAAACCAAGGGTGGGTTGTGAAGTTGCCTCTCTTGGGTCCCCAGAACCTTCAAGCCTTTAGGGATGTTTCACAGGTAGAACCAGTACATGAATACATGGGTATTTGTCAAAATCAAAGCACTAGGGGACAGAAGGGTTTTAGTCCTTGTTTCCATTTACCAGGGTTCATTTTGCGTTCCTATGCTTGACCCACAGCCAAATGTCTCTGACTACTCTGTGCGCAGGTGAGAGTGTCAGCTGCGGTCTGGAGAGCAATATCCAGGTGTTGCAATTGACATTGGCGAACCGCGCTAATCTTGCTCGAAAATACATCAGAGCTTTTGTCAACGTGTGTTGGTTGCGGCTTTGTCCAGCATGTGGAACCATTCTAGGAGACAGGTTTTCGCCTTTCCAGAGACAGGCCAATCGATTCTGACAGCACTCTAGATGTTGTCAATCTGCTTTCTGGCATTAGCCCACTGCGAGATTGCAAACTGCCAATATGTTCTAGCCAATGACCATATTATGCGCGTATGTCATCCCCTTTCGTGGAAATATTTCTGAGGACATTCCCGACCAGTCGCGTTTGTCACACCCCATGGAAATGTCTTCGACGTGGCTCGACCAGTCGCTTGTCGCAAGGCCTGAGAGCATCTCCAAGCACCCGGCCTTCCCCTCAGAGGAGCAAGAGCGAGGGAGCGAGCTGACCGGGGAGAGACTCCCGTCCGACAGGAATCAAAGTGCGGGCATCGCATTTGATTGCGTCCTTTGCTGGAGTCGTGATGGCAGAACTTGCTTAAAAACCACGCTTGGGGTTGAGCATTGACCAAGGAAGAGAGAGAGAGAGAGAGATGCAGAAGAAAGGCAAAGTGATGGCTCACCAGGCCATCTGTGCCCAACTCTGAACACGCAAGCGCCTTTGGATCAATGCTCGAAAGCCAAGCTGGGTGAGCAGATCCACACTTCCATTTGGACGACACTCCTCCAAATACTTCTGCTGAGTAACCTGTCCAGCTGCCATTCTCAGGACTCGCTTTGACCAAGGAAATCAAATGTGGCGCAGGAACCAGCCATGCCAAGCCTGAAGGACGCCAATTGACCGGTGAATCGTGCCGACAAAAGGGCCAGTTGTGCAAGAACGCGTTGTTGCAAAAAAGTCATATGTGTCCGTGATTTGCTTGTTTTTGTATGTCCTTCACATGATATTGCTGTTAATGGAGAGGCAGCAACCTTTGTTGGCCTTGAGAGGCCATGCTGTGACTTGCAGGGAACATGGAACCCCACCTGCGAGGTGTTTCTGACTTAACTTCTTTGGGGCCTTTCAATCACGTCAATTGGGTGTTGCGGATGCTTGTATTGTTGGAGATGCGCTGGGCAAGCTCTGAGACTTGTATCACATAAAGGACATCACACTCCAAGATTGGTTCCACCACAGCCAAACCGAAGCTACCCCCGGGGCGTGAGTGAGGAATGCAGCCACTATAGAACCACCATATGAAAGGTATATACCCTCCCTCCAACTAACATGGCAACTGACAGAGGCTCCCTTCAAAAGGAAATGACTCTTCCAGGTGTTTTGTTTTCCACAGGTGCCATGTTAGTTGGAGGAAGGGTACCCTTGTCCAAGTGGGGGTAGGGGGTGGACACCATCCACACCTTGGCCGTTTTGATCGAACTGCCAGGAGATCCCTCCAGAGCTGCTAGGCCAGGATCCGGGATGTTGAAAGGCGGTTTCCAGGATCCCATCGGGTGTCCGGGTCAACAGGAAGCCTTCCCTCCCACGAACGTGGCACTAACCATGGTTGTTGTTGGGAAATATAGGACACATTTTTGCTCATGGTGGTTTAGTGGTTGAAATCCAAATCCACTCAACTGCTAAGATTTAAGTTTCTGCCCCCCTTCCAACGTCAACTCAGCAACGTGGGAAGGTACCTGGAAGACCAAATTTCTTTTGGAGGGGCCAATTCCCTGCCAAACGCGAGGGCACATTTCTGGGGCTGAGCTTTCTGGGGCGCATTTGGAGCGTCGTTTGGAGCTTTTGGCGCTCCAGTTGATTTGATCGCCTTCCATCTCCAAGGGCTCCGCGCGGGTTTTTGAGACAAAAACTCCACAGGGATCCTCAAAATTCGCCTCAAGGACATGTATTTCGGGTGGAATAGGGCGTTTAGAGCCCGGTAAAACGAAGGCGGCCCTGCAAAGCGAAGCCTCCACAGGGGATATTTGGTTCTGGCACTTTTTAGTTTTTGCGATAGCTCGCAGGTTTCAATTGCCCATAAGGCGTGGGAGGAATCACACAGCTGCATGCTTTGATTTGATACTTGCCCATGTTTGAATCTGGCAAGCGTGTGTGGCGGGTGTACAGTCTTACCATTTGGGCAGCTCTTGAAAGTGCCAAAACTTGAGGGGTCGTAGCGTCGTTAGTCAGTCTCGGGTTGCTTCATGATGGGTTTAGGAAAAAAACGTTGCTTGGGCTAAAATATTACTGTCCTTGTCTCTTTTGTCGCCGTGGCGGACATCACCGTCATTGTTGTGGTGTCGTGGGCAGTGACTGTCGTTGTTGGTCTTGCCGACGTCGTTGTCAACGTGGAGATCAGCGCTGTTGCCATCCTCATCATCATCATCATCATCATCATCATCATCATCATCATCATCCTCAGCATGAATCACGCTCATCGTTCTGATCATCGGGTTGATGTGCAGTTGTGTAGTCATAGTCGTTATGGTCCCCGTTTTGTCATGGTCATTAGCATCATGATTGTCACAAGTTTGTTTATGTTGCTTTGCGTGCTTATCCTCACCCACATCATTGTGTACATTATGACCCTCCTTGCTTCCATATAATATCCTTTAACGCCGAATGAGAACGAAGACGAGGATGCAAAGCATGATAACATAAGTCAATTGCAACATGAACAATTGTTAAAGGCCATTCTTGCCATGCTATCCTTCTCCTGGAACTTGGCCTTGATAGCGGCCATCGCCTTTGTACTTATCCTTACCCTCTGTTCATGACTGCGTAGTCAAGGGGTGGGAATATTGTTTAAATTCACCACCGACCTTTGACTTATTTCTGCCTGTTTCTACCAACCGTTTCGCCCGTTTCACCCATGTTTCACAAAACTTTTCCTAGGTCCTCCCAAAAAAATCACCCCCAAAACACACCTCCCCAAATGCTCAGTCTTCTCGTCTTTCCCAAGGGGGTGTGTTTCGGTTTGGGTTTGGGTTTGGGTATTTGGAAAATGCCCCGGTCCGAGTCCCCTTCAGAGGCCCGGTGACCGCCAGTGACAAATTCGCGTCTTGCCCGGTGACCGCCAGGCACGAAGCTTTGAAAGACCTTTTGGCTGAGCTCGCCGAACTTTTGAGAGCTTCTCGCTTTCGAGGCGTTTTTTTCCCAGTGCCCTTTCTCTCACCCAACTTTTTTTGGTGAGGGTTCCGAACCCTACTAGACAGGACCTAGCTTTGATTTTGGGGGTTGACCATACTCAAACCTTGTGTGTTGCATCTAGAAACACACATGCAATACATCTTTGTTTAAGTAATGCTGCAAAGGGAGTTGCATATGTTCCCTTCACAAACTTGCCAGTATACCGGGGTTTCTTTGCAAATACGAGGCAGCTAGAGCTGGCACACTGTTCTTAAGACGCAGGGTACTTAGTAAGTGGTTAGCAAGCCAGGGTATAGCGCACTGAACGGAGACTTATAAATTATTAACATGGCTTTTGTGGTTTGTTTCACCAGGCTTACTCTCACCACTTACCTGACGTACCCTGTATTGATCGTGCTGTTAAGTACTTGTCTTGACCAGAAAACTCAGGTCAGCACATGTGTCTTCCATTTGCTTGAGAATATGTGTTTGTTATTTTCCCCTTTTGGTTGTTAAGGGAATGTATCACTACTGGAAATGGTGTGGATGGACGAGATCCTGCACCACTTGCAGCCATGGTTGAAGCCATGGTTTGCTGGTATTTACAGGGTGTCTCAGGTGCAGGATTGCGTCCATCCACCGTATGTGTATGTTTTCCAGGAGACAAAAACACAAATGGAAGGTTTCAGCTGCTAGAGCTGCCTCCTGAGACGAAACGCTGGAGTGCGCCAAAGCGCCAAAGTTGCGCCAAAGTTGCGCCCAGTTTCACTCCAAAAAGAGGTGGGCAGGTGGCTGTGGTTCAAAAGCATGGCACCTTGGTACATGGAACCAAAGACGAATTAATTCCTGCTCACCCTAGCTCTTTAGAGCCACACCCAGGTATAGATGATGTGTGTTTCCCCTATACCAAAGACGTTTGCGAAGCGTGCTCTGGTCATAAACACCTTCTCTTGGGGTAGGCTACTTTTTGTTAATAACATTGTAGCCTCCTTTTCGCAAGGATCATAGGCTAATGCTAGAAATGTGCTATGATTGACCCCCGAGAGCTGACAGGTGACCTGGTCTTGTCAAAATGGGCTTCCGCATTGAAGCACGCCACTTGATGGGCTGGCTAGCAAGCATTCAACACCTGTGCCTTCGGAACCCTTAACGAGGACCGGCGAAAGTCAAGTTTGGCCACACAGCTAGAAACGTGTCGGCGCATGTCGGCGCAAATGCTAACCTCGTGCCATATTCAGCGGATTTTAGTTGCAGGCTGCTCCATGTTGGGCCTTCATGTCAGCTGAGGCCCTCACAGATTTGCACAAAGACAGAATGCATGCGCCTTCGAATGCCGCCATAGAATTTCAGAGATTGTGCGCAGGTCCCACATGCAAACTTGTCAATTCTTGCATAGGGTCGGGCTCAAGAGGTTTGCTTTCAAGCCGCTCGATGTGTCTATCCTTCCGAGCCGAAAAGAGCAATCGTTGATTTGGCGGAATCCGTTTCTTTGTGCGGGGTCTCCCAGTTTGCGAGCTGGCATCCAGAAGCAAGTGGCTCCTTTTCCCATGTCCCCAAGGGAGGTCGTCGGAGCTTTTCTTGAGGATCGTAGGGTCGAAATATATCACTTACACCTCTCTTTCAATAGATGGACACAGATCCACTGCCTGCCTCGCCCATGTGGACCTCGCGGTTTGCTTCAAGCCCGCCCGCTCCAGTAGGAAGGTTGACTGACGACACCCAGATCTGACATGTTACTTGTTGAGACAAGTTGACCGAGGGTGCTTTAGCAACAGAGGCTAACATGTAATGTGTCAGGACTGGTCAGAATGCGTGCGCATGTTTGATCAGTTTGAGTGTTCTCCGGAAGGTAGGACTGTTGCTGTAGGAGCATTCAAGGCATGTCCAAAGACGATAAAGGGAGCTTCCAGATTTTGTTCTTGACGGGTGCATGTGACGCAGAGAATCCCCCCCCCTTCCCCATCCCTATCCTTCAGTCGTGTTTGGATTAGAAACTTTGGTGCGTTGGCGCAAGATGTCCTGGTGTGGCAAAGCCCAGCCATGCTATTTATAAGCAGATTGCTGAGGTTTCAATCTCAATATAAGGTCCGACAACCTGCATGATGTGCACTTTTGTTTTGTTGATGAATTTGATGGCTTTCATGCTTGCTTGTTGTTTGGCGGGAATTCCGGGATGAGGCAACTTCTTGATCCGGCTGGCATGACCATCTACGAGTCACTGCTCAATTCTCCCGCGTTCACTGTGAGAGAGTCAACCTTGTCTTTGCCTCCCTTTGACTCAAAGCAGTTGGACGGGTCACTATGTCGGTTGCGGTGTGCTTGCACAGAAAAAGCCGACCATGGATTCGTCAAGGGGGCGATCGGGCACTTGGAAAGTAGTTACTAAGCCTGGTGAAGTAAACCTTACCTCTTAAAAGCACAACTTTTCAACTTTTTGGGTAACATGGGCTATATGTCTGTAAAAGATTAACTTCCCCAGGGCTTGGAGTTTCAAGGGGTAAGAAACCTCTTAGGAGACTGAAAAAGCCGTGGCTTTGGTTTCAACCGACTTCCTAGCCACTGACCTGACGTACCCCATCACTGATCACCCCTTGTCGGGGTATGGAGCCGAGGCTCCAAAGCCTTGGTTCCTTGGATCGCTTTGAGTCAGATCCTCGACTTCCCCTTTGCGATCTCAAGCCTTTTAGTTGGTCCGCTCAGACAAACAATCAGCACACTTGTGTCCTTTTCTCACTCCTGTGAGAAAAAAAACAGAAAGGCTTCAGGGAACTATCTGTGCAAAATGCTTCTCTCTGAGTGTGTTTCACTATGAGGTACCGGCATTGAATAGCTTGTGTGCCTTTGGCCTCACAAAGTGCCAGGCAAAAGTTTGGCTCAGTTTTCAGCTTTCCTCTAATTCGGTGTTCCGCATTCATCTTAAGGCCAAAGGCACCTAAACCGTGGTTTAAAACTGGCCGGTGCCGCATTACTCAGAAGTAAAGCTCTTTCCAAACATGTATTTCCCACCAAGGTCAACGACCAAATTGAAGTCATGGCAACTGCAATCGGTGCACAAAATGGACACTGAGTTGCAGAAAAGGTTCACAATTCAGAGACGAGTGATCAAACCAAAAGAGGCCAGTTTAAATTCACCTCAGCAGGATCACCAGTCGAACCTGAACCATTGGGCCAACCGACTAAACAACGGATCACAGAAGAATCCCACCTTGATGTCCGTGAAGAATCTCGATGCAGCTGTTTGTGGTTGTTGTCCAACCCCGGGTCTCCTTCGCAACCACAACTGCAGTGATTCGTTGGAGTGTGTAGATCTCCATGAATCAATGTGTACAATGATCATTGAGGACCGCAGCCTATGCACACTCTTCATGCGGATGCAATGGGGAGCAACATCATGAGCAGAAGAAGCAGAAACACAAGTATTGTATGTTTATTTACATACTTAACATGATATATTGACATATTGAAAAACACACGTATGTGTCTATATATATAGAGTGTTTTGCCTATTTGCACATTATGTATTTATACACATGCACTTGCATGTACTTAACAACAGTTTGCTTGAAAGACTGTACAGTTCAAGCCTTCAACATACATACATGGACTGACAAGTCGTGAGAATGGCTACATGTTTTGGCTCAAGCTGTGACAGGCTGTCGCAACGACGGCATCACAGCAGTCATATCCTGGATTTGGGCCTGCGATCAAGGCCTTCAGGACTCCCACCCATCCACCACCCACACATCCACTACTCCACTCACCCACCCACCTACCCACCCGTCCACACACACACACACAGGATGCAACCACTAATGTGCCATGTTGTGTGTTTGTTGGCGTGCAAAACATCGGTGTTGGATGCGTTTATGTGCAGTGCCTATTTCTCAGCAAAAAGTGCTTGCGCCTCCGCTATTGGATGGCATCCCCTGGGGATGCTTCATGTATTCCAAGTCTCCCAAGCCACCAAGCAAACACACAGGACAGCATGTACTCTCCAATTCCAAAGGCGGTTTGCACTCTGTTGATCTAACCCCTGCGAGACGAGAAGTGCCCGGCAGATCGATTCGCCACTTCAAGACGTTCCGCATGCAAACCTAAGTTGCTCGAGTCATGTTCAGCGGCTATGGCAGAATCCTGCGGGGGACTCAATGAGCAGCATGAGAACTGCTTTGCTTTTTGTTCAAGGAATCCAAGGAAGACTGAGAACACTTACCACGGATAGCTTTGATCTGAATCGGGATGATCAAAGACTTGGAGCCGGTGCTTTCCTTCTCGATTTGAAGCTGCCGCAGGCCATTTCCTTTTGACAGCCGCAGGCTTCCTTCCCATTTGGCTATTCGCTCCGGGCGCAGTCAAAGCGACCAAAAGGAATACTTTGCCATCAGGAAGCTCGGGTCAAACCACCTGTTGAGCTCATGCCGCGTCAGACACCCACTCAAATTGCAACATGAGCCGCAATCAAAACCCGGGTAGATGAAGATTAGTAAGGGACAATCCGAAATAGCTGCGGCAGCCTGCTGAATTCTTTACATGGTTCTGGGTAGACCATTCTAATATTGGGTTTTGATTGTGACTCACATGCCACCACTGCTTGGAATGGTCCAACGGAAACCCTACCAGGTTGACAATTTTTCCTACCAGGCTGGCTGTTTCGTGATCGGTGTCTGACTTTGAGAACCCCTAGAAGGGAAAGCAAAGCACCCATTGGTCAAGTGAAATGCCCAGTTCGGTATCCTCTTGATATCGGTTCTCCACTAGTTTCGATAGGTTTTATGCCATCCATTTACCAGGGACACCCATCTGCACGAAACGGATGGTCTTTCTAGTTCAGTTTGGGTAAAAATAGATGGGTTCCACCGGTTTAGATGATGTGGCTTGTTCCCATCTATTTCACCAAACGGCCACCTACGGACATGCCTCTGCTGGCCACGAATGGCACAGTCCCGACCTTCGGCGAGGCTTGGTGTTGCCTGGGCGCTAGCGCTCGTGCGCTTCCCGACCGCCTGGCCTGAACTGCTCTTGGCCGGGCCCTGGGGAAAAAACCACTCTGGTGCATTTAGCTCGGATGTTAGGACTTTAACTTTTTGCCAACGGATGGGTTTTTCATTAAACCGCAAAAAGTTAAGCTTTTAGCAGGGGAGCAAAAAGCAACCGAGAAAAGCCGCCGCTGGGGCAAAGATGGGCGGGGAGGACGGTGTGTTTTGTTTGGGGTGGAACCCCCAAAATGGAGGGTGTTACTTTTGGTGTCAAAGTTTGAAAGCACCCAGCAAGGGGTACCAACTCAAGAACGACAGACCCATTTAAGAGAAACCACGGGGGAGACTGAGTTGCTAAAAAGCGCCAAAAGGGAAAAGATCCCAACCCTAGGACTCTTCAAGATGGTTTCAACGAGAGACCCACAGACAGAAGGACGGAAGCAGCAACGACTAGTTTGGACTCATTGCACTACAGGAATATATACGTATCTCTATATATATACATATGAAAAGGCACAACCCCTCACTGGGATTTACGAGTGTGGTGACAACCAAAAAGTGTTGCCACTTGGAGAAGCTAACAATGCACGGCCCCAAGCTATGTGACAACACAAATTACAGATTACTATTTGTTCTGGGTAGTCCCTTTGCTTTGTGGTTGCAATCGAAAAAAACGGGGCAGACCCTCCTGTCCTTCCATTTGCTTAAGAATATGTGTGTTTCTTTCCCCTCTTGCCTTAACGGGAATCGATTTCACTACACATCTTTTCTCAGCAATTTGTGAGGGCTCAAAGGGGACCTATTGCAGGGAAAAGTGTCTTGCTACCTGCCTGTGCCGCTGTATCTAGCAACTTATGTTTTTTCCTATGGGACGAAAACCCAACTGGAAAGGAAGCATGTGTGTGTTTTTGTTTCTCCTCTTGTCTTAAAGGGAATCGCTTTCACTACACATCTTTTCTCAGTTTTTATGGGACGAATTTATCACTACACACATTTTTCCAAGTTTTTCCTATGTGACAAAAACCCAACTGAAAACGTCCTTTTGAGCGAAAGGCTCCCGCTCCCTCGCACCTCGCCCGGGAGCGAGGCGGCCCTGACGCTTCCGCTGAGCTGGGCGAGCGGCGGCGGCGCCGCGCCGGCGGCGGCGCCGGCGGCTTCGGCGACGCTGCAGGGCTGGCGGGGAGCTGCGGTGGAGGCCGGGCTGGCGGGGGGTGAAGCAGGGCTTCTTATTGCTTTCTGGCTATTTCATGGTTGTTGTTGGGAAACATTTTGCATTTTTGCGCATTGTGGTTTCGTGGGAAATACTTAACAGCTAAAGTTTATATGTTTGCTCCCCTTCCAACGTCAACCACGCTATTTGGGAGCGGATCTTTGGACACATTGTTTGGGGGACATAGAGGCCACAGAGGATTTGCGGTTTGTTTGGTTGGATCTTTGGACTTAGCTGATTGGGACACAGGTGTATTTGGTAACGGATCTTTGGACTGAACAAGTTTGGGGGTAGAGGACTTTCCATTGGACCCCCACAAAGTTTAACTGGTTGGATCATTGGACTGAACAAATTTTTGGGACACAAGTGTTTTTGATAAGGGATCTTTGGACTGGACAACGTGTTGGTTGAAACAGGAAACATATTTTCCGAGTTGGACCTACAACAGTTGTTCACCACTTGCTGCAGAGGAGCCGTTACGGCAACCAAGGTTAGGTCTTAGTTGTTTGCTTCACAAGCTCACATGCCAGGCTCTTCAGGGCGTTTGTGACTTGTTTATTGGGATGCGCGAGTGGACATGGAAGCGGAGCAGACTTTCCTCCAGCTTTCCTCAATCGGAAGGAGTACTCCTTTGACCTTTATGTAAACTCGCAGGCTTAAGGGATGTTTATTGTGATCAAAAGCTTTCGGACAGCAGTCCCTTGCGCTGACAAGGAACTGCAAGGATACGGTGGCCAAAATGGAAGGGCCCCGAACCTAAGAAATCCCACTCCCATGGTGTCGCATATTGACATGTGCTTGCATTCAGGTTGATGAGTTGCATTTGCACAGATGGTTGTAGGGCAGTGACCTGCGCCGGGGGCAAGGCTACCCGTTGAACGCTTTTTCGCTTGGCAGAAAGCGCAACCCAGCGGCCCAGCGGCATAGCAGATTCCAAGCCGCCCAGCTAGACGGAGTCACTCGCTATGGCCAAGAACACGCCAACGTGGCACTCGCAATCAGACACTCTTGAATGTGCATGGAAATGAACAGTATTGGGGCATGGGCAGAGCTTCTTAAGCTCGCTTTGGCTGTTTTGGCCAACCTTTGCTTGAGGCAACTCGCATTTTGGCGACAGAACTTGACGTTTTCGGTGAGCTCTGGTTGCATGGTGATCGTTTTGGAGCCCAAACGTACACATCAAACCCTGAGATGATCAAGCACGTTTGACCGTGAAGCACCGTGGATCATGTGGCACTCATGCTTGCCGTGTTAGAACTTTGATTATTGACGATACAATATAACAGTTGCTGGCTCCCAGCCATCCGGTTCCTTTAGCTGTTTGGCATCTTAGTGTTTTTTGTGTGTTTTGTTTGGGGGGGGTTCCATTTCACCCATCAAAAGGGACCTTTTTAGCGGGGGATCTGACAGCGCACAATCGCTGTCGACCAATCCATGTATGCTGAAATGTTCAGACCCCATCCAGGGGCGGATCGTTTTCAGACATTCGCTTTCAGGAGCATCATACATGTCACCTTGGTATTCCTTTGCATTGCGTGAGAACTGGCTGCGTTTTGCAGGGGTTTGCAGAGTGCGCACGCTCTTGCATTTCGAGACTGTGCACTGGAGGAGAGCCAGTCCTTTTTGAGTGGCTCTTGGAGTTCCCCCTTTTTCAGGACCCTCAGATGACTTCTGAGATGGCTTCCATCCACTTTTGAGGCCCCACGGCTCATGCCGAAAGCAAAGCCTTGAAAGAGCAAGACCCCTGCCCAGTTTCTTGGTGCACGGACGGGTTTCCTTGCAATCTTCGGAGTCGTGTGAGTGAGACTAGTGACATCGTGAGGTTTGTGAGCCCCCGAATCCCGGCCAAAAACAGGACCAATAAGGTCTATTAAGGGCTACTCCAGGGCTCCTCATCTCCAGGGCCCTCCTTGGGCTTGACCATAGCTTTGCATTTTGCCAAGGGATGTCAGGACTTTAACTTCCAACGAATGGGTTGTCCGTATTAAGCCACTAAAAGTTGGTCAGTTAAACTTTTAGCAGGGGAGCAGAAAGCGTCCGAGAATAAGATTTGGAGCCGGCAGGTGATGTTGATTCCCTTCATCCTTTTCTTCAAGCAGACGTCGCCTCTTTCGGAGATCTGCTGCGCCGTCCTTCTGGCAGACGCCCTGCGCGGGGTCTGCTTTCGTGAGACGGAGGAGCGCAATATCCGGGAAATTCGATTCCTCTGACCGTACATCATGATTACATATATATATATATACATGTATATATGGCTTGAACAAAATGGTAGGTACTGCTTGAGAAACATGGTAAGCGCTGCTTCCTTGGGTTGCATGTCAGCGACAGCTATTTGGGGCTTTTCCATAGGCATTGGCTAGCTGGGCGCGAGCCCGAACAGCGGTGGCAATAGCCGCGGAATCAAAGCAAGCGTTCCGCCCGGCCTGCTACATGTTCTTTTCAATGCTAGTTTTGGTTGAAAGCCGCCAACGGTCACCAGAAGGCTTGGGAAACCATGTCAAGTGACGAACAAAAGGTATCTTGACAGAGCTTGGATCCTCTGAAAATGTTGGCTTTCTTACATGTGATTCTCATGATCTGGCCACATCCAAGTGTCCTGCATCGATCGGACCCATTTCCACCCCGGTCATTCTCTAGTGTGACCTTGTCACCTCCAATGTGGTTTTTAAGACCTTTGGCTTTTGGCCCTTGTTCAATCAGAAAGCGGTCTGTGGATTTTAGTGTCTCATGCTGTTTATCCAAGGCTCAGGCTGGAAGCATCCCTGTAGTTCATGCGAGGCGTCGGGAAGTCGTGGCTTCCACAAAGGCATCACATCGAGCGGATAACTCCACTCCAAACCATGCGAGTCTGTCAACGCTATGGCACAAACCGCCATTCTCCCGGCTGAACAGCTGAACAGATTGCAACCATTTTACTTGGGCCCTGTGGGGATGTGCTGGGGATCGCCAATTCCTGAAAGCCCGGCTTACCATTCTCGGGGAATCACCTGTACCCGACTGCTGCGTTGGTTTGGCTGGAGAATGTTCATGGGGAAGCTTCCCCATTCTTTCCAGGGATCCTTCCTTTGAGAAAATCCAAAACACAGAGGAAACAGTGATCGGTTTTTGAAAAGCACAATGGTTGAAAATCATGGTTGGCATCAACGTTCAATGGTTGAAAACCATGGTTAAAAAAATGGTTGGGAAGAAGAACTGGTTGAAAAGGGCAATGAACGACGGTTGGCATCCACCTTCACCCTCCCTTTCCCTTTTTGGAACCTCCAAAATCGGAAGTTGATCTGTTCAACAGAAGCCACCAGTCAAGCTGAGCCGCGCTGGAGCTGCCGTCTCGCCCCTTTCGCCAGGAGCTGACTCCCGAGTCCGCCTCCAGATCGCGGCCGGAAGGAGTCCCAAAGGACCCGAGCAAAAAGAAAAAACGCCACAGAAGGCCTCCCCCAAATTGAGGAAGCGATTCTTTTTTCTGGCAGCTCAGGGATCGGAAGCTCAGGGAATGTGAATTGGAATGAGGCTTTGGCTTTGGTCCCAAGGAAAGCAGCAGTTGGAGGGCGAAAATCTCGGGGTCGGACGAAATGTCTCATTCCTTGCCGATTTCGCGCCAGCCAGTCTTGTGGTGTGCCATCGAGCTCAAATTTTGCCTCACGCGGGTGTCCCTGGGCGTTCAAATCCATGGTGAAATCGGCACCTCAAAACCCGGACAAAGTACGGGACACTCCCCTTGCCATAAATGGATGCGGATATCCGTTTCATTTCTTTACAACCTTCTGGGTAGACCATTTGAATACCAGGTTTTGATCATGACTGGTTTGGGTGGTTGTCAAAAGTAGGTACCTGGCCGGCCCGATCGGTGAATGGAAGCAAATCCTAAAGCCAGTGGTCCATATCCTGGTAGTTCAATTTTGAGCCTTACCCATTTGTGTGTTTAGGTTCCTGGGAATATTCACTCAAAAAGCCCCTAAGCCGGATCGATTTCCTGGGTTGCTTACTGGCACTTGGTTGCGTGGTTGGGCTTGACAGGAGGCGAAGATGGTGGTGTCTTTTGCTGAGCCATGGGCAAAATGCGCATGGATTCTGAACATGTTGGGAACATATGCCTATCTGCTATATGAAGCCTAAACATACACTGTTGGAAAGTGACGTCTCCCTGTGCGAGAGCCTGGGCTTTGAGTTGTTTGCACGCGGAAAATGTGAGAGTGGGCTGCCTCCCATGGACATGCCGCCTGTATGCTTGCTCGACCTGCTCCAGGAAAGCCCAGATGCAGCCACCACAAAGGACGCTGCGCCAGCCTCGGCAAAGGAAGCGCCAGCATTGGCGACGGAGGCGATGTGTTTCGCGGCAATTTGTGTTCCAAGATAGAGCCGGCCGAAACGAAGAAACTTGTGGATTTGTTGTATTTGGAGAATTCCCTGAGTCTGCACCAAGGATTCAAGAAGGACAAAACAAGACTCTGTATTCAGGGTTGCTGAGAAACACAGCAACTAAACTCCGTGAGACAACAAACTAAATGGGCCAGGGTTGCCTCTTGTGGTGCATTTGCAAGAACATAGTGTTGTTGACCTCGTGTCAGGGCCAATGGTGCTGTAAGCTAGTTGGATATGCAGGTTGATGTGTGCCGTGCTACAGTACTATGCGCTTCTCATCAACAGTTCTTCAGGCATAGACACCCAGCTTGAAGTTACTGTCACTTCATCCGCAACCAAAACGCTCAGTATACGAGCTATGAACGATTGCAGCATGATGTCCATGGTCACATCTTCATCACAGGGAGCGCGCTGTCCACTGTTTGCATCATGATGATCGTTGTAGTAGTCGTTATTCCGTCACAGTTGACAGCTTCAATATATATATATATATATATATTATCTCCAATCTTACCGACATGCTGACGTTCCAGTCACGGAGGGCCCGCGACCCCAACCCGCAAACACAACAACTTGATCAACATGTCTTGCTCGGTGCATTTCCAACTTTTCCCGGCTGGTGTTGCCAGTAGTTATGCGCTCGTCTCACGAAATTTGAATCAGTAGTCTTGTGCTCGTCCAATATCCAACTTGTTTAACTATCAAACCTCCAACTTCTAACTTATCTAGCCTCTAACATGTTCTAACTTCCTTGACATCTAACTTCTCGCACGTCTAATCATCTGCAACATCTAGCTTCAACTTCTCTGACCTGAAACGTGTTCAACCGCTATCCTATCCAACCACGAGCTTCTATAACCTCTATCGTCTCGAACCTCTGACTGGTCTTACTTCGAACTCTAGCTTCTCTCACCACGTGTTCAAACCTCTAATTCATCAAATGTGTCGTGAGCCCGTGCATGCCTCCTCCCAGCTTCAACTTGGGATAGGGTCCTTTGGTGTCACTTGAGGAACCTATTGTACAAGTTTGCCCCAGGATCTTCCGAGAAACCCCTTTGAGGGACCAAACTTTCTGGGTGTCTCTGGTTAGTGGCTTGCCGCTGGGGTGTAAGAGGTGGGGTGCCACATCAGAAGGGTCCCCCTGTGCCAGGGTTTGGGGAGCCACCGTGTCTCCTGCGAGTTCTGGTCCGCCGTTCGCAGGTTCTGTTTTTGTTTTTGTTTTGTTTGTTTAATAGGGTCCTTTGGTGTCACTGGAATCTATTGTACAAGTTTGCCCCAGGATCTTCGAAGAGACCCCTTTTGAGGTTAAACAAAAAAAACGCTTGTCGCTCGCCAGGCAGAGAAGGAAGGTGTCCCCAGCTGAGTACGATGTTTCTTTTTCGGCCGAGCCGAGTCGGGGTGAGAAATTGTTGTGGACATGGTGTCTCTCAAAATCTCAAAATAGGGAACGCAAAGAAAACCACAAACAACCTTCTTTTGCTTAAGAATATGATTATATTTTCCCTTGTTGGTCTTAGAGAGAGTTTATCATTCATGACTAGAAATATGTTCTTTTTTGCTAAGCAAATGGAAGACGAGTCCCTACAAGCAAAACTCTTCTTCTACTGAGTTCTAGATTGCCATTGTGTTTGTTCACCCAGCAGGATGAACATTTCCTTCCGGGAAGGTGTGCGCTCTCTACATGTGGGATACAACGGGTTTCTCGTGATTTATCATATGGCTGGCGGGGGGTCCAAATTGCTGGTTTTCGGTTTCCCTTTAGACCCAAGCTGAAAAAGTATCCTCCAAAATGCAGAGCCGTTTGAACCTGTTGAGAGGCCTTCTCGCTGAGGATCGCAAGCTCGGCAAGTTGGACTCTTCACTCTGGGCAGACTTGGAGGCGAGGGGATCGGTTGGGTTCCCCGGAGTCGGCCGAGAGCTCCCGGGTTCCCCCAACAGCCGAGGCAAAACGCAGCAGCCCTTGGATTGGCAGCTGCGCCCGTTTGGGAGCTTGAAGATCCAGGCTTTTACGTCAGGCGTTTGATGCTTGCAAAGGAGCCTGCAAACGCAACCTGGGCATAACTTAAACGACACCTGCGTTGACGTGTTTGCCAAGCTGCGGCCGTGGCGAAGCGCAAAGCTTTGAGGTATGGACAAGCGGGCTAAAGCCGCCAACAACATTTGGCGACGGTTTGCAAACCGCAGAGGCTTTATAGGAATTATTCGACTCAGGCGTTCACACCTAGGGTACAGCAAAGTCGGGCACACCTACCGTCCAACCTCCACAGTGGCATCCTTGCAGCGTCCTGAAAGATTTAGCACGCGCGGACCTTTTGTGTTGACATCCATGTGAGTGTGTCTTTCTTTGAGGATACCCTTTTCTTTGTGGTGTTACGGGGAAAGCAAAAGACAAAAGGCACGCCCACCCATGTTTGGGGTCCTGTAAACTACAAGATGACCCTTGAATGGTTGATCAGTACCTTGGCATGCTGGTTTGAATGCGTCCGGTTTCATGGTGGGCAACACAAGCTGACTGTCCTCCATGTCATGCTGTTCTTTGTTGCAACTTCATTCATGGAACAGCTTTGCTGGCTTTCGATCCAGCACGTGTCACTCTGATCTCACATGGCCCCATGGCGGCACCTGTCTTGGCAGCGGGTATGATCGTGGGCAGTGTGAGGATCTCGTTGCCCGACTTTTTACTCAGCGGTTCGCGCGCAGGATCTTCGCAAGACATCAGGGGTCAGTGAAGTGCCAAAGGGATAGTTGAGTCACAATCAAAACCCAGGTAGATGAAGGTTAGTAAGGGACAATCCCAACCATAACTAGCTGCGGCCGCCTTCTTAATTCTTTACATGCTTCTGGGATTACGACCATTTTGACACCAGGTTTGGTTATGACTCAGTTGAGATGTCAATGCCAGATGCTGTGGCTTACCAATTGGTGGTTCCCCTTTGCAGTTGGTCTCCTTGCGGATTTGCCTTCACGGCGCACTCGCGGAGGCATGTTCTATGAGTTAATCCATTCAACTGTAGATTCCTAATGAGTTAATCAGCTTGGACGAGTTAAACAAATTTACATTAATATACATATATATAGTTATTATATATATATATATCAGCGGCTAGGGCGGGATTTGACGATTGGGCAACTCACCTCCGGAGGATGAGGACGACTTCCAGCGGAAGCTGGCAGCCCAAGTTGAGGCAGGCTCTGAGGGTTCCAAAGTCTCGGCATTTTGCATTTTTGCAGAACAGTTGCTTGATCTTAGGCTTGATTTGTTTTGCATATGGGTGTGTCTCTTGGTGAGGGCACCATTTTCAGGTTGGTTGAATGGGGAACCAAAAGGAAAGTCGCCATTTTTGGGGGTTTCCCTATTCTTTGACAGACAATCATATCTGGCGGCTGGCAGAAGGGTGCCTTTGCATCTATCAACCGGGATCATACGGTGAGCCGCAAGCTTCGGCTTCGCGTCTTCCGTTTGGTTTTGTGGCCCCACAGCCCCAGAGTCTCACACCGTCACAAGTTCCTAAGTGACTTTATTTGGTTAAACTACCCCACAACCCCACTCGAATTGGTTGGCCCCTTACTTTTAAAAGGGGCGATCGGGTACTTAGTACGTAGTGATCGTAAGCCTGGTGAAATAACAATGATTTGTCCAGTCTCCGTTCAGTCTCCAGGCTTACCCCACTTTGACGTACCGACTCAATCGTCCCTTTGAGCAGGTGTCTTTTCGGTGAGTTTGGGCAAAGTAGATGGGTTCCACTGGTTGCGATGGGTTTTTGCCGCAGCTACCTAATCTTGACCCCATATGAATCAACCCCGGTTTATTAATAGGGGGGGTGTCCATTTCTGGGTTTAGTGGGGAAGCAGTTCCCACTTTTGGAGGGGGACACCCCCCCAATAAACAGGACACCCGCGCCATTTCTGGGTTTAGTGGGGAAGCAGTTCCCACTTTTGGAGGGGGACACCCCCCCAATAAACAGGACACCCGATGAATCAACTGGGGTTGATTAATCTGGGACCAACATCACCCCACTCCTTCGCCAGGCGCCGCGCACGCGCGCCTCCGCGCCGGAGCGCCCGAGCTTCGAGGCGCCGAAGGCGATGGAGCCAGCCACGGCCGCGGGCTGAGACCTGAGGGCGAGCGAATGGATGCGAGCGAGGGGTCAACTGGCCGACGAAATGGCTGTGGTTGTCAAAACCGGTTTGGGATCCCATGTTGGTTGGGATTGGTGAATTTACCACCTATTTTAGAGCTTATTTTAGTGCTTGGATTGGGATGTTCACTGGGAGTACGAGATTTTGACCCGCGGCCAAATCCGTTTCGAGCGGTGCTTGTCTTTCTTATTGGGGAACCATTTTTTGGCAGGTTTTTACAGGGAAACCAACAAGGAAAACCGGCATTTTAGGGGGGTTACCCTATTTGACTTGCTGGTGCGAAATCGGCGGGGAACGAGAAATGGAGTCTGACCCCGAGATTTTCGCCCTCCAACTGGTGGTTTTCTTCAAGGTGACCCGCAGGTTCATTCCAATTCTCATTCCCTACTGAGCACCAGCAAGGAAACCCTGGTTTCTGATGAATCCTGCAAATACCAACGAACCTTATGGTTTTAACCATGGTTTCTTGGGTGGTGCAGGATGGTCATTTCCATCCACAGTATGACCCCCGGAAGCAAGATAATGTTTGCCGTTGCCTGGTGGTTCCCGAAGGGCGTCCGGTTCCTTAGCTGTTATCTGTTTAGTTGATTTAGTGGCAACCCACCAGAAGTTCAACTTTTTGCAGGGGATCTGAGATAAGCCCAGGTTGGCCTTTTTGGTTCTGTCAAAGGTTGTACCAACACGCCCCTGAATCCTGCCCCTTAAGAATAGTCCTTACGTTTTTTGTTTTGGGGGTTTAGTGTTCCCTTTAACCCACTAAAAGTTGAAACGTTTAGCAGGGGATCTGAGGACAGTCCAGTCTTGTGCGCCATTGCATTCATGACAAAGTTACAGTGAAAAGCGCATGACTCACAGGGTGCACGTAAAGCGACAGAGAAAGAAAAAAACAACTAAAGCCAACACGCCAGGAAGCTGAAGCAGAAGCAAGGCTCGCGCGCAGTCGGGTTTTGAAATAGGGCTTCATATCTACGTCGTTTGAGGGCACCGGTCTTTGGGTAAGGGACACTTGTCATTGTGGAGGACGCCTAATTTATCACATATGGGCATGGGTCATAGCCTATGGCGATCCCATTTTGGGGCGGATGAACGCGGACATGTCCCACCGTTTTTGTGATGTTCACCAGGGGTGCAGCTTTGCTTTTTGACCCGCACCCATATTCATAATATGCCAATGTGTTGAATGTGAATCTCTTTGCTCCGGACAACCGCAAGTGCACATGCGAGGCAGCGTCGATTTGACTTGTCGCACCTCATGAACAAAGCCACAGGCTAAGGATGCTTCCAAGAGAAGAGGGATTAGTGCGATCACGTCCATTGTCATCTACTTTTTCTCCCGTTCGCTTGCAAGAACCATTCAAGTTGTTTGTTTTGTTAGATGAGGCCTGCTTTGACCACCCATCAGCATCAGGCGGTTCTGCAAAGGCCGACGGTTCGCCCGGTGGCTTGCTGTTGCCAGTGTCAAAAAAGCGAGGAGAGGTAATTACAACGCCCGAGTGGTGAGAGCATGGGCTACACAGCGTACCTTGAGCTTGATGAAGACCACTTGGCCTTGCAGGCAGCATCTGCCATCTGACGAAGTAGTCGCAGCTGGTGGTGCTCTCATTGCCAAGACTGCCAACATCTCGGTTGCAGTTGTCTGCGCAGTTCGGGCCGCGACCGCGTAGGCTGCGCAATGCCTCCCTCGAACGCTATGTCGCCCACTGTGATTCAGGCCTACGGCGTGCTGCGCAAGTACCGACAGATCTCCACACATCAACTTGATTCTACAACGCATAGGTTGATGATGACAAACTTGAGCCAGGCTACACACAGCTAGTCACGCACGCTCATTTTGGGGGCGCTGTTCACTGATCATGGGTGCTCTGGCCTTTTCAAGACTGCTGCTCCTATGAGCCCAAAATTCAATCAGCACCGGACTGAGTGCTCTTCGGATTTGGAAAAACACAGCCTATCTCAAAGGATTGGTGAATGCGCTGAAAGCACGTGATCTTTTCCACAGATACTGGAAACTGATCATTGCCAGCTGGCTGGGGTTTGGTGACTTTGACACATGCTCCTTGCATGCCGTCGAGTAGAGTTCCCTATATATGGGCTGGCTGCTCAGCGGTACGTTAGTTTCTCAATAGAATTTAGTCACTGCCAAGGTGCTTGTGCTTTCAATAATAATATTATATATAGAGCAACCAGTGATTTGTGAAGCTCAGAAGGTAGCATCCGATCGGGTTGCCGGCTTATGGAATTGCGGACTTTGCCCCCGATTGTCATGGTGTTATTTCCATGTTTACCCTCTTCGCTCCACAACAGCACTGGAACGTTGGGATGAGTCAAACACCATGAAGGTGCTCCTTGTGCACAGCAGATGGGTTGCTCCGCTGCTCGCATGTCGCAGGAAGGGCAAGAAGCAAAGGAAGAAGAAAGAAGGCCGGGATCTTTATTGGTTGAGGAGTGCTCCTTTCGTGTTCTAGGGCTCCCAGCTACCCTCCCGGTTTTTGCACGGGGGTTCCCTTTAAATCAACTACCCCAAGAAAGAGCACCTATTTTTCCCAGGTTGCCCCCAGATGTTTGCCCCTATGCAGGCGCACGGAAAGAAGATACGGGCAATCCGCGCCTTGGCAGCAAGATGTGCCACGTGTCTGAAACTCAGGGACCTCTTTAGTGCACTCAAAAAAGGGGGGTCTGTGTCTTGCAGCTTCGGCAAGCACTTGAAGTCTTACCTGCAATCCACCTGGGACAAAGCGAAACAACAAACACGTTGCACTGTTTTTGGTTGTTTCAGAGGAGTCCTCCGTACTGCATCAGATTTGTGAGTTGTTGCACTCTATCCGGTAAATCTAACAGACTGCTACTTGCCATGTTGATCATTGCATCTGCTGAAATGACTGTACTGAAAACTTAATGCGAAGTTGGAAGGACCTCTATTCAAGCCAGAATCATGTTGAGGTATCAAGAAGAGACGATCGTTAAAAAAAAGCTGGGCAGCAAGGGTCCTGTGCAGTTCAAAGCGAGCTAATTTAGGCTAGTTTGGGGGGACAAGAATCTTGCTCGTGCTTTCAGAATGTGTCACTCATGCCTTGCAACTGCGCGTGGATTTGGCCTGCAGCTCCTTTCTGGCCCTTGCCCATGGTTCCAGGTGCAGCCCGGGCTCGGCTCAGCCGAGGTGGTCTCGTTGTCCGATGCCGGTTCCGATAAGGAGGGCAGGTGACAGGGACGTCCCTGTGACCTGCCCTGTACCAGCAGAAGGAACCGCATGCATCTGACAAGGAGACCACCTTGGCCGAACCAAGCCCTCAGTCAAGAGATGAAGACGGGCCCATCCTGATGCTTTTACCATCGGGCTGACCGTGGCTCACTCAATACGAGCTAGACGTTAACCTGATAATGATTTCTTGTCTGGCAATAGCTTGTTGACTGTATGAGTATATGTATAGTGCCATCATGTCGCTGAATTGAAGGTGAGCTCACTTGCTGATAGGTGAGCTTGGTCTCAGGATTAAGGCCCTCCTTGTGGGAGTTTCCAATTCAGGCGTTGGATGCTGGATGAATGTACCTTCTTGACCAGGATGGGGGATGGGGTGGCGATGTTTCCAACGCATGCCCCCCCGTGTAGGAGGTCTTCTTGTCAGTCTCGGAGTTGTGAAATAAGTTTGATAGAGTCGTCAAGTGGGGTCCTGTATGTTTACAATTAAGATTGTTATGGAGTTCCTAAGCCAAATGTGGGCATTCTTAGAGTACCCTCCCTCCAATCATGGAGGCTCAGTTGGGGGTAGTGGAAGTCTAGGTTTCTGTTGGGGATTCTGTTTGTCCACTTCTATGATCGTAAGAGAGTAGTATTTCCAACACACCTTTTGAGCATACCCAGGACCCCTTGAAGGAATCCTCATCATGGGGTTGGAGTATGCTCAAAAGGTATGCTCAAAAGCTCTTGGAGTAGAAATTCCTTTTGGGGAATCCTCCAATTGTCTCATTCAAGCCAGATTGTCATTGAGTTCCTTAAAAAAAAGGCGGAGATTCATTCAAGCCAGATTCTCATTGAGTTCCTTAAAAAAGCCGATAAATTGCCAGATTGTCATTGAGTTCCTAAAAAAAAGGCGGAGATTCATTCAAGCCAGATTCTCATTGAGTTCCTAAAACAAGCGGAGAAATTGCCAGATTGTCATTGATATTTTTTTTATTTTTTTTTTAAAAAAAACAAGCGGAGAAATTCTTAGTGTGTAGTTTCCTTTGGGGTCCCCGGTTCCATATCAGGTTCCATATCAGGTTCCATCAGGTTTCCGAATTCCCGAGGTGGGCCGCGCGGGTCCGCGGGTGCGGCAAAGTCCAGGACCTCGAGGGCGCTCTGCAAGTGGTGGAGGAGGCGATGCCGGGAACCGCGGCAAAACCGCCGACGTCGGGGGGACGGAAACCAAAGCGTTGGCTTCCATGCATAGGCGTCCTTTTAGGGGAAATAGACGGCCCTGGTAGATGATTAAACCCCTAGGTAAACCAGGGCCATCTGTTTGTGCTACCAAAACAACCAAAAAGGACACCTATGCTTCCATGATGGTGGGAGGGAGGGAGTACCATTTCCTCACCACCCGAGCCCCGATGGCCAAAAATGGTCCAAAAAGCCCAAAAAGCGACGATCAAGCCCCAAACGGAACTCGGGAAGTGAAAGATTTCGGTGTGGAGCCGGGTTGGGCTTAAGGAGCCGAATTGGGAAGCTCGTGAGCGGGAAGATGAATCAGTTCTGCTTGTGCAGTGTCCTCGTTCAACCAGCTGCAAAGACCAAGGCGACTGGATTTGTTCCATGCATGGCTGTTTTGTTCCATTCTGGAATTGTTCCAAACACCGAGGCTATTTTGAAACTCTTGTTTTGGCAAGCCCTTGCTCACTCCTATCTACTACCACGGAACCCCACAGACCCCAAGAGCCTCGTAACGACCAGAAATCCTTGAATGCAAAAACTCACCTCCCTGGAATGGACTAACGAGAGTCTGAATTTGTTATTTGACGCTAAACATGGTCCAGACTTGACTCCGGACCCAAAAAGTCTGCAAATGTTTGCTGTAATTCTAAACGCTGAATTAGGAATTGGACCCGCAAGTAAAGGACCTTTATACCTTTGTGGCTTGAGCTCGTTTATACCCCTGAACCAGTGAGCTTTCAATAAAATAGGCAGCACGGTGACGAGAAGTCCAAACCATTCTAACCTTCCATGTGCTTAAGAATGTGGTTCCCCTGTTGGGTTTTGAAGGGAATCTATTACTACTGGAAGTATTGTTTCCATGTTTTTTTTCCAGTTTGCTTAGGCAAATGGAAGCAACTCACTCCCTGAGTTCATGAACTTTAGTCGCTTTGGGGAAGGCGGACCATTTTAGTGGCAAACGAAACGTTTGGACTATATTTTTTGCCAATCCAATCAGGAAGTGAGTTAAGGGTCAGAAATCTTAACACAGGTGTCCAAGGGAAACCAAAGGGAAACGAGCAATATTAAGGGGGTCACCTACTTCAACACACACACACAGACACACCTACCAAATTCATTCTGGGTCGTTTCACGAGGAGTTGACCGGATGGCTCGAGTTACATCTAGTTCAGCCTTGCCTTGGCCAATTCAGGAAGTGGGGTTCCTGTGTTCGCGAGGTCAACGTTTGGTGACGTTTTACATCTTTGTAGGGTTGAGCAGTGACCAAGGATTCGGGGTCTCTACAGGCATGTTTTCTTTTTGGGGGTAATCCGGTCGGGAAAGACAAATCATTGCCATGGTGGCTCACCCGTGCTCGTTGAGTTCCCTTTGGTTGGTGTTTACGGGAATCCCAAAGTTTCTCGATTGCTTGGTTTCTTCTCGTTTGCGGACGAATCGCTGGATTTCCCCTTTGTTCGCTCTAGACTCTAAACATCAGGGGTTGGGCCGCTGTTGACTGAGTTTCCTTTTGCGGCGATGTTCAAAAGTGGAAAAAGGGAAGCGCCGAGCGAATCGATAGCCACGTGCCGCGTTTGAAGGGCGCTGCAGGGCTGGGGTCTCCACCTACCTGTACTTCCCATTGCCTCAGATGCGCCATGGCCACGCCGGTTGTTCGTGGCCTCTCAAAAGAACAAACGCCATGGGTCGACTGTCCACGTGTTTTCGGGGCTTGGGAGTCCGAAAGAGTCGAAAAAGGCAGTTTGGCTGAGGGTGTCCATGTGACGAAGTGCAACATGTAAGGCCTAGAAAGGTGAGGAGAACAGCAAAGGTTTGCACAAAATGTAAGCAACCAGAGTTTACCAATGACCCTGAACTCAGGAAATCAAGTTCAGAAAGCAGCTTTTGACCAGCGATGGCAGTATATGAAGGTCTCCCCATGTCTCCCCGAATTTCTGAATGGCACGCTGGCTGTTTCTGAAAAAGGAAGTGGGACTTCATGTCGAAGATCCCGACTCGCGGGGTCCGTTGCTCTTTCCCAGCGTCCATCCAGCTCATGATTTGCCTCATGGTACCATCGTTCCCACGTTGAGAACATCCAAAGTTCAAAACAGGGCTTGGACCACGCCTTATGCATCCACCGGACCCGCAAAACTGGTTGGAGAAAAGCCCCAAAGTAGGGGTGCCATGATGAGTTTGAGAGTCCATTGGATTCTATGCGATGAAAGCCGTGCACATGTTGCCAGCCGAGAGTTTGTCTGATTGTCTGTTGTTTGTTACGTCTAGGTTCCGAAAAGTGAGCTTCTTGTTTCCAGGTCCTTTGGGCAGGGAATCCTGGGCAGCGTCCTTCAAAGGTGTCACACGCCCCCCCGCGCCGGGTTGTGTAACAAGCCAATTTTCTTGAACTCTCTTTCAATATGGGTGTGTCTTTGTTGGTTTTGGATTGCATTCCACCAACATGCGGGGTATCATGCTGGATTTTCTTATTCTTTCAGGTTTCCCTTCAATTCCAACCATCCAAAAAGGGCACCACACCCCGCCCATACGCAAGGCTTCCACAGCCCATCGAAACCGCAGGCCATGGCGGCCGGCATCTCCGGTCGCCAGCACCAGGACGGCCTTAGCAGAGACCAGAACATGAGTCAAAATAAAACCAGCGGGGGACCGGTGTTGGTCTTGGTGTCCATTTGCCAGGATTCCCATGTTGGGTACCTTTTTTTGACCCACTCCCAACTTGCGGTTTTGAGGGGGCCCCCTTGTTGCAGTGGTTGCTGTGTTTTTTTTTTGGCCAGCCCCGGGCTCGCGAAAGGTCGCGCACTCAGTGCTCAGAGACCCGGATTCATTCGTTCGTTCGGTGTCCTCCCTCCATTTCCGTTTTTGGAACCTCCAAATTGGGCAGTTTCAACGGAAATACATCACCAGCAAATTGATCAACATTTGAAGGGGACATCCAAGGACCCCTGTTCAAGGTTGGTTTCAACGAAACCAGGAGGCAAGCGACCATTTTGCAGGTCCACCTTTGACACGTGCCCATATCACTGCTAATCTTTTAAGTGGTTGCGCGGGGCCAAGTGAGCAGCGTTTTTTTTCTCAGATGATGGATTTCAGCTTCGTGGGGAACTCCCAAAAGCTCCGCGAAGGCACTTGCGCGATACATTGTGTACCGCGAAGCCCCGCGAAGCCACTTCGCGTAGCCCGGTAACATTGACACAGGCGAAGCCACTTCGCGAAGCCACTTCGTGGTTTGAGTGTATTGGTGCTTTCATGGCAAGTGTGTTGTGCGCTTTCATGGCAGTAGTATTCCAAAGGTTGATGTTTAGAGTCAGCAGGCTACGACAAGATTACAGGAAGATTACGGGAAGACGACCGGAAGAGCACTGTGCGTTTCAGGCCCGGTTTTGCTAGAAACGATGGAACGTTCTCGCGAAGCCTCTACGCAGCCCCCGCGAAGCCCCCGCGAAGCCTCCGCGAAGCCACCACGAAGCCACCGCGGTCCAACTTCCATGCTCCGCCCCTTTGAGGCCCAGCCATGTTCCTAGTCCTGAAGCTCAATGCCTCTCTTGCCGACTCAACTTGATTCAACAACACGGGGGCGCGAACGTCAAAAATGTTTGTGGAACAAACATCCGCGAAGCCCGGCGAAGCCACTCCGCAAAGCCACAGTCTTGCCGCGAAGCCTTGCGAAGCCAACCCTTCCACAAATTCTGGCCCCGAAGCCCCCCGCGTAGCCTCCCCAGCAGTGTATAAGCCCTGAACCTCTAAAAAAACAATGCTCAAGTGCGAATAGATGGAGCCAACTAAAAAAGACAGTGAAAACAATGAAACGCCAAAGGATGAACACCATGCAACAGCAAACTTTGGGACAAACGGAAGCAAGCTTCCGAGTTTGGCCTCTCAAGAAGGCACAGGGCAGTTTAAATTGAGTCACAATCAAAACCCGGTTGAATGAAGGTTGGTAAAGGGCAATCCCGGCCATAAATGGTTGCGGCCGCCTTTGCATTTCCCTACATGGTTCTGGATCATTTGTGTACCAGGTTTTGATTATGACTCAATTCGCGATGGCCGCTTTTCTTGCTCGAAGGGTCCCTCCAGTCGGCAGCGGCTGAGAGTCGATTTCCGGATACCAGGAGCTTCAGAACGCGCTGCTGCACGCGTTGATTCAATGCGGCTGGGCTGTGGACGGGTTCAGGGTTGGCGCCGCGACTGGATGCGCAGCATGCGATATTCACCACCGAGAAGTCTGAGACAGTCGCTGCAGGTCCCACTTTTGCTGAGCACATTCAAAACGCTCACAGGGAAGTCTCTGATTGAAAGAGGACGGCGTTATTTTAGGTGCAGCATGGTGCAGGCCTTGCCGGCTGACCAGACAGAAGCTGCTGTCAGAATCAAGGGACAGGTCATTGTCCGTTTGCCTTGAACGCTAAACCCATGTAAACATGCCTGCCGCCCCGGGTCTGACTCTGGGGCAGATCATTTGGGGTGTTTCTCCAAATCGGGGACCCCTCCAGGTGGTTTCGTTTTGGTTTCCTTTCAGGGTCTCGAGAGCAGGAGCTGCTTCGCTCCCTCGGTTGGAGTAGAAACCTGGGCCTATGTTCAGACATTTTGGCCAGAGAGCACGATGACATCTCAAGGGTCAATCGTTTTTGTGCAGAGTCTGTAGACACTGCATGACCGAAGCTTTAGGGTGAGTCCCTGAACACAGTGCCACGCACCCTGGGACCCGCGCTCCAAAAGCAGGCAACGTCCCACGCTGCGCGCTGCGCCGAGGTGGCGACGCTGCGGGGGACACGGCCCTGGAGTTGTTCAATCAGCTGAAGGCTGAGAAGAAGCCCAGCAGCAAAGACGGCGACATTCACGGGTTATTCCTGACAAAATGCCCCCTTTAAACCATCTCCTGTGGTTTCCTTTAAGGGAGCGGTCATTCCCTACTGAGCACCGGAGGTTCTGTGGGCGGTTTTTCCTGTAGAAGTAGCCAAGTGACTAAAGAACAAGTACTTTCCGCTTATGTTGCCGAGTCTGCTGATGAAAACTGTAAATACCAGGCCGTCAACATGGCGCCCGTCTTCGTGTTGGCAGCACAGGCTGTTGGCATCACGTTGTGCTGGAGACCATAAGGGTATCCTTCCGATTTGGGGCTGGGGGTTCCCCTTTTTGCAGAGGGTCTGAAGGGGTAGATCTTGACGGACTACCACGTCCGCCAGAATCATTTCAGGTTTAGCGAATTGCTATCCAAGAATCCATATTCCCAGCCAGCGAGATGAGTTTCTTGATGGGGAGTTGGCGGATGGCGACACTGTGATTGCACCGTGAAGGTTCTTTGGGGTGGAAGCTGATTGCCAAGCAAATCTGACGTAAGATATCGCACTGGTGCCTGTGGAGTATGGTGCTGGAACAGATTGAGCGAGTGGGCGCCTCCAAAAGAGACGGTCTCCACTGAGGACGGGTTGTTTTCCTTCCCAAAAGGAGTGGTTGTAACATGTCTATCAAGCTCCTTGAACTTTGTGGTACCAAGCCATCCACTTAGGTGTTTTGGGTTTGTAGGGTTTAGTGGGGGTTCCCTTTAACCCACGAAAAGTAAAACTTTTGGCAGGGAATCCGAAAACAGACAGCCCAGTGAAGTGCTCTTTGATCCGTTTGGGGGCTGCAGAAGGTCCCAGCCCGGCTCAGGAAGGCAGACGTGGTGACTTTCAACATCATGCTGCGATCTTTGCTCTGCGCGGGCAAGCGTGAGGAGGCACGCGGATTTGCCGGAGCTGGCTTTCGCCCGCGCACTTTGATAGTGCATTCCCCGAATATGACACCCAAAGGATCCAGTTCCCCCTGCAGTAACTCAAAGTGAAACACGTCAATCAGACATGGACATCATGGTCTGTCGCTACAGAGCAAGCTGTTGTCATCCTTGTTGGCGGCATCCACGCACGCACAGACTGGCTATGGCAAGGGCCTCCTCACAACGCCCGAGATGAAATTTGGATATGCCATGGGTGTTGAGCTTTCGGGTGTGTGTCTGTGTGCTGTTGCTCTCTGTGCCTGTGGCTCGCTGTTGTTGACTAAGGATGCGTGCCTCAAAGAGTTGCCGGAGCGGTGCAGGTTGTGACGGACCTATGAAAAACTGACGGCTTCTCAGCTAGACCCTGACGATCTCCTTCCAAAGACCTCGTTTTGACCTCATGTGGACCTGGACAAAGTTTGATCCAAAGCCGGTCCTTGAAATCCTTGACCTTCCGGGAAGATGGCCCTCATTAGTCTAGGATGTGTTTCACATTCTTTTCCAAGCATCGTTCTTTCGATCAGCCGCTGTTTCTGTTGCGTCTTTGATGGCTTCCTGAAAAGAAGGATCCTTGAAAAGAACGGACATGGAAGGTACCCCTAGAATCCGCCGTTTTTTTTTTCGACCAAAGCTGGAGTTTTCTCGGCCAGGCACAAGCCCTCCTGAAGGACATGGAGGAGCATGGGCTTTCGGCCAACAAGGCGGCCGGGGGCAAGGATCGGCAACCGGGGAAAAAAAAACTCCGTTCGCCAGCGAAAGAGAACCCTCAAATCAAGCAGGGCTCCTTAAAAGATCTCCATCTTGCAACCATTTGAAACATGTTGCTTTTTCAAGACCGAAATAAAAGGAAACCACCATTTGCAAGTTGCAATGTTCAGGTGTAGAATGCATCCGGATCCCTGTCAAGCAGCTGGCAGATAAGGTTCAACCAGATCCAAAAGTGCATTGGGATTCTGCTTGGGCTTGTGAATTTTCATGCAGGCCCCCGTCTTTTTGTTGGCCTGCAGGGCTTGGATGTGCCATCGCAAGAAGGAAGTAATGAAGCTCTTTGCCAGCATCTTGGACCAGTGAAAGCCACAAGTGAACTGGCCAGGGTCAATTCTGGTTGCAACCAGCAAGCTAAGGGCGCAAACCGGCCTCACCCAGGAAAATCCTTGCTTGTTTGAACTACAGCAACTTGCCCACATCAATTTGGTCAGGGAACGTGCGGTGGCCGCATGTTCGCCACCTTTGTCCGCAGTTTCACGGGATCGAACCGGCAACTATTGCAGTATGATGCTGGTGCCGCTGGTGTTTTACGAAACCAGGTGGCAATCTGGTCGAAAATGCAGGAAATATTGGTCAATGGGAAGGTGAGTGTTCTTTTTCTCACTTCCCGAGTTCCTTGACTTTAAACTCTTTGGGAAGACCATTTTAGTGGCAAATAGAAAGTTTGGACCTTTTTTGGCCAGTTCACTCAGGAAGCGAGTTTTATTGTTGAGGGGAAGTCATAATATCGTCTAGGATATGGATCGTGCACGACTCCTTCTGGCTTCCGTATATTTGGGATATGAACTTCTCGACATTCCAATGTGTGCGCATGTTTTGTAAACATGCCGCATTTGTCAAACATGGAGCATTCAAGTGGCAATGCTCCACTACAACTGCATTCCAATCAAGTTGCCACATCCAACCCTCGAGTTTTAGCGTTTTGTTAGCGCGAGGTGACAATTACGGAGTTGCTGAGCGATCGGGTGAGAGCGGAGGACGAGGAGGGTTTGTGGCGCATTGTGGCGCCTTGGCCACACCAAAGAAACTACGCTTGGACCGGGTGGCATGAGCTACGTCCTCAACACCGATTCGGGTAGATGAAGGTTAGTCAGCTTCCATGTATTTTCCCCTGTTGGTTTTAAAGGGAACCTATCACTATCGGATTTTTTTCCACGGGACTCAAGCAAATGGATGTAAGGGAGAATCCCAACCAGAAATGGGTGCGGATATACAGAGGATGACCATTGGCGGAAACGGCTGAAAAGATGATATGCCCACTAAATGGGAAACAAAAAAACATCCCTTTGGGCCCCAAATGTATTGATCGACTCCTACATGCCAAAACTTCTTGGTTAAGTGCTGTTGTATGTGGGTGTGTGTGTGTGTGTGCGCGTGCGCATGTGTACCCCCAGTGAACATCCCAATCCCCACTAAAATCCCGACTAAAGTGGGTGGTGAATTCACCTATACCAACCAAAACGGATCCCGTTGGTTTTGAAAACCACAGCCAATAGGCATCCCATGTAAGGGCCCTTCGGAGAGCATTGTAAGTGGAAACATGGACAAAAAGCTGCGGTCCAATTCCCGGTCGTTTCATTTTGAGCCACAGCCATTAAAGTTTCATGGGCGATTTGTTTCGACGAGGAAGCCGTGGCTTTCTGAGGACTGGATGCAGAGCACCGAGTTCGGCGTCACTAACGCAGCCTGCTCGATTCTGCTGAAGAGGCGCCTGGAGCGCCGCGAGTTGATGACAGCCATGTGGCTGTGGTTGTCAAAACCGTTTTAGGATCCCATTTTGGGGTAGGGTAGTAGGTGCACCACCCATCTTCGTCGGGATTTTAGTGGTTGGATTGGGATGTTCACTGGGGGTACGATTGGATTTTGATTCACGGCCATGTGTGTGTGTGTGTCTTTTGAGGGTACCTTTGCGGGGCTGGTTTAAAGGGAAGCCAAAAGGAACACCGCCATTTTGGGCATCCCCATATGTTGCCCCCTTCTTTTGACACATCCCAATGTAAAAACTGAAATTCAGTCCGAGTAATTTTTCACGCAGGGTTGCTTCATTCCCGATATTCCTCTTGGCCATTGGTCCTGTGCATGTTGGCAAGCCCCCACTTCACAGAACATGCAGTAATTGGTGCCAGGTGTCAGGGGGGTGGTTGTCTATGCAAGAGCAAACATGGCCTTGTGAAAAGGTTTAGGCCCTTCCAAGTGGTTGGGGCTGCATTTTGCTTGTGTGTGCGAACCATCCAAAGGCGTGGGATCACATTGCTGACGTACATCTCTGAGTGCCGTTGTTTGGTGTCGAAAGGGGGTCATGATGGGTATGTTGCCACGCCCAGCCGGAGTGGCATCATGTGTTGTCTCTTGCAAGCCAGGATTCGCCAGCCCCCTTGTAGACAACCTCGGTCGAGTTTTTGCTTTTGGTGATATGCCTATTAGCAATGAGGTGCGCATGTGTGTTTGTGGGTGAGTTCTTGAATTGTTGTTGTGAGCTCAACCTAATGATGCCAATGTCCTTCTGGTGCATTGGCATTGCACGTATGGCTCATCATTGCTCCAAAGGGCGAGGGGAGTGAAGTACTGATGTCATGTAGAATCAACTTGCGCGGCAATTTTCCCTTGACAGCAATTACTTAAATTAACGGCTTCTTTATTGACTTGTGAGACGAACTTTTCACGACAGCCGTAGCAGTAGATAGGCAGCAGCTTGGCAGTAATTTCGCGCAACTACCGCATCAGTTTGGGCCAGATAAAATGACACAGGGGTCCTACCGCCAAGGGAACTGCTGGCGCCTGAGTTTTCACGGCAATGGCATTAGCGGCAAAACGGCAACGTCCACCGGTGAAAATTGTCAATCCCCGCGAATTGACGGATTCTAAGGGCGGCCCTCCGAATGCGCTCCGAATGCGCTCTGGGAGACTTCGAGATCGCTCCAAACGCGCTCCAACTACGCGGCTCGATCAGTCAACCCTTCGAGCGTCCGAAGAAACTGAAACCCCGCAGAGGGCTGCGCTCTTCAGGCATATTTCCCCCTCGCATTTATTTCGCGCGTGTTTCTTTTGTTATTTCTTCTTCTTCTTCTTCTGTTGTCTTCTGCCAGAGAGCTACTGGTGGCTAAGTTCCTGAGGGATATGAACACGCTGTATCGTTGGGATGCTGCAGACATTCTTTCGCTTCTGCCATTCAGTGGGATCGCTTGTGTCTGAAATGCGGTGACACATGCACCTCAGCTGCTTGTTGCCATCCAAAGCAGCCATCGCCTCGTGCGCCTGGTGGCCAGGGTCACAGCAGACTCACCTGCCAGCGAGGCACGAGGGATTTGGAAGGTGGCCAAGGAAGGTTGACATCACTTCGGGATGGATAAATTGTTGGGTGCTCCCAGTCACGGCACGCGAGAGTAGGCCTAGATTCCATAGATTCCTGCCGGGCTGGGTGTGATTTTTGGGATCGGCTTGGCTTACCCCACACACACACACACACACACACACACATCACAGCACACAACCTCACACGCGGTACACACACACACACATCACATACATACACACATCACACATCAACACAACACGACACAACACAACAAAACACACCACACACACACACCAATATCTTGCTCAGACAGCACCAGACCTGGCCGGGGTCCTGTAAAACCACTCAAATAATAGGTACCCTCAAAATTAGCTTCCCACGTCTAGAGGAAGCTGTTTTTGGAGGGAGCCCTTTTTGGCGTTCCGCATATGTTTAAAACGCGCGGAAGGGTCGGTCCTTCCACCAGCCCGCCATGAGATCCGCGGAGGTGGACCGCATTTTTGCGCTGGTGGACCGCCTGGAGGACCCCGATGAGGCCGCCACCGGGATTCCGCGGGATTCGACTGCGTCACTTTCAGGAACAAAGGAACCCAAGTCAAAATATGAACCTGACCACATGGTTGTTGGGAAACATTTTTACCGTTTTGCTTATTGTGGTTTAGTGGGAAATCCCCACTTAAGGGCTAAAATTTCAGCTTTTGCTCCCCTTCCAGCGTCAACCAAGCAGACTGTGTCACTTTCAGGACAACAAAGGAACCCAAGTCAAAATGTTAACCTGAAAAGGGGGTCCTGGTTTGGACCAGTTGCCTTTTAAAAGGACCGCCCTGGCTGGGAGGGTAGCTGAAAGAAGCATGTTTCGATCAACCGGTACCCAGCAATGACTGCTTTGTTCCATGTCCAAAGTTGCTGAACCAGGGTGTTTCTCGTTGCCTGCTAACCAGCAAAAAGCTCCTCTCGTGCTGTCCAAAAGCAGTCGTTGCGGGGTACTGGAAGAGAGAGTGACTGTTGGAGACAGGATTGATTGAAATGGTTGGCACAACGTTTGTGTGTGTAATTGCAAAGCTGCGTCGAAACACGACTGTTGGGGCAATCGTCCAACAACCCTTTTCGAAAGCATGTTTTCCAGAAAGCTGGGGCTCAACTCCAGGCACTACCTGCAGTTCTGGGAAAGCATGACAAGTGAACTGAACATCTACATGTTGAAATCTGCATGTTGAAATCTGCATGAAATCATGTTGAAACATGTGACATGGACTGAAGTCTGTTCGACTCCGGCGAATTGTGCACGTCAAGGAGGATTCGTTGCAGGCCTGTTGGACCCAAAAAAGTTGTGCTTTCAGCGTAGTGGCCTCGGCCATGAAATCCGATTTCAAGCGTTTCAAGGCCATGAAATGTCTGAGGGGGAGGTATCTTGCAGTGATCAACCTTTCCAACTTGTGGTTGTCCTTGCCCAAGTTTTCTTGGCCGGAAGCTTTCTTTGGCCCTGAGGTTGCCCATATTTCAAGTTAACTCGTGGCCAAACGTTTGGCGCCGGGATTCGCAAATTGGGATCGGATGTTCGAAGCCATCGATGTCCATAACGGCTTTGGCAAATCAGGTGTACTTCTCTTTCGCATGACTTGTCCTTGCTTCCCTTCTTACCTGTCAGGCAGCTAGTCTTGCTTTGGGGCAGAAACCCCTGTTTTGGTTTTGTGGTGTCTTTTCATGGATACCGGACACGTGGAGTTTAACCAATAGAGCATCCCCTCTAAAGTGCGAAACCTCCTATTTTCCAACCAGGGAGTGATGAATACTTGATTCTCCTATGACCACGGCCTCCACGAGGGAATTTGATGGTTGGCCCAAGAACCTAAACTTAGCAGCCAGGGGTCCCGTGTTGTAATACGTGAAGACGCGGATTTTAGAGCAAAGTAACAGTACAGTTGTTTTCGGTCTGGTTCTCATAAGTCACTTGGCTTTAATCTCTTTCTGGGTCCAACAAAAAGAACCCTATCCCTCCCCCCAAGCCACAACCCAGTTTCCCAGACCCCCCCCCCCCCCCAAGCCCCCCCCCCCCCCCCCCCCCCCCCTCCCCCCCCCCAAACCCCCTCCCCCCCCCACCGACCCCCAGCCTTTGAAGGCGCTGTGCGGCGCAGCCGTGGAGGCGGCAGTGCGCGCCTCCCGGCCTAAGCTGGCAAGCCGCTTCATGGAGACGCCACTTGGCGGAATTTGTTGGAGTCGCGACGCGCTGCTCGCGACTCTTTTTGTGTTGTTGAAATGTGTTTTCCTCTTGTGGTTGTTGTTTTTGTAAAAACTGTTGTTTTATCGACGTCTCAATGGCTCGTGTCTTTTTTTGGTACCGCGTTTGTGGAGGGCTGGTATGTCGAATAGGAATCTGACCCCCCAAAACGTGTGGGGAAACCTTTCTTTCGGTGCCCTTTTTGAGGGCTGTGGGCTGTAGATGGACAAAACCCGCACCAGCCACCAGTCGGAATAAGTCAGCTGGTGCAGCTTGGTCCACCGCATGTAAGACACCCAGTCAACATTATATGCGGAACCCCTTTGTGGATGGTTTTTGTGGATTCTGTGTGGATGGTTGTGTTTGGATGGGTCCCTTCAGTGGAACCACTGACGTGCTGGCTTTTGTGCACCAACCATGTTTTAAGGTCCCCACATCGAGTGCAGGGTCAAACAGCGAAGCCCTGTTGGATGGGTTTTATCAGGGACCCCAAAACCGACCATGTACAGACCATCCCGAAAAGGTGCAACTAGGGGACAAAAAGCTTGCTGTAGGTTACAAGGCATTTGTGGTTGGATGTGATTGTACGTTTTGTCCCCCCGTTTTTGTTCCGGTTGTTTTGTCAAATCGGGTGCATACCACTGGGAGAATGTTGAAACATGCTGCACCGTGGGGGTTGACGGCCATGTTTGGTCTCTCTTCCGGGTAGAAGGTAAGGGAAAGTCACAACCATAGGTGCGGATATCCGGCCTTTTGCTTTTGTTTACATGGAGCTGTCTCTCTTTGTTGGAGGGCACCTGTGTTTTTGGTGGTTTTGAAGGGACAGCACGCCTTTTTTTCTCTTTTTTTGCAGTCGGGGGGGGGAGCAGGGAAAACTCGCTCTCTTTTTTTGGGGGGTCCCTAAAAAAAGGACGAGCCAACCACGTGGCGTTGGGTCGACAGGTGTTGATTGTCACTTGCTTCGAGGCTGGGCTCCCGGAAGAGTGCAGCGACCTATGGGTCCATGATCAAACTCCACGGGCAGAACGGGGACCAGCGCCAAGTTTGGCCCGGGCGCTCAAAGAAAACCGAACCGCCGTCGAGACCCGGGGGGGGGGTTGGCGGGCATCTCGGGGGGGGGGGGGTGGGGAAAGGGTTTTTTGGCAGGCAAACCTTAGGTAGACTTCGCTGTCAATCGAGGCTGGCTTGGGCTCAGATTTCGTGAGTGGCCAGATTGTATGTCGGATTTGGCTTCGTGGATTGTTGATTCGGTTGTCTTACAGGGCAGTATTGGACTTGTTTGCTCAGATTGGGAACGAATATTGACCAGCTGGTGAAGACTGGCTATTTCTGGTCAGCCATCCTCCCTTGAGAGACACGAGTGGGATGGACCTGAAGACGTGTTCTTGCTGGACTGGATGTCAGTCTAAAGCCTTGCGTGATATGTTACGCACAAAGCCCGGAAGATAGGTGTCAGATTAAATTATATACACAGTATGTATAGAATCTATGTCATATACAAATATATATGCGTATGTATGGAAGATGCTTGTGTTAGGAAATCGTGCTTTACCTTGTCTCCTTTGGCGGCTCGTGCCTTGCCCTCAGATCATTTGCTCCAATTGCCAACCGGCAAGTGGAAACACACCGGAATGGTGTGAATTGTTGGCCACCTCGCAACAGTACTGGCAATCTGCGACAACAGTTTAGCGCATGGATAGGAAAAAACGAACCTGCCACTTCCCCGCCAAACGAGGCGCATGGGTGATAAACATGGACCAGATGCTTGGAAGTGCTTGTTGCCACTGGCTGGCGCAAAGCTACTATCCCCTTCAAAATGGAATTAGGGGAGAGGGGATTTCGACCCCTGGAATTCCATTTATGGTGAGCCAGTTTGTCTTTGAAGACTAGATAAATGGTTGATTGGTGACCCGGGTCCCACCCCCCTCCCCCTCTGTTTCAGGTAGGCGGGATTTCTGCTACTGCTTTGGGGCTTGTAATGTTGACCCCATATTGATCAACCGTAATTCATTAATAGGGTGTGTTTCTGGGAATCCTCACTTTTCCAGTGGACCACCCCCCTTTTTCTGGGGTTCATACGGGGTCCACATTTGAGGATTCCCGGATGCCTAGGTCCACGTGGCGGATGATGGCTGAGAAGAGTGTCCAGCCCTCCTCGGTGACTTTGGGCTGCATCTTGACTGCTATTGGGCAACGGATCTTCAGACTTTCACTTTTTGGTTGAAATAAAGTTGTGCTTTCCACCAGCCCCCCAAAAAGTTGGAAAGTTTTCGGTGTTTTCGACTAAACCCCACAAAAAGTGAAGAGCTTGTTGCAGGGGGGTCCTTGCAACCAAGGCATGGTGGAGGCCTTGGTCCACTGCGGCCAGGTGAACGAAGCCGCCGCCCTGGCGCGGCCGCCCACCCGAGCGATGGACGCGCCGAACGCACGGATGATCCGCTGGTTGGAGAAAAAAAACAGCTTACTCGGACCCAGCAATGAATCGATAAAACCTGATAAATCCCGAAAGATCATATATTCCTTTAAAGGAACCCCCGGGCAGGTTCCATGTTGATTGGTGGGGCCCCTGGGCAGGTTCCATGTTGATTGGTGGGAGATGAGTCAGTGCTGGGGCGACCAAGGAAGCCTATGCGCATGACAGCTTGACAGGTCGAGTATGGTGGAAAGAAATTGGGGCACTACCAACCGCGGGCATGACCGCAGTGCCATCGCGATCTTGTGTTAACACCTTATCAGGGCTCCTTAAAAGATACATTTTGAAACCATTTGAAACATGTTGCTTTTTCAAAACCAAAATAAAGGGAAACCACCATTTGCAAGGCAATGTTCAGGTGTAGAATGAAGATGGATCCCTGCTTATGGAGATGTCCTTGAGAGAGCATGTCCGCAAGTTTGGGATGCTCTCTGGGCTCCTGTGTCAGGTTGTTTTTCTTGTACTAGATGTGTGCCCGTGAATCAGTACATACAACACCTGCAACACCTGGGCGCATACATGCATGTCATATATATATATATATATTGCAGATCATACATATTTATAGGTACATACAACACCATACATGCACATGTCTGATTGTGATGGCCCAAGCACGGGCATTGTGCAACTTTGACGGGACAAGACTTCGCTGCAACTTGCAAGCTGTTTCATCGGAGGTGATGCATGTCTTCTCAGTTGCCCAAAGCGAATCGACCTTTTAACCTTTTGGTTTTCCGATTTTGATCCATTTTGAGTCATGGCCCCAAAAGGTTAACCTTTCATTTCTGGGTCCTCCTAACTTTTTGCGTGAACGGTGTGAATGCCCATCTCACTGGTTTTTGCTGGGGTCATTATTTTGACAGTTTCTGGGGGTCAAAGTCAGACAATGGAATCGGTTGTTCCCCTTTAACCACTGAACGGGGTGACTTTGATCATGGTAAAATAATGAGGCCAGTTTTGCACTAAGAAGAAAGTATGAGAGGCCTACAGCTGCAATCCACATCCTGAGGTGCGCGAGACTGCTGCCAGTAATGCCGTCGTCTTGAACACGGTCATCTACTCTTCCATTATCAAAGGCCTGGCGCAAAAAACGTGGCATGCCACATCGCTTGAGGGGGGTATTGCTTCTGATTCAGATACTGTATTATTCAGCTAGTGTCGATGGATCATCATTTGGTGGATAGACTTTATATACTGCCTGTTCACCGATCAGGCTTGCCAGCACCGAAGGACCGCAGCTCAAGATCTGCGGAGATCGTCACCCATTCCTTGGCGCCCTGTTGAGCATGTTTGTTGGGCGAATGTATTGGAATTGGGTGATATGTCTTTTTCAGGTTGAGGTATCCAATGTCTCTTATGCGGACGCTTTGATTGGAATGTGGGTTTCTCAAGGTAGTTTTCCAGGTCGGTTTTTAAGGACTGCCTGGAGCACAGTTGATCTGCGAAGCCCTGCAGCCACTTGGCATTCCAAACCTGGCAGTCCTCGCACTGATATGGTTGTGGGTCAAAACCGCGGAAGCCCTTTTGCTGACCATCCAACATTTCACCGAAAACATATGCAATCATCCACGTTTCATGGTTTCAGCCAATATTTGGGACGCTTTGACCCATGGCCAGATTTGTCTTTCCCATGCCGCTTCTTTTGCTGCTGCTACTCTTGACGCCAAGCTCCGCCGAGCCCATGGACGAAGAGTCATGCTTGCTTCAGAGCAAGGGAACGCAGCGGTCGACGCGGAAGCACAACCCCGCGGACTACAACGAGGTCTGCGCCAAAGGCACCAGTTGCATTTGTGAGGACCGTGGCGCTCTTCAGAAGGAAAGCCTCTCGACCTGTGCTACCCGCTGTGTGAATCACCCAGGTTTCACTTATGTATATTCCGAGGATCCCGTGGAGGGGAAGAGTGAGGTTTGCGCATGCTGCACTTCACTTGCTTCCATTAGCAAGGTCTCCATGCAAAGCCCGTCCTGGGCAGGAACATTCATGTATGTATGAAATTAGCCAGCCATCCAATGTGAGTGGACATGCAAGACAGCCATGTGCGGTGCTCACAAGTCAGTACGCTGCCAAAAGCTGACGCCGGCAATCATTATGCTCTTTTCTTTGGCCAGCATCTGTCCGAGGCAATTGTCACACTGGATGTTCCATTGGTCCGTTGTCATTTTCAAGTATCAGGACATTCGTGATCTTGGCATGTTGCCCTGTTTTCTCTTCGACGCACTCGAATCTCTGGAACCCGAAACCGATCCGCGAGGCTTTGCACAAGCCAAGCAGATGGAGAAGTGCTTCGAGACTCTGGAGGAGATGGAAGTGCAAGGACTGCGAGTTCGCCTTCCCAAATATGAGATGGCCACACCAATATGACGACATGGCCGAAACCATTGCCAGTGAATGCCACGTTTGATTCCAGTAATTCTTTGCCCTGACTCCTGCTTGGTCAGGGCACCTTAGTGTAAGGCTTTTGATCGGCTGCTTTGCACGTTAGTCTTGGGCCAACCTCCCGGACGAAGAAGTCAAGGACCTCTAGTTCTGGTCAACACCAATAGGTAAAGCCCGTTTGACCAGTGTTTTGATACCTTCCCCACCCCCCAGAAAACAAACAGTTCGCTTCAAGGGGGTTTCCCCTCTCCGTGGCATTTTGGTAGCGTATTTTGCGCGCGTCCACATGCTGCCTGAAGGCCGTGTCGCTGCAGCAAAGCCTCCGGCGCATGTAGCCGGATTGCTTGGTAGGAATCCCGCAGGCATGTTGGTAGGGCATTTTGGTGGGGCATTTTGGTGGGGCATGTGGTAGGAATCCCGGGGAACACCATCACCTACAACACCCTGCTGGACGCCTGCGCCAAGTCTGGCGCGATGTCGCGGGTGGAGGAGATTTTCGAGAAGATGAGGCACGGCACTGCGGGCACTCCTTCTACGGTTGTCCCCCTTTGTTTGGTGGTTTTAAAGGAGAAACCAACAGGAAAACACATTATTATTATCATTATTATCATTATCATTATCCTTTGAGGGAACCTCTCTGTCCACTTCCTGAGTTCATGAACTTGACTCTTTTGGGGAAGACCATTCTAGTGGTAAATATCAAGTTTGGACTTTTTTGGGCCATCCACTCAGCCAGTGAGTTTAGGATTGCTCTGTAGACTCGGCACGCGGAAGCCCTACTGCCCCGCCGTCTTTCCAATGGCTAACATGGAACCCCAAAGTCCACCGTTTTCCGAGGGAACTCCTTGTGGGGGACCCCGAAACTCTCGCGACTCGAGTTGCGGTGCCGTGTTGTCCTGTCGCCTGCCAAAACCCCAAGATCTGCAGAACAGAGAGAATCACGAGAGAAGCCCGTGTAGATATTGTGTGTGATCCCGGGTTCGGGTAAACCCCCACAATGGATCGAGCCCCGATAGCCTCAGATCCTTCACACTGAGCACCATTTGCTGGTGCTCAGTAGGGAATGTGGGAATGAGCCCAGATCTTCCTTTACAAGTTGGATGGTTGTTCTTGGTCATTCCACGTCTCATTCCCTGCCTCTCTTGCAGCGATCGCAAGCCCAACTAGGTCCCCCAGTAGTCTTTTTTGGGGGGAGGGTTCCCCTACTAAAATAGGCTACAGAAGAAAGTTGGTACCCTTATTCTAACCTCTCTACTGGAGGACCTAGCCACGGTAAGCTTCCAGCCCAAGGAAAACCCCCTCGCTCGGAAAAGAACCGCGATTCCGATTCGAGGCTCTGCGAGGTGGAGCCAGATCGGATCACCTACTCCACGCTGATCAAGGGCTACTGCGTCTCCGGCGCGCCTGGCCCGGTTCAAAGCACGAAGGAAAGTCCAGAAAACCCAAACCCCACCTGGGAGGGCATGGTGGGTCTGTCTTTTTGTTGAGGGTACTTGTTGGCGGTGTTTGAAGAGAAAACAAAAAAAGGGCCATCATGTGCGAGGGGTTTAGGGTTAATAAAAAGACCCACAGCTTGAAGGGGCGATCGGGTACTGAAAGGGGCGGGCGATCGATGCAGGGTACGTCAGGTACGTGGTTAGTAAGCCCGAGTTTAACCCACTGAACGGAGACTTATAACTATGGCTTTTGTGGCTTATAACCAGGCTTGCTAACCACTTCCTAAGGAACCACTCGCCCCTTTAAGTAGGCGATGGCCAAAAGGTGAAAGCAGTCAGTATGGCGCATATGGAGAAACCACTGGTTGATGTTTGGAAAAGAGAGCAAGCTTCATCTTCTTTAGCGGGCTGTGTAGTTGTTTTGCTCGTCCTCGGGAAGTAGAAAGCCAGATTCATGAATCCAGTGTTTTCTCTGTCATGCCCCAAAACGGAACGTGAGCAAGCTTAGCGGGAAAAAAACAACCCCAAAAATCTGGTGGGTTCCATCCAAAGCCCCCAATTTCCCGCTTGGAATCAGCCATTTGTGTCCACGCGTTTGAAGAGAAGCGGCCGGTGGTCTAATCCACTTATATGTGGCATTTCCCAGCTGTCGCAATACGATCGTCCGGAGGGTCCTTTGACGCGCGTGGTACAGTTTTCCGACCCGATAAAGTGGGTTTGATCCCAGCAGTGAATCAGAGCTGGTCGTTCAGCTGTAGATTGCAACTTCACTCTCGCGGCTGATTTGCCTGCGGGTTGCACCGGCATGGTTTTTGTTGAAGGTTCCCGTTGTTGGTGTTGTTGTTTTTTTGTTAAACAGGAAACCACAAAGAAAGCCATCATTTGTGAGGGGTCCCACTAAAAACGACCCACCCGGCTTAAAGGGGCGATCGGGTACTTAGTAGTGGTTAGAAAGCCTACTTAACTTAAAATCCGGAGACTACCTGTTTTTTAAGGGTCTCAGTGAAAAAACACAGAGTCTTCAAACTCCTGGCGTCCCCGTCTCGCGCGTCTTGGCCATGTAGACCTGGATACCCTTGTCCATCATGATGGGCGCCTGCCCCTCTTGGTCTTTCGCCAAGACAGTCTTCTCATCTCAGCGCTCTTCCTGTCAGTTCCCTGCACCATCTTCTTGAAGGGCATGTCCTGGGCACTCTTCTCAGTCATTTTCGTATCCTTGGCACTCTTCTCAGTGACCTTCACGGGGCGCTCTTTTCAGTGACCTTGACGGCCTGGGCGCTCTTCTCAGTGAGCTCATGACATCGCAGCCACTCATTCTCTTCTTGTCCTTCACATGGTGGCTGCTCTGCTTGTCCGGGTCCTTCACATCGTAGCGGCTGCTGGCTAAAGCACCATGTGTCACAGCAGGGGGCGGGACAGGCGGACGAGGTGGCGCAACTCGCCTGCTCATCAGGCCAAACTACTTGCTTTGACCTTGAACAAACCTGTGAAATGCAAACAGTTCAGCGCCACATCCAACAAGACGAGCCAATCACAGACTCCATGCCATGTGCAACCATGTTTGGATCAGATTCAAGTCCAAATTGAAATGATGGTTCCTTTCTGACAGGCAGCTCAACACCCAGGCTTTGTTGTCCGATCAACTCCCATCAACACCTTGGCACTCAGCCACCTTCATCTTTACCAAAAAGATCAAACAGCAACTGTTGGAAAGGCTAATCAATAAGTTTCAAACTGCCAAGCTTGCAGGGTGCCATTGCGCGGGCAACTATGGGCTATTCCGCAAAACCAGAACCTTTTGGTCTGGCAATGTTAAATCCTGCACAGCCACATACGGCACTGGTTGCATCCCATTCAATGTCGCCTCAGGTGCCACGCAATGCTGGTGGCTGCACTCATCCACCGGTTCGGCGGCAGCAGCTTCGTTTGGCTCATTTTGATCCCTTGCTCCTCCTCCACAGGGCTGAAGGCCACAGAGTTCTCCTGTTCACAAACTGGGTGTAAGATGTGCATTGTTTGAACACAGAAACCACCAAGAAACTGAAAGCATAGACATGTCAAAACATGACTTTTAACAAACAGAAGCACGAGTCCTTTTCAATCTTCCAAGCACCTGTTGGATTCTGGGTCACCTCGTGGCAGCAGACTTGACATTCCGGGCTGTTTCTTCTTGAGGTCATGCAACACAGGTGCGCAGCTTCCCATCCACCATGCAGTAGTTTCAGGGGCACAGTCAAACACCGCGTGGCTGCTGCTCCTAGGCACAGGCAGGGAGAAGGTCACCTAATCAATGATACCAAATCTTTCACTTCGTAAGGATCATGGACAGAAAACATGAACATTGACTTGTCATTGTCCAATCAATATGTTGCTAGAAACTCAGAAGGGTTCTGCCCTCGCTGCAACAGCTTTGTATTTGGGACAAGGCGCCAAGGCATTGAGCATGTCAATTTCAGTCATTGCATCATCCTCGCAAACATGACCAGGAGGCAGATCTGGACCAAACATGTGGTACCACTGAGAGAATCCATTGTGTCAATCACTAACCCCTGAATGTTGAGGCAAAACTTTGAGATCATCCGCCAAGTCAAACACTGCTTTCCTTACAAATCCACTGCAGGCTTTGGGATCCTGATTTATGAGGAAATGAGCTGAAATCCTACCAAGTTGCTTGATGACTCCTGAATCCTTCTAACTCACACACAGCAAACAACTGCCCAAAATCAAAGGATACCCGCTATCAAATACAAGTTAGCCGGATTTCAGATGAAATCCTCAGATGTTGAGGCATCACCACAAGCTCGCAACTTGCCAGGATTTTCCGAAAAGGGACATCCAAAAAGCGCATTTTCCATTTCTCTTCGCATTGTCAGGCGATTTGGCTAAGGAATGCTCGCACATTGCTGCAACCATCTTTGGTGGCAATGTGAGCCATCTCAAAATCGGCCATTCAAGGCCCTGAAAACACGATCACCACCTGTAAGCACCTTTGCACGCTTCCTCCTTGGCACACCACTTGGCGACACAAGTCCCAGCATGCACTGGTCAAAGTGCGCCATTTGGACATTGCTCTTGCCCATGATCTTGAGTACCTCATTGGCGCAGAAACCACAAAGGAAATTGGCCCCTGCAAAATTATGAGTAACAGGCCGGCCCTCAAAGAGCTAAAAAAATTGGACAGCTTACTTGTTTCTTCGCACTTTGTTCACAATGCGTTGTCAATTGGAACGCATGAGTCGGCACACGAATGCGCAGGGCGGCGAAAGCATAAGGGCTTTCGGCTGGAATACCATGACATCTTGCAGCAAGAGTCTCTGATAAGAGGTCTCGCATAGGTCAAAAATGCTGCAAGTCATAGCTTCTTCGTCATGTCCCACCCAAAGAACGAGCTAGGAACACTGTAAATCTCCCACAGACAACATTGCAGATCTGGCTTGCACGCAGGCGGGTTGGAAGTAAAATCTTTCAAGTCCTCGTAGGGCATCTCCACACAAGATGCAATTTGCTTTGCAGCCTCCTTGAGGTTGGGGTCACCACACAATCGGCCATCACCAGGGCTCTCAGTCATGGATTTGACATGCACCCCCAGCCCTGTGGATACATCTGGCACATCAGGCAAAATGTGGGAATCACCCAACCGGCGGAAGCTCTGCAGCCAAAGAACAGCCAGATGACCGATGCTCCTTCTACAACTTGGTTGCAGGCCGACCACCTTTTGTTCTCTTTTGTCCTCACCTTCTGTTAGCTTTCTTTGCTCCACGCCCAGACCTATAAGCAGAAGGCTGAGTTGGAATAACCGTCTCCCCAAAACCATCTTCCGGAAGCTCCACATCCATGACCACACAAGGTGTTGCACAGTTTGTCTATCACGCATGGTTGACCTCACAAAATCACATGGGAGCATGGCTACTTACCATTTGAGGACCCTGCTCAAACCAGCCATCATTGATCTTGAGCACCACACATGCACACACACAACACTTGCAAGTGTTGCCTCCACAGCAACTGAAGGCAATCAAAGCGCATTGCTGAAGGGCTTGCCACATGTAAGGCTGCCCCACTCCCTTAACTGACACATTTTTTCAACCACATGGCAGGCTCTCCCACATCCCAGGCATTCAGACTTGCCAAGCACAGTGTCTTAGCATGTACACCCCAAACTGGACAGAATTAGCGCAGCTAATTCATGAAAACCCCCTCACCTGGCCAGTGCTTACCTTGCAGCTGACGAAGCCCCCACGGCCACGCCCACGGCCCCTGTTGCGTCCAGGCTCTTTTGGAAGCATAGCTCTTTTGCGGTCAGAAATGTTACCAGGCCTCCCGCCTGGCATGTGTAGATATCTTCCGCATCTTAAGCACAGCTTTCCATTTGAGCTCATAGATATCCCTGAAGGTTCGGCTACTTGCAATCTCAACCAATGGCACCGCTGCCCAACACCTTGGACACTCGCAAGCTGGTTTCAGAAAATTCAATGTTTTAGTTCCATTCCAATCTCAATAAATGGGGTAAGAAAAGCACAACATACCAGAAGACAAACATCCATCAGCCTCGTTGGCAGCTCACACGGCGCATCACGTTGGCATAGGGGTAGCAGGGAAATCACAAACCTAAGTAGTTCCAGAACAACACAATTAGCCAAGGTAACCTTACAAATCACCTGGGAGGAAGATGCCATTCATAGTCAGGGCAGCACCGCCTAATGAATTCATGGACGGCGTCTCCGCAAGGGTTTCTGCCTTGGGAGCATCACATCATTGAAGATGAGCTTCTATAGGGGGGCAAGCTGGAAACATAGCAGGCCCACCCACCCCACAAACATGTAATTTGCTAAATATGAACATGTATATGTGATACGCAAAGTGTCCAAGTTCCAATAGAAATAATTTATGAAGGCATCCACGCTGGAAGGCTTCACCGGCTGCTTGCCATTGTACTTCCTCATGTCTTGCGGCGCTTGGTTG